TATTTTAATTCTTATATAAGTCAATATGATGTATTATTATTAACATATGTTTAAAGTTTCTACTCGGAGGTTTTATTTATTTATTTATTTTAGATATAGAAAAATATGTTAATTTAAATGAAACATACAAGTAGATTTGAATATCAGGAGTGTATTATTCGATGAAAAATACTTATACGAACGAGATATTTTGTATATGAAATATGTATCCTATGAACATTGAGAGTGTATTCATTCTTTTATGAAATAATTTATCTATTTTTTGTGATAAGAAACATTTATAGGATGTAATGTAAGTGAAATAAACTTTAAATGTGATCAATTGATGATTTTAGAAATGACATTAAAGTTTAAACAGTAAAAATTATTTGCAACAACAATAATAATTTCAATTTTCTTGGTTTTTCTGGTCAGACACAAAACATTAAATTGGGATGGAGATGGAGCATATATAGAATAAATTTGTAGATATTTTTGAGTGAGTATATAAATGCTCATAAATTCATTTGGCCACATAAAAATATTTATTTAATTATCTATAAGTATTATTATTATTATTATTATTATTATTATTATTAAATTTGTAGGCACTGGAAACATCCACTTCATATTAAAAATAAAGCTGACAATCAAATTTACTTAACATATATATAGACGTCACTTCGGCTTCGCATGTCTGTTCCTAATTCCATATTTTTTTTTTTGTCTAAAAATAAAATAAAAATAGATTTATTCTTTGTGAAAATACGATAGTTTCATTGTCATTATGATGTTGCTATAGCTCTAAATTATTTGCCATAATACAATTTATTTATTTAAAATTCATTCGAAAATAAAAAGAATGGAGTCGTTGTTGTGTGGGGCAGAGTTTCGCTACTTTTAAGGTCCGTGGAGCAGAGGTCCAGTGGGAGACGATGCGAAGGATCATCCATGCAAATCAAATCGTGATTTTTCGGGACCCCCGGGAGCTCCCAATTGTTCAATCAGGGGGACAAGATCTTGTCATAATCTATCATTGAATTTAATTGCACACACACACACACAACGCATAAATAGATAAATCAACAAAATCAAACAAAAATAATAAAAATATGTCGACATAAGTAAAATTTCGATTGAAAATATTATTGATTTATGAATCAATTAAATTTCTAGGAGAAACCCAAATATAATTTGGTATCCTTGTAAAAATAAATAAATAAAACAGAGGAGGCGCACACACACGCGCACGTGTGCACGATCTGGAAACAAGGCGTGATGGGCGGAAAAGCGGTGATTTAATACGGTGTCGTTTACCGCTGAGCTGGCATTTTGACTCTTACAGTCGGCGATGTTGACGTGGTCACGGTCAACTTTCCAGCATGACTTAGAGTCATCAATCTCTCAACATTCACTACATCTCATGAACACGTATGGGCGGTCCACGTATCGTATCCACGTTGTTATTTTTGTCCATTTGTTCTACATTCTATATTACTTTTGTTTTTGGAAAATAATTACACACATTAATCTCATTTTAAACTTTTTAATTTTTTTTAAAAAAATTAATTAAATTAATTGATTATTTAATTTTAATTTATAATTATTTATATTATAAAATAATTATTTTCACTAATATATTTTTAATTATCTACTCGTTGCAATCCTCCTATGTTTACAATGAATAGACACTGTATATGTGACGGATGAAATATTATTTATTTATTTTATTTAACATTTGTAAGTTGAGTATGATGATTTAAATAAATAAAATATTATTTACTTTTATATATATATTTTTTTTATACTTAATACTAAAATAAAACAGAAACCACAATTAAATAAGTATTTTCCCCTTTGTTCAAATATTTTAGTATCTTAACATGTTTGCTTACTTGTGTTTTTTTTTTCACTTTAATATCTTAAACTTACTTCAGGGTTCGTTTGATTGTATTTTTTATTTTATGTTTTCAAACTATTCATTTATGCAATTTAAAATTTTCTTATCTGAAACGCATAGTATTTTTTTATACAATAGGGGGGTGTTTGATAAATAGCTTTTTGAATAGCTAGTGTTTGGTAAATTAGCTTTTTTGGAATAGCTTTTTGGACCAAAGAAGCTAATTTTTAAAAAGCTAACTTATCCAGCGTTTTAAAATAATTTTTTCTATAAAAAATTTTTTATTCCTTATATGACCTTAAAAAATTATTATACATTTTACACAAATAAATATATTTCGATAATTTATTAATTATATTAGAATATTTTATTATATTATAATTTTACTTTTCTAAATTTAAAATAATTAATTTTTATATAAAAATTATTTTAATTGTAAAAATATATAAATTTATTAAAATAAACATAAAATAAAAAATATAAATATTAATAATTTATTTTTTTATTAAAATTACATTATATAAATTTTATATTAAAAATAAATTAAATAAATTAAATTTATTGAAAATTATAAATATAATGAACTAATCGATTATTAATATAATAAATATATACATGAAAAATTTATTATTTTATATTTTACATCATTTTCAATAAAAAAAAACTATTTATATATTTTAATAAAAATATATTATTTTTTAAATTTAACTGTAATAAAAATAAATATTTTTATAACACTTTTACAATTTTCAATAACTAATAACAAAAAATTTAAACATTCTAAACTCAAAAGAACATAATTTAATATATTAGAAACAAGAATAAAATAGAAATATCCTCAATTGTCATTTTACATATAAACAGCTAATATCAGACAGTTGTTTTACCAAATATTTTAATACAAATAGCTAATCGAATCAGCTAGTCAAACCAGCTAATTGAATCAGCTAACAACTATCAACTAATTGAATCAGCTAACAGCTAACAACTATCAGCTAATTGCCAAACACGCATATATCCCATATAATTTTATTTGTATAATTCAAACAACCTATCTAGCACATTTTTTTACCCACCAAACATCACATTCAACAACTATATTCATAAACAACATAAAAAAAACTCAAAAAAAAAAAAAAAAAAACAAAACAAAACAAAAAAAAAAAAGCATCCTTAGTATATATATATATATACATACTTTCTCTTGTACGTACGTGTTGTGTTTTAAATTAAAAGTTAAAACACTTGTTAAATATAGTAATATTTTATATGAACATTAAATACTTTAGTGCCATATTTTAAAGAAAAAAACAAAAGAGGTTTGGTAGTTAAAAAAGAAAATACAAAATAATGAATCCGTTAAATAAGATAAAATAAATAAATAAATAAAGAATCCAATTATTAAAGCATGTTAAACACCGTCTTGTTAGTTGCAATCCTCAATCATTATGTTAATTGACAGTGGTTAAAGTGACCCACCATGGATGAATGTAATTAATCACAAGAGTTTTCTTTACTACTTATATAATTAATAAGGCTGTTAATTTACGTTTAGATCATCAGCTTTTGCTTTTCAATATATCTTAATTTATTGAACCAATAAAATAAAAAAAATAAATAAAAATTAACAACCCAATTGTACAATAAAAGCAAAGAAAAGAGGCCAACATGTTTAATCAAAATCTCATCTTTATGATGATTAGGTCAAATTTTAAAACAGTGTTAACAGAAACCAAAAGTGCAAAGTAATCACAAGTATTTGGAATTATTTTTAGGGTGGAATCTAGCTACCTTGATTTTACTACAATCTGATTTATATGTACGTATATCTGGTAATTTAATTTACATTGTGCAGACAAAAATATATAATAAAAGAAGAAAATCAATTCCCTGCAGCAAAGTGGGTTCCCAACATATTCTCTGTACAGACAACAAATAGATAAAACAAAGTCAATTAAAAATAAAATATTTGTGGGTGTAAATATTGATTAATCTGCCATGAATGCATGGCCTAAACCACAGGGATCAAATTAGTGTCTGTCCCAATCTCATCTGCTTCAGGTGAGTTTTTTTTTTTTTTTTTAAAGATAAAATAAAAATTATTGTCCTTTAAATGCATAAACCAATATTAGTTTGTTGAGATAAATACGTATAAAATTAACATGTGTTTTGTTTGGGAGGGTTAAAAATTTAATAGCTACAGTAATTTTTATATTTGATTTGTTATGTTAATGATGAATTGTAACATTAGACAGGGGATGGGCAAAATGCAAATGCAATTTGGGTTATTTTGTCGGCGGCTCCGGGAGTCCGACGCCAGAGGGAGTATTAGCGATATGATGGGATGGTACGGGTGTGGAGGGTCCTGGAGCTCGGGAGAAGCGTGGATCACCGTCGCTGTATTGGGTGTAGCTGTGCATTCATTTATTGTCCAGCATAATGGGCAAAGACATTAGCATATGGTAAAATGGAATTAATTATGTTAAAGATATTCAAAGGCTACCTAACTCAACAATAATATTCCAAAGTTGAAATAATAAGAAGCCTAGAATAAAGACAGAGAGAGGGCTCAACAACTCATGGGTCTGTGTACTTAATGGTGGAGTACAATCAATGGCCCTCACTCTCTCTCTCTCTCTCTCTCTCTACACTCCATAATTGCCAACTCTATACTCTAACAAATTCAGCCTATATGGAAATTATTACAAATTGTAATAATAGTGTTAATTGTTTGTGATTGAGTGGAATTTCCAGAATAGGGAAAGAAAATAAAATGTATGCATGAGGAAGGGTTTTATTTCTACTTTATGTGTAGGGGCGAGTGACAGTGTGGTGTTTTGGCTTGAAAGGGAAGTGCAACGAACTCATTCATATGCCTTGAGAGAGTCTTGGCTTTGGACAAATTCTTATTAATGCTTCTTGGGTAATTGCAATTTGATTATACCAATTTCAATTGGAGTCAACGAGATGAAAAGTTGGGGGTTTAGTCTTGAAACTGTGAATGGTGGGTGGGTGGGGTGGGGGGTGGGTGAGATCAATATGTTTGTGGTCAATTGTATTATTATTATTAGAGATTTTGTAGGGATATGATGATGTTAGGTGGTAACATAAGATAATAGAGTTGAATTAATTAATTGCATATGGCCGGACAGTAACTACTGCAATGTATAATATATTAACACTACTAATTAATATATACTACTCCTAGTATATTAGCATAGTATTTTTAATTATTACTGCTACTTTAGTATTTTGGATGGTGCTTAAAGTTGACAAAAGGGGCAGTTAACAAAAGTGTACCTGACATGGGACTAATTAAAAACTGATTAATAAGAAGAGGCGCACACTGAAAAGGCATTGACAAGCGAAACTAACGGCCGTTAACAAGAGGACTAACGGCGGTTTCTTTTGACGGACTCGGCGGAAGGCTACTCCTTCCTGTGGCGATTAGCCGCTGTACGAACGCGCCGATTCTCTCCCGGTTTGTCTCCGTCAGCAAACGCTTCCCGCCAAACGGCAGCGACTCCACTCCTCTCTTGGCTAACACCTCCTCCGCCGTCTCAGCGTCGCTGTTCGCCTGAAAAGCGTCACCGGCGTGGTGTTAATTAGCATTCATCGATAATTGTCGTCATTGTTACGATTGTGTTGAAATTCTTACCTGAATTCGAACGTAATCGTTGGGATTCCAGCAGAAAGCGTTCCCGAGCATTTGATCGACGGTTTCGGAGACGCCGTCGAGGACAATGCCGACGACGGAAGCGGTCGAGCAGTCGCCGTTGCGAGAAAGCTTAGTCTTCGAGGAGCTGCTCTGAATTCCATTACCGATTGACAGAACCAGAAGGTCATCTACGCCGGTAACCGACGGAAAGTCTCGCTTGTTGTGAAGAACGTGAATGACGGCAGCTGCGGTGGGGTTGTTCATCACAAGTCCACCGTCAACAGCCAAACAGGATGTCTTTCCATCGCTGGAGGTCAGCTTGAACGGCTTGAACTTCGACGGCGTTGCCGACGTAGCGCGAACTACTTTCCAGAGCTCAAAGTCGAAGCTCGGTGACTCCGTGGCGTCGGCTCGCGAGAAAACAAACGGCGCCGAGCTGTTCAAGTCGAAGCACGGCACAAGGAGAGGTTTACATGTATCCTTCAGCGTCAAAACCTTGCCATCGTCTCTCTGGAACACCGCCTTCAACACGTCATCCATGCTCTGACCAGAGTACCTCATCCGTCGGCGGAAAACGCCTATATTTTTTGCTTTGAACAGCTGCGCTTGCTTGTCAGATAAAAACTTCACCGCATCTCTCGCCGAGAAGATAGGACGCCCGGAGCCATCATCAGAGACAAGCATCGCGGCGAGGAGAGCACCAATCCCCGTTCCAACCACAATATCGAAAAAATCCGCAACTCGAGCACTCGAATCACCTGTTTTCGCTTGGATCTGGTCTTCAAGATGAACCAACGCAGCTCCGGCCACAATGCCAGTGGTTCCTCCGCCGTCAATGCTCAAAACACGCGTCTTCTTCCCCTCGCAGTGGTACAACCATTTCTGCTCCAGCTTGTTGAAAATCTCCAACGTCACCTTGCTCAATTCCATCACACCAACACCTTCTTCACCTTCTATGAAATCGTTATGCAGCTTCTTAGAAACCGTAACAAGATTTCAGTAACAGATTAACAACACACAACACTATACTAGAAATTTTTCTTTCCGCGAAATAGCAGTTAAAGATCACGCCAAATCACAAAAACACATTAAAGGCGTGGACAAAACAAAGAGAGAGAGAGAGAGAGCAGCGAGGAGCTGCTCAGTGTATGTGGAAGAGTGAGTGAGGGCTCAAGACTAAGGGAAATTGGAGGGTACGTGTGGTGTATATATAAGAGGAAGTGCTTATGCACAGTGGGCACTCATAAATTACACATATAGTAGTAACCCTCCAGCAACTATTTATTTATTTATTTTTCTCGATGTTTTGTTGGTATTCAATTAATTACACGCGTCTTTACTGAATAAATTAATTTATTTACCACAGGGTTTTGTCGCTTGGCTCTGCACGTGGGAGGAGAGTCGCAGTTTTAAGACTGCTACTGAGCTTTCAAGGAAAGAGGTAAAGGGAAATAAATGATACTTCAAATCATATCTGGATAGATTTCTAGCCTCTGAGGGGAAAAACCTGGCAAAAATGAGTGGAATGCTTTTTATTTATTTCTGTTGTTTTTTTCTTTCAACTCACAGTCACGCACAGATACTTTTTTTTTTTTGATAAAAAAAAACATACACAGAGACAGTAGGGCTTTAGCCATGGTGATAATGCATGAAGTACATGTACTGGAATGCACACACACATTATGCACAGAGGTAGGGACGACAGCACTAATGTTACACATTCAGGGCTTAGCTACCAATCATTCCCAGCAGTAAAAAAAAATTAAAATATCTGAGGATGCATACCTGTGTAAATTTACTGGGACATGTCAAGCAGGAATCACAAAAACTTACTGTTTGCATGCCGACATATTTACCCAATCTTGTGGAGACAGTGATCTCAGAGAGGACAGATCATAAATCCATGACTTGGCAAGAATTAATGAATTCAAAACCCTGCACATGATTCAAAATCCCGAGATTAAATGATATAACTTCCAATCCCTGGTTCGAATCAGTTAACTTCAATGTGCTGTGCATCTGTACATACATTCTTGCATATGTTAGTAACTTAAATTCATCCAACATGAAAGAATGGCAAAAACTGAAAGGAAACCTCTAGAGAGTAGCTAAATTATGGCTTGAAGATAATATCATGTACAGACAGAGCAATGGAAATGAAAACACAGTAAAGGGTGACCTACAAGTTGCGGAAATATGGAAGCAACGCACCGATTGTTTATTTGACAATCCCAAAGTTTTACCTGCCAAGAAAAAGTAACTGATGTAGAGTTCATTGACAAGTAGAAGAATGCAAGGAGACAAGAGTAAGAATACCAACTTATACATTGGCAAGAAGCTGCCAAAATTGTCCTAAATTTAGCTCAGAAAATGTGTAATTAGTGCTCAATTTTATTTTCCGTAGGCAGAATCTAAAACTTTGCTCAGGAGATAGTTGTGCATACATAGCTGGCCAGAGAAAACACAATAATAGTAGCAGAAGTTGGGAACATTAGTTCGAATTGAAAGAATCTATTTTTGAAATGAGTTTCAAGCTTTGTCTGCTCAACAATAAAAATTCAAAAAATTCAAGAAAGCTAAAGCAGAAACCAGAAATGAAAGCCCTTTGTGAGGAATCTGCATCTTGTCATTTAAATTTTCTTCACATCGTTCTGCAACCCAATACAAAATTGAACGGTAACAGAAAATAAAAAATTGAGGATACAAAGTAATGCACCAGTATTCAAATTATTAGCCAAGACAGGGACTTGGTAGCATTATATCAGAATGATCAAATCATCCACTGAAAAGTATACAGGATCCAAAATGTTTCAATGCAACTGCCAACACGTTGGCAAATATAAACCAAACTCTATGACCCTGAAACTGCAAGTTTTTGCACATACACTTGTTTTCAGTGTAGTAATTACTCACCACGACTTTTTTAGTATTGCTGTTGAACTAATCGACTTTAAGTAAGCATATCTATGGGGAAGTAAACAACATCATCTTTCCTATTGGTTAGCCATTTCAATCACCCCAAGTCTCAAATTCAAAGCTTACTGCAGTCACTGTAAATGATGCAGCTCCAATAACTCTAGCCATATCTTCATGAGATCCAGTATTTAACAGCATGGTTACATGTAATCTTAATATAGGTCTATTATACTCAAGAGAACCCCTTCATCTAACATTATTATTTGAACATGAAACCAAAATTTGTAATTCTAACTGTGTACAAACCAAAATTTGCACATCAGCTAACAATCAAGTGCTCTGCTCAAATAAGAGGATGCTTGTAGAAGCATAACAAATCATATAGAACCCTTCAATATGAATTTCAAAATCAGGATGAAAAAGATCAGGAAATGTCACCATTACTGACCTGGTTAAAATCCAAATCATGGTAGGTTCTCTTAGCCTCTGCACTTCCAGAAAGGGAACAGCAGTCCAACAGCTCAATATCACAGCCAGAGAGAGACTCAGAAGTAACTGATCCCCAAAATTTTGATGGAAGGCTGACAGATTGGGCTTGTGTAATTGTGTTGAGCTCCATAGTGAAAACTTCATTTCAAGCTGTCTAAACAGTGTGACAGTTGTTTCTTGATATAAGCTTTAACCCATTATTCAAAACAAGCCAAGACAATAGAAATTTTGCACCTTTTGAGTGCTACAGGATGCAATGCCAAGACGGAAAAAGCATATGCTCACATGCCAACAAAGGTAAATTCAACCATCATAATGAAGATTCTGTAATAAGTCTAAAAGAGCAAGACTTCCCATTAATCTCAATTTTGGAACAACCACAACATATAACATATATCTTCAAATAGAGGTGACAATATTTCTAGAAACAAATGCCCAACTGAATTTAAGAGCCAACATATTCATAAGTTTCGGCCTAATCATATTCGAGTTCATCAGGAGTTATAGGCCTTTTGAAAGGAATTATCGACTTCTTTTCTACATCTCTTGATAAAGCCTTCCTCATATCTGAAAAAGAAGAGCAATTTCACATGGATCAAAGGTTGTAGGCTAAAGGGCACAAGGAATGGATTTTCTTACAGCAATTACTAACCTAATCCATCCTCCTCTCCAGAATAATATCGAAGCACTCGTCTGTAGACAATATAGCCAAGCTGAAGAAGCAGATAAAAGAATGGACTTAGTATTGTTTGTAAATTGGATAAATTATAACAATTGAAATTGTACAAGTCAGTTGTAATTGTTTGAGCCATAAATAAAATAATGAAATCGAAAGTGAAGAGTAGCTAAAATTTTCCCAGTACCTTCTCATACATCTTGATTGCAGGTGTATTCGAAGCTCTCACAAAAAGATCCACAAAATAAGCTTTATCACTGCACATTGTAACGTGCTTCATCCATATGTGTCGCTTGTTTATCATCGGTAATAATGTAATGAAATCATAGATCATTAAGCATGACATCCCGCCATATTAATGAAGAAGATAATGATAAACTTTTTTTGTTTAATCAAGTTCTAATTTTCTTCAAATATGAAGGGATAATGGAAGTTAAACATGTGCTATTACATCTTATCGCTAACGTCTTCAAGTAGGTTCATTAGTTTTTTGGCCAATTGTTGCCTTCGATATTCAGGAGCTACAGTTACTGCCGTGACGTGACCATGCCATGACTCTCCTTGTCCCTCGACCTTACCCATTACTGCGAATACATCCAGGAAGCAGAGTCAGAACCTTGTTAGAAGATGGTTCCCGGGATAGAAGTATTAAAAGAAGAAAGCCACAGTAGGATCAAAACTAGAGTAGCTAATTATAATAACAGAACACAAATTTTTTTATACCATCAGTGATGCCATACCAACTCTGAATATATCCCTTTCACTCTGATAGCTTCTGTTGTAAACTAGATAAATTTTTTTTGTGATAGAAAACCAAAGTTACAGGTATCGTATCAAAGGCAATGCAATGTACAACAACATAAATCAGAAACTTTAGTCCAATTTTGCACATTTCAGGTAGCAGACTGATCATGAAACATAATATCAAATGTAGCTCAAATTTAAACCATTAGGAAGAATGTAACCAAGTCACAATTTAGCAAAAAACGTATCAATGATATCAAACCAAACTATTTGCAGTTGTACTTTGAACACATTATAGAAAGCCTAGCAAAGTTTAATTGCTTAATTGTATGCACATTAATTCTTTCAAAGTCAATGCACCATCGGCCATCCATTACTAGATGCCATTCAACAAGATCAATATATAAGAGAATTTCATAGCACCCATCAATAGAACATACAAGAAAAAGAGAGCGGGAACAAGACGTTTTCCTCTATGGATCAACAAAGTACTAGGATACACAGGTAACCCGTAACCTTCAATTATTAGACGGAAACAAGAGACAGATAATGGATTCAATCAAAAGAAACTCACTGTAGCCCATTATTCGATTTCCTGGAGCTTCAGCCACGTGGAAATAGTCAGGCCACCGCGCCAAATAGGTCATATAGAATGACATGTTGAACTGCAAATGTGAGCTCCTCATCATATTCACCCAGTAGCCATTACTCTAGAACGAACCATAAGACCTAGCCGGGAGTAACAAATGGAACAAAATAAGTTTCAAAACGAGTACTCACGGTTTCGGTTAGATGATCGAGATTCACTGATGCGAATCGAAGGAGATCGTTGCAGCAAAACCTCCGAATCGTAGTCATTGTACCGACGCACTCGATTCGTTCGTTGAAGGGCTCCCGTTTTCCTTCTCTCCGAACAGAACTGAGTTGTAGATATGAAAACGAATCGGGGTAGAACTCGGATTACCCGACCCTTTTGAACAGAAACCGGGTATCCTCTTCTAATCCCGTTCTTTTAAAATTTATAATAAATTTAATTATATATAAATGTTTTATTTTATTTATATTAGTAAAATTTTATATTTTATAAAATAATATTCTAAATATATTTTATTTAAACATTTATTTTAAATTTATCTTAATTGGAACATTACTTAATTAAATAATATGGTATTGTGGTATTGTTCATAATCTAATTCATCGCAATAGATCCGTACCCGTTTTCATTCTACAGCGGACTCTCTCCGCATTGACGAAAATACCCTTGAAACTCCATCCAAGATTCGTGATTTCTGTCCCTCGAAAGCAGTATGCGAAGCAAACCCTAGAAACCGTCATCGCCCAATCCGTTTATGGTTTATACTCCGAAGGAGTGACGAACCTGAGGGGATCCGATCAATTGTCAAACCAAACATGGATATTTTGAAGCAGGAGATGATGAAGAAGCGGCAAAGTCTGGCGGAAGATGTCGGCGGGAAGAAAGTCTTCAAGCGCTCGGAAATCGAGCAGAAGCGCCTCCAACGGCTCCGAGAAGAGGAAAAACGCGAAGCCGAGGCGAAAGCAATTCGGCAGAAGAAGTTGCAGCAGCAAGAGCAGAATAATGATTCCGATTCTTCATCGAACCCTAATTCGAAGCCGGAAATCCCAAAATCTAAGCCAGAATCCTCCTCCTCCAAGTCTCTGGTCGAAGAGAATAACATAGACGATCTCAATCTCCCCAAGCAGGAAGTTATTCGCCGACTCCGCTTCTTGAAACAACCGGTGACTCTCTTTGGGGAAGATGACCAGGCGAGACTCGACCGTCTGAAGTACGTGTTGAAGGCTGGATTATTTGAGGTCGACGACAGTGACATGACGGAAGGACAAACTAATGATTTTCTGAGGGACATTGTGGAATTGAAGAAACGGCAGAAATCAGGGATTTTGAGTGATAGGAAGAGAAAATCTACGGAGGATGGAGGAGAGGATAAGGACGGTGGAAATGGGGATGAGGATCTGAGTGGCGATGGCGCATCCTCGGGGGTGGATCACGACAAGGATTTGAAGCGAATGAAGACCAATTTCGAGGAGCTATGTGATGAAGATAAGATTCTGGTGTTCTTCAAGAAGCTATTGAATGAATGGAATCAGGAGCTTGATGAGATGACTGATGCAGAGAAGAGAACTGCTAAAGGGAAGTCCATGGTTGCCACTTTCAAGCAATGCGCTCGGTATTTGAATCCACTCTTCAAGTTCTGCAGAAAAAAAGTGAGTAATGGTTATACTTATAGTGTATGTTTGTTGTATTCTATGAGCTGCATGTGTTCTTTTGTATTTCTCTCATTATTCTTTGAGTTAAAGAAAATGTGTGAACAACGGAAACATTCAAATTTCATCTTGGAAGATTGACTGCAAAGTGTGACCTTGAGGAGGTTAGTTTCATATATCAGAAATTTAAAAGCTAGAATTTTGAGAACCATCCAAAATTACTCCAAAAGAACTCTTTGTAAACCCATTAGTGTAGATTTCTGCTTTATTCGATAGTAATGATGTCAGAGCTTCATCTTCAGGTTTTGAGAATGGCTGCTTAATATTTGGCTTTTAGAATTCGAACTGATTATGTTCTGTAACATCTCTTATGTGTGGGTGTATATGGTCATATGTTGCTATATCATGTAAAGGTAATCTATGTGGGGTGTTTCTTTTGTAGGTTCTCCCTGATGACATCAAACAGGCATTACTAGTAGTTGTTGAATGCTGCATGAGGCGCGATTACCTTGCCGCCATGGATCATTACATTAAAATGGCTATTGGAAATGCTCCTTGGCCTATTGGTGTTACTATGGTTGGTATCCATGAACGTTCAGCGCGTGAAAAGATTTATACCAACAGTGTGGCGCACATCATGAATGATGAAACAACCCGTAAGTACTTGCAATCTGTCAAAAGATTGATGACTTTTGCCCAAAGGCGGTATCCAACAATGCCCTCCAAAGCTGTTGAGTTCAACAGCTTGGCGAACGGCAGTGATCTGCAGTCCTTGTTAGCAGAGGAGAGGGCGACATCGGGAAGTAAGTCTCAGTCTGAGGAGAGGCTTATGTTGATGCCTGCATCGGAAGACGACTAGCTACATGTCTGAAAGGTATGTAGAAACTGCTTAAATCATTATTTTGGTAGTAAGCAAATCAACAGAATGTGAAAGAGGATGTAAATGGATATACTCTGTTGGTCTCCATAGTTTCTTATTCGGAGTTTGCTAAAACATGCTCTATGTGTATGTATCATGTGACATCTTGCTTCTGGTTCGCATTATATCTAATTGTCGTAAAATGGGTGTGCTTGCAGTTGCTTTTCGATGATTTGGTTCATAGCCACATCCTGATATTTGTAGTTTCATTTCCCGTTGTCAAAAAGATTTGTTTCCTTGTTTATCATGTTGAGCTGAAGTTTGTTTCTTTCAATTAGACCGTGGAAATAGTTCATAGAGCCACTTTGAACTTTAGTAAAGATAGACCAAAATCTATAACTACTCATGTATTCCACCTCAAACATCAGAATAATAATGAATGCATGAAAAAATTCAACAGATTAGGTTTCAGTCAGCAAGATCATTGCCCTGTTTTCATACCATAGGTGTCTTCCAGACCATTTGTAACCTTCTTCCTTCTCTCTGCTATCATATCTGAATATGCCTGAGGAAAATAACAAACTAAGGTTATGATTAAAACCAGTGCATTCCATTCTCTAGCTAGGGTATGTAAACATGTCTGCTTGGTGAAACAAGAACATGAGAGAAACTCGGTACCTTTGGATATGAATAGAGAAAGAGATACCACCACAAACAAATCACAGCTGCTATCACTGAGGTAATGACAATGGAGTTCAAAACCACCCAGCTTCCTGTAATTATAGCTATTCCTGTCGACCAAATTGTCCATGGTTGGCACCTAAACCATACGGAAATATAAACGAGATGTTCAATCTGCTGTGCAAAAAACAAACCATATGCTAATCATCTACGGAGCAATAAAATCAAATGGCTGGCAAGCCTTGTTCTGCATCAGCCGCAGTTAAGCGTAAATCCTTTTACTCAGGCAAGAAGGATTGAAGAGACTAAATGGAAGGTGAAGGGGAAATGGATAATTGGATATACTCACCACGAAGGCTTGGTATCCCAAACGGAGTCGTACTCAAGGGACAAAAAATTGAGGTATGCATCCATGTCTTCCACGGCGCCGTTTTCGTTGAAGAAATCTGAATCATTAACCGACTCGTCGTCCATCTCATCCCTTAAAGTGCTCCGCCGCGGAGCTGTTCTTCTGCTTCCATGTCTGGCGAACGAAGGGAATCCTCGCCGCGAAATTGGAGACAGGATTTGGGGTTTAATCTGTGGATATGAGGAAGGAGAAGGTGAATTGAGAGTAGCGGGGAAATTAAAATTGAACTGATGAAGTAGCATCTCCGATTCCTTCAAATTGTCGAATTAGTAGCAGAAACATATTTTGTGGCCACTAAGCTTTAAATCCTCATATACCCACACGATTCTGCAATCTCAATCGTCGGTCAGAGTTTATTACTTTTGGGAGGTCCATGGACTTTGCCGTCGGAATGATCTACAGCGGCAAGATAAGGGTACATTTTAAAATGAACGGTGTAGATCGATCCGGTGCTGAACTCCAGTCTATGTTTATTTTGAGATAATCAGTGGATTGAACCCAACTGGATCGTATCATTGGCCCATACTATTTATATACATGGGCCTAATCAGGCCCATTTCGGATCCTTCTAAAAACAAAACCCTAGCTAGTGCGGCAGACTCTCTCTCCCGTTTTGCGCATCCAGCTGAGAAAGGGCGAAGATACTGAAGAGCAGCGCGGCGGAGTGCGACGGGAATCAATAAAAACGGTGGGGCTAATAATTTGACTGGTTTTTGGTGCACTGAAGCTATCTGTTTGTTTGACATTGGATTGGCCCTGGATTTTGCAGAAAAATGGCGGACAAGGCTGTGACTATCAGAACAAGGAAGTTCATGACAAACCGTCTGCTCTCCAGGAAGCAATTTGTAATCCTTTGAGCGGCTTTCACTTTGTATTATCTACTGCATGGTTCCTGACTATTAACGTTTGCTTATTATTGTTTTTCTTCGCTAGGTCATCGATGTGTTGCATCCAGGGAGGGCTAACGTTTCTAAGGTGTGATCTCGTGTCTGTTTAATTCATAAAATTATACATCATCTCGCCTTGCTCTTTTGTGAAGTATTAATTGAACCTCGTACCTATGTAAGACAGATGTTTTATAATTAAATAATTGTCTACGAAAATGCTGGCAAGTATATGGAAACGTGGAATGATATATAATTAATGCATGGAATTAGAAGTTTACACTTTCGATTGGCAAGTTGCTTCATATTATCTTAAGCTCAAGGAAAGTTCAATGCTCACATCCGACTGAATAATTTGAAAAGCATCAATCTTTTATTAATTCCACTGATTTCCTTGAGTTTTGTGGAGAAAATATTATGTACATATATATAGATTTTCGTAGCGTTACATCATCTAATTGTTTTGTACCTTTTGGCAATTTAATTGAAGGCTGAGCTGAAGGAGAAGTTGGCTAGGATGTATGAAGTTAAAGATCCAAATGCCATTTTTGTGTTCAAGTTTAGGACACACTTTGGTGGAGGCAAATCTACCGGATTTGGCTTGATCTATGACTCCGTCGAGAGTGCTAAGAAATTTGAGCCAAAGTACAGGCTAATCAGGGTAACTTATCTATCTGCTAATGTTGCTTAGATGATTTAGGAAGTACCTTATCTGATATAATTAGTTGGCATTAAGCAGGCTATTTGTGTAACACTGCTATAGTTTCTCATTGTTAGTGGAGTCTCTTTGTAGCCATACTTATGGCTAAGATGGTTCTATTTTCTTTTTCCCTTCCTTTAACTTGTTTGTTTCATTTCAACAACATTTTAGTTTTAACTAGTTGGAGCTTTTCCTTTGAATTTTCCCGACTTCTTGTTTAAAATTCTCTTTGGCTAGTTAGTTTCTCTTTGAAGAAATTTTGTCAAAACTATTTGTTTGCATTCCTTGTTCTGTTTGCCTCCCTCATCAAATGTTGACGCTGCTGGTGCAATCTGCTGGTCTTTTTTGTTAAAATGTGAACCACAAGCATCCTAGTTTATCATGCCCTGTGAGATTGGACTCTTTGTTTCTAACATGAGAATTTTTTATATGCAGAATGGACTTGCTACAAAGGTCGAGAAATCTAGAAAGCAAATGAAAGAAAGGAAAAACAGAGCTAAGAAAATCCGTGGCGTTAAGAAGGTATGTTCATTCTTTCTTCCTAGGCAATCATACATGAAGTACTCTTATTGTATATACATGGACTTTTTTGTAATTCAATTCTAATACCACAATATATATTCCAATCCAAATTTATCCGTGCTCACAAGATTGGAGAGCTCTTTCGTGTTAATAAAAAAATAATAGGTAGTAGAAACTAAAATTCGCTGCACATATCACAAACATACACTAACATAAATAATTCAAATGCCTAGATTCAGGAAGGAGAAAGTTTTTATATCCTTCTAAATGATTGAAGTCAAGAATCTTTCTTACTTTGAAATTGGTTACGAGGTTAGTAAATTATGTATCTATCATATTTGCAGACCAAGGCTGGCGATGCTGCCAAGGGTGGGAAGAAGAAGTGATCTTCTCAGGATTCAGGTTTTTGTTCTTTTGGTTTTACTATTATTTTTAACCCCAACACCCCACCTCCCCTCTCTTAGGACTGCACTCCACTTAATGATTTGGTGGATATCAGTCTTGAATTGACACTATGTTTCTTTTTGGAGCATTTTGTTCCTTCTATCGTAATTTTTAAATATATCACTTTTTTGGGTTGTGTCACAAAACACTGTTTGTATTCCAAATCTTGATCTGCACCATTGAAGTTAAATTCCAGGTTTGGTTGCGTTATCGCTCTTGATTTCTTTCTTTGTTCTTTTTTGCACTTGATCTTAACCATGAAAAAAAAGTGTTCAACTGGTGTTTATGACATAGGAGAACGTAAATCATAAAACGGTGTCGGTTCACTAATAAAAATATGTACCTAAATAATAGTACTATTTCTATCTCATAAACCATGTGGTATATAAATATCGAACAAACGCTGGTGGTGTTTATTTTATATTAACATATCATGGGATTTTGTTTTTCGTTTAAATATAAATTATTATTATTATATTTGTTTTTTTTTTTGTTTCAAATGAAAATTAATATTATTTAGGATGTTTCATTTTCAATAATAAATATATATTTTAAACCAAATAAACTCCCTATGTAAATACATGCATTTTCCATATAAATTTTACATACAATTATAGAATCTAATATAATACACTCAAAATATTGTCGACAATCTTTCCAACAATTTTTTTACTATTAAAAACTTGTTTGTACCGACTATAATAAAAATAATATTCTTATTATTTAAATTTAAATTTAAATACAAATAAAGGAAACACTAATTTCAAATAGCCATAGAAGAAAATGTGAAAGAAAAAAGAAAAAGTAAATCAACAATAATAGTAATAATATTAAAATAAATGAATAATAGTTATCTTTTGTGTTAAATATATTCCATATAAAACGTTTACATATATTTGAAAATTATTTTGTATAATTTATCTATAATAATATTTTAAAATATAAAATAATATACTATTTTAAAAATATTTTTCAATATTTTTAAAATTTCAAAATATTATACTAATATTTTATGTAATAAAAATTATATTAAAAAAATATATTTATTAAAAAATTGTATAAATTATATAATAATAAAGTATTTTATTTGTCTCCTATAATCCAATAAGGTTGTATATACAATATTCTAAAAATTATATAATTAAGTATATAATTAAAAAAATATATTATTAAAAATAATAATATAATAAAAATATTTATAAATTAAAATTTTAAAAATTATATGTTCAATAAATTTAAAATATAATTATAAATGTCGTAAAATGTAAAATATAGGACATACAAAAAAAACATGAACAAGAATATAAGAGAGAGGATAGTAGTTAAATTACAATACTTATAAGCAACACTTTTGGACCTATATGTTGTAAGACTGGATGTGGATTAAATTGATAAATTAAATCTATAACTTTCTATCTCATTTGTTTGGGCTAAAATTTTATAATAACTCTCGCTACTCTAAATATGACCCAATTTGCATATCAGGCCCATACTATGATACATACATACACAATATAAATATATTATATATATTAGCCTAAAAGAAAAACCTCAGTTAGGGTTTCCAGCTATTAGAAGGTGAGAGCGAAGCCGCCGCCGATCCCGCCTCCGATCGTAACTCTGCCCGCCGATTCGAAACCTGAGCCATGGTGAGGAATGCGTCTTCTGATTGAACTTGATTGTTTACGTTATTTTTCTTTATACCCAATGACGATTTTCTATATAATCAACTGAAAAATGTGAATTTCGCAGTCGTTGATAGCGAATGAGGATTTCCAGCACATTCTGCGTGTGCAGAACACCAACGTAGATGGGAAGCAGAAGATCATGTTCGCGTTGACCTCAATTAAGGGCATTGGCCGCCGATTCGCTAACATTGTCTGTAAGAAAGCCGATGTCGATATGAACAAGAGGTCTCTCTTTCCCTTCTCTTTTCGTTTATTTTTTCTGTTGGTTTAACTTATTCCCTTTCGGATCCATTAGGATATCGATTTCGTATGTATATATATACGCACTGGACTTTGATCCGAACATTGCTTTTGGTGTGGTTGGTTTCTTCGTATGTATTATTTACAAAATTACCGAAACTTGAAATTTCTAAACAGTGATTCTCAATCTGACTCTCGAAGTGGATTTACATTAAACAGGCCAAGCTATTTTCCCAAACAATGATGCTAAAAAAATAATAAAAAAATCTAAACTTTGATAGGTTGAGAGCATTCTGATTGCTTTTGAGGATAATTTGAAATTAATGGTAGAAATCAGCACAGTAGCGATTGTTTGGATTAAGTTTGTTTTAATGGTGTAATAATTGAGATTTCACAGAACACTTTTGTTTGTATGTATTACCGCAGCAGTTACATTTTTTTGCTACATGATGGCGTTTTCCCTTGATATACATTTGCAATCAATTTTGTTCAGTTGCCAAGTGTTTGAACATTGTGATGATATTGCAAGTGTTTCTTGTAATTTCAATTATTTTGAATCTTTCTGATTGTTAGCCATTTGTTTGTTCAAATTTATTTTCAATTCAATTTGTTACATTATAAGAGTATTTTGGTATGTTTATTTTGTTTGCTGTGGTATTTTTGGAGAATGAAATCTTCGGGTGTGCTCAAACATTTGCAATTGTTTCTTGGAATTTCAGTTATTTTGTATCTTTCTTATTCGTATCCGTTGGATTGTTTAAATTTATTTTCATTTCATTATAGAATATTTTGGTATGCCTGGTTCTCTCACTGGTTCTTTTGGAGAATGAAATCTGAAGTTGTTGAGGGTGCAGGGCTGGCGAACTTTCTGCTGCAGAGATCGACAATTTGATGGTCATTGTAGCAAATCCTCGGCAATTCAAGATTCCTGACTGGTTTTTGAATAGGAAGAAGGATTACAAGGATGGAAAGTATTCACAAGTGACATCTAATGCCTTGGATATGAAGCTGAGGGATGATCTCGAGCGCCTGAAGAAGATTAGGTTCGATTTCACACTTATCAATGATTCCATCCCAAACTGTCTTATCTCATCCATTCATCACATAACTATTTTATATTTACAGAAACCACCGGGGTCTCCGTCACTATTGGGGTCTTCGCGTCCGTGGCCAGCACACTAAGACTACCGGCCGTAGGGGAAAGACTGTCGGTGTCTCCAAGAAGAGATGAGCATCTTCTTGTTTTTCTGTTTCAATGTTTTCTGTTTGGGATTTTGGATATTATTATACTTTTTGACGATTATGTGACGTGCTATAAGTTTGTTATTTGCGAATTGAATCACTTTGCATATGCAAGTTTTTTACTCCATTTTAAAATGATCAAGTCTCCAACTGTCATCCTCCTCCATTTGTATATAAATCCCCTTCTTTAGGTAAGGGAAAAGCATGCTGGGCCTAGTGAAACCAGACCTTTAGACTTAAATAATATGAAGATTTCCAGTGTGTCCAAGATAAGAGGACACCCCATCACACGATAAGAGGCCAAGATTCATGCACTTTTTAAGGGCTATTGTTCTTGTCTTGTAATGATGATTATTTGTGAAGATGATGAAGTTTGGTGACTAATCAGCGGTGTTAAGTTTGGATTAATCTATTATGTGGTTCTACAATAAGAACAAGGACACCCCATCACACGTAATATCATACAAACCCACAAGAACTTGCTCATTGCCCCACACCTTATTTTACAGCCATCCAACCTTCCTTGGACAGTGAAAGAAAATGACTTTCACGGCGACGACATGTGTATATACGTTTATCGAAGATTAGGAAAATTTCTTACCTGTAAAAATGGTAGCATAGTTGCGCAAGAGTGGTCCTAGTGGTTCAACCCATTCCGGATACACGACAATGATAACAGCTCCCTAGGACCGGACTACACAATCAGTGATGATAATCAGTTTTTGTAATCATCTGTTTTAAGGGCTCTTTTCCCATGCAAGTTAAAACAATGGCGGCCATGAAATTTTATAAAGCTTCCCTGCTTTAAGAATTTTACAAAAAGCCAATAAGAATCAGCAATAATGACACAAGGGAAACACATACTATGGTTCAGCTCAGACAATTTGATGAATGATTGAATGTAAGAGAGGCTGTTTCGAACCAAACGTTAAAAGAAAGACAAATACAACAAATTACTGCATAAATGCACACCTCAAAATAGTAGACATCAAAACAGCAGCCACTGAGATGATATTGGACCCTTTTGGCATAATAAAAATCAAATCTTTTATGTAGACCGATTTATTGATTTCCTTTTCAGCTCTGATAACTCCCTCCAGCTATGATTATCCCCGAAAAGAATCGTCTAAAAATTTCTACTACAGTAAATTAAATGCCTGGAATAATATCACAGCCAAGAAGACTGTAGTTTTCTCCTATATCTATGCTATCCATTGAAAACTTTGCAACCCTTCCAGCATTGTTCAAAAGAATTGCCAAATTAAGTGGATCAAATTGATCTCTAGGAATTGGGACTTGAAGTAGCCATATATATATACAACAAATGATTGATTATATCCCTATGTATGCATGCATTCGACAACATCTACAGAAACAAGAGCATGTGAAAATGAAGAAGAATCTGATAAACTAACTCAAACCTTTTCAAACTGCATCTCCCTTCTTCTTCAGCTGTATCCTTAACCCTTTCATCCCTGAAACTAACTGTGACAGAGTAAGTTCCAAAGGAATGATGAAGAAATCAACCAGGATTGATGAAGCATTTTATATTCCCAATTATTATGATTCTCCATTCAATCACAGAGCAGAAACATGTTTTTGTGCACATACAGAAAGCCAACAGAGAAACTGAAGCAAAGAGAGGCACAGGAATTGCTGTTTTACTGTACAAGCACAAAATTCCCGCCCCCAATGTCGTCGTCTTCCCCGCCGGCGTCGTCCTCCTCCACTTCGGTCGGCCCCTTGGGCACCGTGACCACCAGCTCGCCGTCTTCGTACGCAGCCGAGGCGAGCTCCGGACGCATCAAATCCGGCAGCCTAAACCGCCACAAATCGAGCTCCAATTCCATCCCCGACAAATCAACCACATCGCTTCCCCTAACCACAATCTTCGTAACCCCAGGGTAGATCTCCACCGCATCCGCCCTAACATCGCCGCTCATATCGCCCGTGGCGACCGTAAATATCAAGGAATCGGCCGTTTCGATGACGGAAACGTCCGCTTCGGAATCGAACGGAAGCTCCAGAACCTTGGCGAATATGTGCGGGAGACGGCGGAGTTTCCTCTGGCGGCAGGTGTTCGCCACCGCCGCGACGCCGTACCGCCGCGCGATGTTGCATTTCCCTGGCGCCGGATGAACCTTCATTCGCGAGCCACGGCGCGATTCTCGAATCCACGCACCGAAACACACAGTAACCCTAGAAATTGGGGAACTGAAAATTAGAGGATCAGACAAATCCACAGCGAAATCCGATGAATCACAAAAACGGAGCGAAACCGTGATCGATTGGTATTGATAAGAAAGGAGGCTGACAGCAAATGGTGGTCCGGTGGGCGGAGGCGATTACGTGAGGGGATTGTGCTGCAAATACGGGGGTTGGGGAGAGTGTTTGTATTGTATTGTATGCAGTGTCTGGCTCTAGTGGACACTCGACAACGACGATTCTGTCCGGATAGACTTTAATAACTCTGCCTCTGTGTCTTATATTATAGTATTATATTATTTATTGTTAATTGTTATTATGAGAATTAATTACTCAATAATTACGCTATATAATCATCTTATGTGTTGAGGCTTAAAAGGGTCGCGGTTAACGTGCCTATTCACTACCAGTGGCTCGTCCACGCAGCAAAATCAATGAATTAGAATTTATACGGTTAATTTAATACTTTAATAGATGTAATTTTAAATATATTGCATATATATTTACATAAATATTAATAAATTAATGTGTTGTTTATATTTATATATATTATTATCTTCTTATTCTAAATTAGTAGAATATTAACCTTTGTTATGACATAGTTATTATCTATAAATTCAACTCTTACGCCACCCGTCATTCTTTACGAGACTATTGTTAAATTATAAAAAAAATTATTACAATGCATTGTTTTTCCGTAGTAAGATGAAAATCAAATTTAGAATTTGGGTATAATAAAAGGAGGAGAGAATCAATTGTTGTATTGTACGAGACTATAATATGTGTTTTTAGTTCATATGTTGTATTTACATTGTATTAACATATACCCTATGTTATTTGTAATAATATTATATGCTGTCAGGCAACATACGATACGTTGTTTAGATTATACAATTATTTTTTGTTCATATAAAGTAATATATGGGTGTGTTCGATTGTAGGATTTAGACAAAATTCTACTATTCATCTAAAAATTTCCCCCCAAAAGCATCAAATCAAATCCCTATTTTTTATTTTTTATATTATATTAAAAATAAATTTTACATTCAAAACATCACATCAACACCTATTTATATCACATCATACAACTATTCAAATTCAAAATTTTTACTATTCAAATCTCAACTCAAAATCCAAACCCCAAACAAACACACTCTGTGATGTCAAAAAACACACCACTGTAGCGGTTGCCAAATATCACGAGTGGGGAAAAATAACACTTAAGGGTGTGTTTGTTTGAGGGATTTGTTTAGATTTCAACTATTCATCCTATTTTTTCCCCCCAAAAACATCAAATCAAACACCTATTTTTCATTTTTTATATTATACTAAAAATCAATTTTACTTTCAAAACATCACATCAACACCTATTTATATCACATCATACAATTATTCAAATTCAAAATTTTTACTATTCGAATCCCAACTCAAAATCCAAACCCTCAAACAAACACACCCTTAACTGATTTAAAATCACCTCGAAGCCTCTGTCAGCCATAGATGAAAATGCTTCAAAAAGCTTTGAATTTATCGCCTAAAAAGCTTATATCGGAAAGGCAAGAAATTTGTAAGGAGTCAATATGATTGATTGCTCTAATATTTTCGACAAAAATAATAAATAAATTAATTAAATAGTATAATACTTTCTCCATTTATAAAATTACGTTATTTTTATCTAGATATAAATATTTTAAAATAATATATAAAATCTATTAAAAAAAATTATTAAAAAGGTAATAGAACTTATTAAAGAATAGTTATAAAATTATTATTATATAGCATTAAAATATAAATAAATAAATTATTTTACTATAAGTAAATATAGCGAGCTGTCATAATTTTTACAGCAAGTAACAAACAGTCCACACTCATTTATTTATTTTTTTTATATATATTTTTTATAATTTGGGAATAAAAAGTTGTTATCCGAAAGTACGCACGGTCGAACTTAATACTGTACAAATCAGATCCGACGAAAAAATCACACTAGGCGAACCATATGTGGCAGGTGACCTGAGCCGTCGGATAGTCCACGCTCATTTATTATTCGGATTGATGTTGGGTTGGGTTGAGAGCAATTGCAATGATTTTAATATAAACAGTTTTTTTGTCATATTAGAAGTTTTCTTTCAAGACATTTCAAAAAATACAATACAATGACTTATATTTTGATTGAAAAAAAAATGAAAAAAAATTGATCGTGCTTGGTGCAGGCGAAGCCCAATTCAGGCTATGCATTTACTTTCCTTCTCTCTATCTCTCTCCTCTTCGTTTTTTCTCCCTTCATATTCTTATTTTCTTTCTCTCATCTTTTTACTTTATTTCTCATCTTCTTTCTTTCTCTTTCTGCTTTTTTTTTTTTTTTCCTCTCAAATAGAGCTGTTGCTTAATTTTTCTCTCTTTACTTATAAAAATATAGAATATTACATAGACAAGTAAGTTAATGAAACTTTTTTTCTCTGTACCATTGCAGTTGCTCTGAAATTAGCTGAGATTATTTTGATTTATTTTATTTATTTTTATAATTGTAATGTATGAAAAATATTGTTTATAAAAATAAATTAAACAAACAAAACCCCAGGTTTATTAGATTATATTTTAAATTTATTATTTTTATTTAAAAATAATACTCGTCTCATATGTTGTAGGTAGGGTTATTGTAGATATGAATTTAGAATAAATACAATTACTAAATAATTTAAAATATATTAACTAAAATAATTATAAATTAATATTAAAATAAATAATTAATTTAATTGAAAATTTTAAAAATTAAATTAAAATTAGAATGTATAATATATATTTAAAAAAAAAAATAATATGAGATGTTGGACAGAAAAACGACAATGTGTGACAGAGAGGGTAAGTAATCTGTTACTATATGTTTTACTTATCAAATTTTAATGAATTGTAAAATTTTATTTTATTTTTGTCTATTTAATTTTATATTACAATACTATTATTATTACTTCCCTCCAGTGGCAATACTTAGATCATTTAGTTTCAACTCGACAATTTAAAAATAATAAATATTTTATTAAAAAATAAAAAATAGTTAAAAATATTTTAAAAAAGTTAATTATTAATATAAAGAATAAAAATTGAATGAGATAATAAATTAAATTTAACAAATTCATGAAAAAATAAATAAATTTGAAAAATAATACTAATAAAATAATATTAATTTTGATTTCATATCAAACTTAAATATGTTTAATTGAAATAAAAACCCCAAAAAAAATATATATATATAATATATTTGTTTAATGTTTTAGATTGAATCAAGATAATAAATTATATAGTGCTATTATATATTAAAATTTGTGTCCGATTTGAAAAGTGAATAAAATCATATATTCCTAAAATCAATTTATACAAAATTTATGCAAATATTTGTGGAGATACGAATTTCTACGGTTTAAAATATCCAATAAAAAAATAAAGCATTTAAAGTAATTGTTATAATAAAAATATTTGATTTTATTTTTTAAGAAATAGTATTAATATATATAGTATCAAGTAAAAAAAAAAAAAAGGATAACATTAATATTTTAAGGTAACCTGGAGGACAAAAATGCAAATTCCGTATTGCATTTATTGGTGTCGGCCAGTCAATGGTAAACGTGGCAATGTGGGTAAGGCCGTTCCTATGCCCCCAATTTAAATACAACTCTGAGTTCGTTTCAGTTCCGCAGATCTTTTTAATTTTTAATAGTATCAAATCAAATAATATTAAACTGCAAGAAACGAGTACCATATTATACAATTAACTAATTGCGAATATATTTATATATCTTCTCCCCAGAATATCACTACCAACTTTACTCGACACAATTTGCAAGCGCCTCCGATCCATCTACAAGCTCCTTGCCAATAAGGTATGGAACGGTTTATATTCTTTATGGTTTCAGCTTTGACGGTATCTACTGTTTGTTCTTTGTTTTGATTTGAGGTTGATTGTTTGCGATCTGGTTTTTGTTTTTGCTCTTATTGTGTTTAGATCTGAAGAAACTGACCGACCTGAAGGGTTAAGGGGCGGTTGTTGTCGATAGAGGCCGTTGTATGCATATGTTTGTTATACCGCTGGGGATTAGTAAGATTAACGTTGATTTGCTGAAAATTTGGTGGTTATGGTGGAGATTTAAGGTTTCTGGTTGTTTGGATTTATAGTGTTGTGAATTCGTTTTATTGTATGTGAAAGTTGGTTTATGCTATTTAGCTGATTTAGGGAGAGAAGTAAAGGTTAGCTGAAGTATTGAAGTAATTAGAATGGAGACTTTAGTTGCTGCTCATCATAGGAACCAGAATCATAATCAGTATTATGGTAGGAAACGAGGACGTGGATCAACGAAATTTGGTTCATGTGGATCTGCGCCGGCCAAGAACTTTTGGGGAAATAGTTGTAGGACATACGAATCTGCAGCTGGTTTAATCCCTACACCTTTGAAATCTGCCTCTACACCTGTTTCTAAGAAAAGCTTCTATGCTTCTCGCTCGTCCAGAACCTCGCCATCATCTGTTAATAACAGTAGAAAATGCTCGGAGCAAAATGCCAGGAGAATTGCTGGCCCTATCCCAATAAAATTGGACTTTGAGAAGGAGGGGAAGTTGCATTTCTCTGAGAGCTGGGCTGGGACTGCTTGCTCAATTTCTCCTCCTCCAAGTTCTTTGCCCTTGCCTGTGTTTGCTCTTCGGCCAAGGAGGACAGTTTCACTTGATTTGCCTAAAATGGTTGCTGAAATTGATCTACCCCCCATTGCGAAATCTGCTCCTACTTCCCCAGCAAGGGGGTGCAGTCCTTCAGCAAGTGGTCTATTTGACAGCATTGAATATGCAACTACGATGCTGCGGCGAATCCTTAATCTTGAAGTTATTGACGAGTGAAGGAGTACTTGGTCCCATGTAAATATGGAAGTCTATAGGCTGAATGTGTACATAACAAATAAGGTCTGTTGAATAATGTTTGTGTGTTTGTTTAAGGATCTTAAAGGAGGTTGGACAATGTGATGGATCTGAGTGTGGTTTGGTTGCTTGAGGTAGAATTTGCAGGAGGAAGGTTTATACAGTAAGGATTACTGAACAGACTGATCAGATTATTATATTCACCCTTCAGACAGATGAATTGTCATTGAATTCTCTCTGCAGTTATATATTCTCATCATGGGTTTCTAGTCTTGTATATATTGGAGTCTTAATTTGATTGTTAGTTTGCATATCTCCACAACCGATGCTATAGCCATTTAACTTAGACCTGGACCTTATTTTCTTTCACTTTCTTGAACTCAAACAAGGGATCAATTTTCTGATTCCTGCACAACCATTTCTTCCCCCTCTCCCTCCATCCCTTTCCCTCTTGTTTTCTTCAGTAAATGGACCAACGTTGATACTATCCATTAGCCATTTTTCTGTTTTTTGATAAGAAAAATGGTATGGGTTATGTAGGAAACTATTATCCTTTTGCTCTCAGTAAGTTCTTTTGTGTCCCCCCCCCCCCCCCCCCTCTTGTTGTGGAACTCTTACGAAATCCTCCTGCTCTTTCCTTGTTTGAAGACTCTAGTTTGTCTTTGTCTATTCTAATTAGAAATACCTTCATTCATCTCACTTTGATGTGTCTTGAATACCTTGTTTTTCCTGCTCTAAAGTGTATCTTATCACTGAAGAGCTTTGATAAATTCCTTGCTCTATAGTGTATCTTATCACCCAAGAGCCTTGATCATTCAACGGTTTTTACAGGTAATCCTTCATAATCTTATATATCACTCCATTTTTAATATGGTCCTTGATGCTAATGTGAATTTTCATACTCCTGGCAGGGACAGCTGTGTGTAGATGGTAGAAGAGGTTTGACGCAGCCCTGTTCTTGGTGATGGTGTGCCCTGTAGCATTCCATGCCCGACTGTTTCGATCTTTTAAGTATAGAGTACCGACTTAGTCTGTCATGTTTTATGGTGCTTTGTCATTGATGTTTATCGGTAGCTTTTGTTTATGCCAGTATCGTATAAGACTACAGGTGAAGGTGTGCTTCAACTTATGTTAGTTAATTTCAATTTTCTTCAATGATAGCAGTAAAATAATAGCATGGTGCTTCATAGTTATGAAGACACTTTTGATTTTATATCACTGGGCATTGTATGAATATCATTTGGAGTATTTCTACTAAAATGTTGTGATATTGATGCTTTAATAATGATAAAAAATGGTTACCTATATTGTTCATTGTGAAAAATACCATTGAGATATTAAACCCTACCCGTTTGTGTTTCTGCCAAGCAACTTGTTTGGATCTGATTATGTATGAATTTTTATAGCTGGTGAAAGAAAGAGCAAATAGAATTATGATTCAAGGACTCTAACCTACCTAAAGATAATGGGATGTCCTAATGCTAATGTGAAATTAATATCAGGAAGAGTCTAGAATTTGTTTGGAAGTTGACTGAAGATAGGAAACCAAACAAAAGAACTTCCAAAATGGTCAAAAGTAGTTGAGCTCCACAAATTCATTTCAAATCTACTTAGCTTTCTTCCCACACTGAATAAACTTCACTCACTTTATAACACACATGCCATCCCTCAGCTTCAAGAATTTAAATTTTGTTCAGTTCAGAGGAAATCTTCAAATTCAGTAGAGAAAGAAGGCTATGGCAACTTCATCACCAAATGCTGCCTTAATCTTGTTTCTTTTACCACTGGCATTGTCGATTTTTCAAGCAGGAGCACAGATCACAACTGCATGTACAAGTTCAGTGATCACCAGCTTCACACCATGCTTGAATTTTGTCACCGGCAGCAGCGGCAGCGGTTCATCCCCCACCGAGGATTGCTGCAGCTCGCTCAAGTCGCTGATGAGGGACAACATTGACTGCGCCTGCCTAATAGTGACCGGAAATGTTCCTGTCTCGATCCCATTTGTGAATTCCAGCATGGCGCTTACGCTTCCGAGAGCGTGCAAGAGCTCTGTGCCCTTGCAGTGTAAAGGTAAGTTTAAAGAACTTTGTTCAAATAACTCAATCATATATATATATGTATGCACTATATAACTTGGTTTGGAATTTTGTGTTTCTGCAGCCACTGGTGTGCCATTGCCTCCGCCAGGTATGTCTGCAGTGTGTTTGTTTATGTAAATTCAGAGTCATTATAAATTAGTTTACTGTTACATTGGATTATTTGAAAATTATAATTGATCTAGTGTACGGACAGGTCCTGTCTTGTTCGGACCAACTTCAGCTCCGGCTCCGGCTCCAGCAGCACAACCTCCGGCTCCTCGGAGTCATAATCATAGTCATGGTCTGACTCCGACTCCAGCTCCAGCTCCAGTTCCAGCACGTAGAAGACATGGCCCAAAAGGTATGGAAGACATATAGACAACACAATAATTAATGATAGTATGATACAATGTTTTGAATTTAATATAATATCATCTATCATATGTTTTGTTTTGTTTGTTTTAGCATCTAAAACAATGGCAGCTCCGCCGCCGGTTGAAAGTAGTTCCGGTGCAGCAGCATTAGCGCCGCCTCCTAAATTTGCATTAGGACCAAGTGCAAATCCAGGAATCAGACCAGTGTTCAATCCCCAATCATCGTCATCGTCATCCTCATTTCCATCTCTTTCTGTAACAGTATTATTTTGTGCAGGAATCCTTGCGGCGGCTGCCAACTACTACTGAGAACCCCCCAAACACTTGTATTTGTCCTTTTCCTTATTTCGAATATAATGCTTAATACACAATTAATTACTCACACGGGAATTGATAGATACTGCTTATTACTCATTACATATATAAACAGACAGTCCTCAAATCCTGCAACTTGCAAAAGAAATTCATAAAAAAAAAAGAAATGAAATATTTTGATTTATCTCCAAAATAACGCCGCCACCGCCGCCGTACGGCCTTCTCTGTACCAATCCAGTTTTGTACTACCTGCGTTTTGTCGTCTTCTTGTGTATACATACAGCCTGTCGGGCTAATACGCGGCGATACATTCTGTCCGTTGCAGAGACACGTACGGGGACACTTGTAATAATGCATGGCGTTTATCGTCGATCCCATCGCCGGATCTCATCCTGATCTTAAATCTTCTTTTCACTATAAATTCATTAATCCTCCACTCCATTACAGCAACACACAGTTCTTCATCTGATCAGCTTCACAAATCAAAATGCATCACAAAACTCGCCTTTGTTTGTTTCTGACGGCACTGTTCCTCGCTTCTGCGGTCCTAATTTCGGGCCATGACTCACAGACCGACCCGCAGAGGGAGTTCGAGCGATGCCGGAGGAAGTGCGACCGCCGCTCCCCGGAGGCCCGGCGGATCTGCGAGGACCGCTGCGAGGAGCGGCGGCGGCGGCAGGAGGAGGTGGAGGCGCAGCCAGGGGGAGACGCCGGAGAACGTGAGGTGGAGGATAAGCAGAACCCGTACGTGTATGAGGATCGACACTTCGGCACTGATATCCAGACCCGACACGGACGGGTTCGGGTCCTCCGGAAATTCACGGAAGGGTCGGGTTGGAAGCTCCTCAGAGGCGTTGAGAATTACAGAGTCGTGATTGTGGAAGCAGAGCCGCGGACTTTCGTCGTGCCCAATCATTGGGACGCCGACGTCGTCATCTTCGTCGCCAATGGTAATAATAATAATAATATTTATTATATATCTGAATATTTTTTGTTGGTATTTATGTATTTAATTTAATTTCATCAGGAAAGGGAAGTGCGAGTCTGGTGAGACAAAACAGGAGGGAGAGCTTCAACATCAAAGAAGGCGACGTGTTCAGAATCAGGGCCGGAACGACGACGTATTTGGTCAACAGGGACAACAATGAAAAGCTCGTCCTCGTAAAGCTTGCAATACCCGTCTCCATTCCAGGCCATTTCCAGGCGTTCTTCGGCGCCGCCGGCGAAAATCCTCAATCCTTTTACAACGCATTCAGCGACGAGATTCTCGAAGCTACTTTCAACGTGCGCGCTCTTCAGTCGAATATTCGAATTAATTAACGTTAATTATGCCCCCAATTAATCGTATTCTGAATTTCTGATCTCATATATCCAGACGAGGAAGGAACGACTGGATAAGCTTTTCGGGCAGCAGAAACAAGGAGCCTTCTTGAAGGCGACGGAGGATCAAATCCGGTCGATGAGCCGCCACAAGGAGGGCGGAATTTGGCCGTTCGGCGGCGAGTCGAAGGGCGCCGTCAACATCTACGAGGAAGGTCCTAAACACGATAACAAGTACGGACAGCTGTACGAGGTGGACTCCAGCGAATACAAACCTCTGCGAGATCTAAACGTCGCCGTTTCGCTGGCGAATATCACCCAGGGTGGAATGTCGGCTATGAACTATAATTCCAAGCTTACGAAGATCAGCGTCGTGATCGACGGCGAGGGCCACTTCGAAATGGCGTGTCCTCATGTATCCAAGGAGAGCCGCCGTGAATCGCAGCTCCCGAGCTACCAGCGCGTCGGCGCGCGGTTGAGGCGCGGCACGGTGGTGGTGGTTCCGGCGGGTCATCCTTTCGTGGCGGTGGCTTCCAACAATCGGAATCTGCAGTTGCTTTGCTTTGAAGTTAACGCCGAGGACAATGAGAGTCATCTTCTTGCAGGTAATTAGTAATTCTTTTAAACATCCTTATACGCCGATCGGACTCGTAAGCCATGTCCGAAGCGCCGCCATTGATGAGATTTCATGATTTCTGATGTTGCAGGAAAAAGGAATGTGATGAAGCAATTGGAGGAGACGGCGAAGGAGCTGGCCTTCGGAGTCCCGGCTCAGGAAGTGGACGAGGTGTTTAACAACCAACAAGAGGAGTACTTCTTTCCGGGACCCCAGTGGCGTCAGCAGCGCCAGGACCTCCTTGCCGATGCGTGATGCGTGATGCGAATACGAATCCGTATCCGTATATTATACTTAATAAAATCCCGAGGAGGATATGTACGATGTACGGTCTGTCTGAGATGTAATTACGTAAGACGATGGCAAGCACTGCTAACATAAATAAAACAGCTGATTCCAAAAGAGCAATATTTGGCCCAAAAAGCCCATATTATTTGGTCCAATCCAGTAATGTAGCTATTTCTTTAATTGGGCTAACATTAGGCCCATAATATGTGTGACCCATTTAATTAGTGAAAATCAATCCAAAAGGTCCAAAAGGCAGTCCAATCAAATACTCCCTCCGTCCTCGCGACTCATGGCCCATTTTTCTTTTTTTTGTCCGTATAATTTTTTATTTTTAATAAATTTATTTATTTTAAATATATTTAATAAATTAATTTTTTAATTTTATACGTAGATCCACTCGAAATTCTTTTATTTATATTTTTTTTAATAAATAAATATTTTTATCTATATTTAAAACTTTTTATTTTTAATAAAATTAGTGGTAAATTAATTATTTATTTAAATATATTTAACAAATATAAATTAATTTAATTAAATTTTTAACTTTATACGTAGATCCACTCAAAATTCTTTTATTTTATATTTTTCTTTAATAAATAAATATTTTTATCTATATTTAAAACTTCTTATTTTTAATAAAATTAGTGGTAAATTAATTATTTATTTAAATATATTTAACAAATATAAATTAATTTAATTAAATTTTTAACTTTATACTTAGATCCACTCAAATTCTTTTATTTTTATCTCTTCAATAAATAAATATTTTTATCTATATTTAAAATTTTTTATTTTTAAATAAATTAGTTTTAAGTTAATTATAAATAAATAAAATTTATTTATTTATTTGTATTCTATAAAATTTTATTCTATATTTATATTCTATATATTTTATTGATATATAATGCTAAATATATTTAAAATGCCAACAAAACTACTCATATAAAAATAATATCATAATTTATTATTAATAACTTACTAATCTACACTACATAAAATACCGTATCCTTAAGTAAAGTATCATTTTGATTGTGACGGAGAGAGTATAATTTTTTTAATATTTAAATAAAGTGACAAATGAACTATAAGAATCTTTAACAGTAATTAATACTGTAGTATACTTGAATCAAGTGGTATGTACGACACTAAGACTTTGTATTATGGGAAAAGAATTGATGATAGGTAGCAGTCAATAATTAATTGAATGAAAGTGAAAAGATTGTTAAGTGGGTGGGCTATGGCTATGACAAACCTTTATCACAGAATTTAAGGCCACCTATGAAAATGACTTCCAAAACACATTTTACGTACAAATATAATACTCCTACTATTTTTTTTAAAAAATAAATATTATTAATAAATTCTGTTAAAGTGATTTGCAATATACCCAAGTAAAGTAAACATAAACCATGTATGTCTTGTTTGTTGATTTCTCATTGATGATAGCTTTCTCTTTCAAGGCCACGTGCTGCATCATCTGGTGGTCCATAATATTTAAATCCATCCACATCGACTCGACTCATGTTGTATGTAATAATATTATTATGTAAATTCATAACCTTTTCATTGCTATTAATACTCAATAATACATTAAATTACAAAAAAGAAAACATTAAGTGGGCATCGAATTAAAAGTAGGTAAATAATAAATTTCTTGATCACAAATCCGACCCTCTGTGCCAGTCTAACTACAACAAAGAATAAAAGAATTAAATATTAATTAATGCACATCACATTATATAAAAATGCCTTATCCATCTTCTTCCTCACTTTCTGAACCCCACCATCGTCACAATGAAAATATTGTTCAAAGCTCGACTTGTCCATTCACTGTTTCTTGATTGAGCAAGAACAATCAATCAATCAATCAATCATAGCATGATTTTATTACCAACCTCGTTAACATTGTCATCTCCAATCTTGTTGATGACATAACCTGCAAAAAATTAAACCAAATTGAGCTTCAGACGAATTCATTCACATTCTTTCAACAAATCTATAATTAGCCATTGTTAGAAACAAGTAAAGCTCAAATGCGAGGCTCCCCTGTCCTCTACCTTAAACCGTATCCATCTCCAGTGTCTTTCGATCTCCACTTCTCGTCTTCAAAGTCCTGTTCGACAGCGAAGAGGATCCCCTCCCGGAACAAATCAGAATCTCTGCATTGTAACTTAATCTCGAAAATGGAAGTTTACTGCAGGTACGGCAGCACGAGCAGCTCTTCAGCCTCGACACGGGAACTCGAATGATTCACGATTTTCTTAACATGGCTGCAGTTGGACTCGACTTCAGCGACGAACACACTGTACACCGGTCTATGGTCTGAGAACCTCGACTCTCCCCTAACGTACAACAGCTGTCGGAGACCATATCCGCGCCACAGTATACGGTCACACCTTCATCAACAGCCAAATTGTCGAGTGAATACGACAATATCATGTTAATTGTAAGCTAACTTTTTAGCCCTACCATGCAGGGGTTCGACGTTTCTCTTTCGGGTTTATGTTCTCCCCCGCATATCTGTCTGAATTATTCGAGTACTTGTAAGTCGGCGGGAAGTATATTTTCCCTTCGTTCCAACCTACAAAAACACGGCCCTGACTCTGTTCCGTTCGAAGCTGTTCGAAACGGTTAAAACATTAGTCGAAAGATAGATCGCGATCAATGATCGAAGTTTAATTTAATTTAATATTTTTTTTCGCTTGCCTGATCATTCTCCAACAAAGCTCTCCAGTTGCGCATCTCGACAAGAGCCTTCGCGTATCGATAAGCAAGCGTGATTCTGTAATTCAAGTCCCCGAGCCAGATGATTCGACTGCACGAAAAACACAAATTTAATTTTTTGACATGAAAACGAAAATTAAAAGAATGTGTAAAGAGATGATGAATGTACTCATGGTCAAGGATTGTTTGAGGGGAGTTATCGTTTGCGTCTTCGTGGACTTGTGGGAACCGTGTTTTCTTCAAGATTTCCATGACGTCGGAGTTCCTCCGCAGCTCGTCCCCGTCTTTCTCCCCGGAGGTTAAATGGCTACACACGAAGCAAAAACTCGTCCGGTGCAATGACATGCTTATCGAAATCGAACCCTGAAATCCTTCACATTATAAGATACCGGTTTCTCGATGTTCTAAATTCGTATTCAAGTAAAATATGTTGACTTTGCACCTTGTTCCCGAGATAGCCCATCAAGCCTCTACCGACACAGGATACCTTTAGATTGCGCACGTCGTCTCTTAGATCAGTCTTGATCCACACCATGAGGAAAAGCCCCACCATCTGTTTGCTCGCGAATAGAAAATACCTCGACTGCTCGGGAGGTCTGTCTCCATCATCGATCAAGGCAGGACCGTAGTGGGAAACAGGGGAGTGTTGCATGTAAGGAGATGGATTCGATCCATCTTCATCGTCGGACGAACCAGTCCACCTCGAGTCCGGATCACAATAATCGCTCGGTCTATAATTATATCCATACATCATTTGATCGCACACGCTGAATCGATGATCAAGATTGGGCGGGGGATTCGAAACATGACTCCCCATGAATCTCATGCTGCGGCTGATCGACTGAAACGAGCTACGGTGGGAGAAAGACGAGCCCTTTCCCCTATTCAATCCATCAAAATCAACAACAAGATCGACGATAGGATTGGGAATCAGAGATGGTACGGAGCAACTGCTGCCGGGGAGGCTGTTGAGCGTTTTCTGGACGAGAGCTTGCCATTTTCTAGCAGGGCCATTGTCTTCAGTTCCCAAAACATTACCAGCATTTAAAGGAACGATTTCTTGAAACCTGAAGAACAACAAATTGTTTAACATCAATCCTTATTCAGGAGTTAAAAGTACGGCGATGATGTTCGATTAATCAATTCACCCTAGAACATAAATGTCAGCAGCCGGTGCACTGTGTAGCCATTCTTCCAGATTTAAGTAACTCGGAGGTGACTTTCCGGCCACATTCCACGTCGATACAAAGATCCTATCTCAAATAAAATGAAGAAAATTATGGATGGATTCAGGGGCTTGGCAAAGTTCAGTGAGTTCATAAAAGAGTGAAAAGGCAAGTCACCTATAGTTGTGCACATCAGTGATTGGGGAGGCATCAAGATCAATCTTTCGATTCAATCTCCCTGTTAAATCAGTTACTAATAATTGGTATTGGTAATTCCAGTTTGATGAGGAATAGAATACCAGTGCTGTTCAAAAGATGAAAAAGATTTACTGTTTGGTTCTGAACATATGTTGTTTTTCTTGACAGTGCATGAGAAACTGTTGCTCCATTCTGCAGCAACATCTGAACAAGGTAAATGAATCGAAAGTGAGTGTGTGCCCTAATTGATTGAACCAAGAAATTACAGCTTTAGAGAGATGATTGATTATATGAACTTGTGCTTAAATTGGGGGAGACTTCAAGAGATCTCAGCAAATCAAACACAGGCAAATGCTAATTGGGAGACTCCTGAGGAACTTATGCTTAAATCCAGATTTCCCACTCAATCCCATTTTCATTAGAGATCAAACTGTTATTACCTTCGAAAATGATGTTATCAGCATGAAAGTTCACAGCTTTGCCCTGGAGATTCCGCCATTTCTTGACCAGAGTTTTGGTCCATGAAAGCTTCATCAAGAAACACAGAGATCAGAAATCAAACACAGCCCAGAAAACCTGATGAATGCCTTCCTTATTCCCAAATTTCTTGGAGAAATCATACAAACCTTGCTTTTCTTCGAGTTTACATCTCTCATTGTTACACCACTTCATACACAAAGATATGGAAACTTTTTAAAATATTTTAAAAATGTCCAAGACAAAAGTCTAAATTACAACAAAAATCAAGAACTAGGGTTAACTGGATCAGAATACGGTGCTTAGTCAGTGGAAAGAAGAAGCACACAATACATACACACACATATATATATTTATTAATCAAAATTCCCCAATAACTAAAACAAGAAAAGAAAGGAAAGAGCGAAAGGATTATGAAAGTAGAAACAGCTCAGCCCAGAAATGCATACTACAGATCAAACTAGGGAAAGCAATAGCAACAATAATGCATCAATCACAATGGCGGTTTGGGGGAAAATAAGCTGAAACACACACACACACAAAGGAGGAATTCTTTTGCATAACGACGGGTGTGGATGCTTGTATGTAATGGAGAAGGGCTTCATAATGGTAGCTAAGCTAATTCTATTGCCCCAAAAATGAAGGGGCCCTTGAGTTGACCCCCCCTCCCCACCCTACGCTACCCCACCCGAACTGGGTCGCTATTCAAACCGGACCCCCACCCAAGGTGAAGATAAAGAGCAGCTGGCCAGGGCCCTGGTCTGGTCTGGGGTTCATTAATCAATCGATCTTGTACGGCCGATTAGAGGGTAAGAACAAGAAATGGTATTCATTCATTCATTAATTCGATTTTGAGGGTTGGTTGGTATTCTTTCATTTTCTTTCTTCCATTCTATTTTTATTTGGTGGCGAATCATTAACTTCATTAGGATAGACTAATTATTGGAGGGGTTGGATAAATTATCATTACCATAAATTAGTAGAGATTTTTGGTTGATGATTATATTATATATACTATTATTAAATTCAACTAATATCATCAAGTTGACATTCATTCATTCGTTCGTTGATCAGTTAAACAGAAAAAGAATCATATCACAATCACTAATCAAAGATTCCAACCATCCATCATATCATTTTCGTCTCAATAATATACTCTCCATCCATATATTCTGTGTATTTGAACAAGAAATTTAGAAAAATGAAAAAGCAAGAGAGAGAGAGAGAGAGAGAGAGAAAGATACGTTGTGCAAGAAAATGGGAGGCCACACAGTCCCTCTCTTTTTTCATATAAAACTGAAAAAAGAAATTAAATAATAATGTTGGTATGGAATGGATTTATGGATTTAATTGAAGTGATGAGTTATATTGAGTGTTGGAAATTCTTTAGTTAATTTGAAAACCTGGCAAGAAAGAAAGGCTTTGATGTGGGGCTCTCAAAATTATTTATTTTGTTGGATGGTTTCACCCTTTTAAGGAAGAAGAAAGTGATATTTTTATCAACATTCCTCAAATATAAAAGCTCAAAGCATGATCCAATATATATAATACCCACTTTTTTTTTTTCTTTTTAATATATATATATTTATATGTATTAGATATTGTGGTTTAGCAAGTATGGGTGTCATGATCGGACACTATATCCTTAATATGACATCTGTACTGATCATAATTAATTGCTTGAATTTAGTGTCAATTATTTAATTATTTGTAAACAGGCTGGATCGGACATTACAGCAAACAAACCGCCGAGTAGTAATTAATTATTTTGGGCCTTTGCTTTGACTAACTTAAAATTATACTACCATTTATTATTTATATATATATATCAATGGTTCTGTATTTTCCTTATTTTATAATTGATTATATATATATATATATATATATTGAGAGACTTGATGAATCGATAAAAATATTTGTTGCAAGTTATGGTAAGGTTTGAGGTGTGCATGTTAATGTTTTTGTGACATTTTTTTATAGGACTAGTGAATGAATGTATAATGCATTTTCAATTTATCTCTAAGACAAATCTCGTTCATCTTCTTTGTTTAATTGTTAATAAATATCATATCATTTAATGATTAATTTAAACACGAAAAATAAAATTCAAGCACAACATTTCCTTTGATAAAATATGTTATTCCATAGTTATGTTATATATTTGTTGTAATAAATGTGTTTTGTTCAGTTCTTTTTTTTTTTTAAAAAAAAAATAATTATTTGATACTTTATAAAAAAATTATTCTTTTTGTCTTATAACATAATATTAAAAAAATTTAAACATGAAGTTTTATAAGGGTAGAATTGAAACTTTATAGAATTAATAATATAATTTTTGGATAAAACTAAAATATTTATAAAAAACATATGATATTTATAAAATAAATAAATAAAATTAAAAATATCATACATATATTTTTATTAAATATGACATGAGCATATTTTACATACTAATACAGTAGATACTCCATCCGTTCCACTTACAATATCCATGATGTTTTTGTCCGTCCCAATCACTTTCCAATCTATTTTAATCTTTTTTTAATTTAATTTTTTATGATTTTAATTAAACTAATTAGTTATCTTAATTTTAATCTATAATAATTTATATTATAAGTTAATTGATTTTACTAATACATTTTTAATTATCTACTAATTAATTGATTTTACTAATATATTTTTAATTATCTACTAATTATATTTATGCACGGACAGAGGTAGTATATTTTTACAAAACAAAAAGAGTAATATATATATTGTTTATTAAAAAGAATGTATACACTAAACAAACTCATGTCACAAAAATTTGAACACATTCACAATGACCATATGAATACAAACAAATATTAGTTTTATGAATTCAAATTTTCAATGCTTTCCACTAGTAACAACTACGTGTATATATAAAACGGACGGGTGTATGTTTTTTTTTTTATATATAACTTAATATAATGAATGAAAATAATCATGGAAATGTGAATTTAAAATTAAAATTGAATAGCAAAAATATAGATGATAAATAACAAAAGCAAACAAACAACCCTAAGGTTTAATCAAATAAGTCTGTAGGTTTTAAGGATAATTAGTTGAGTCAATCTGGTTAAAAATAATGCATAGCTTAAAAGGAGAAACGAATTAACACCAACATCATTAATAATTTCAATTTTAATTTCACACTCTAAATTGTAAATTAATTGAGGACCACAATAGTGGATCAAATGCATGCATTCATAATTAATAATGTGTCCAGGAAACAACAATTGGAATAAATGTCCGAAACGATGTTTAATGCAAGAAAAATCAAGATTGAGAAATACAAACCACACCATTGATAGCATGCATCATTCATAGATGATAATAATGATAGAAGAAGTATCGTTCAACTCTGCGAACCAGAAAATTAATGGCAAGTTGAAGAAGACGAAGAGGCAAAAAGAAACACACACCAAATGCAATTCATTCAAACATCAAATCTCTCACCACAACAAACAGATCGAATTGATTTGTTAATTGCTTTAATTACCTGAAGCTCCTGCGAGGTACCTTAGTGAGAGTAGCCATGACAAGATCAAAATACAGCGGGAATTGCAGAATGGCGAAAAATGTGACCGGCAAGCAAGTTATGGCGTACACCGGAAACGCCACGTATTGCAGCTTCTGTTTCAGGACGAAGAAGTGTCCCGCGCAGAACGACACCAACATCGACGCTATGGAAACAAACAGCGACGACATCCCCACCAGAAGCTTCCTCGGCAGGCTCTTCCCGAAGTCTTTCTCCTGGTACCTGCACTGCACTGCATTAATTACTTATCTTGGAAAAACTTTTAAGCTTTCAGGGATCAATGGTGTATATATATATATATATGCCTGGAAGTGAGGATGGACAGGAACATGACGAGCGACGTGACGGAGAAGCAGAGGGCGATGAGGGAGGTGATGGCGAAGACGCCGAAAGCCGGCTGGCTTTCCAGAATAGGGACGCCGCTTTCCTGGTCGACGCCGCCGGGGACAGTGGCGGACGTGGCGAACGCCACGGTGGCGATGAGCGCAGCCACCACCGAGCACGACTGCGAGGTGTTTGTCAGCCACTCGCCGCCGTCTCTCACTAAACCTTCATGGTCTTTCGTGAATATGTGCCGCGGCGTTAAGCCCGCCTTGTTGTACCGCACGAAGAAGTGCAGCGCCATGGAGTCTTTCACAAACTGATAAAATAAATTAATGATGCGTATCCTTGAAGCTTAAACTTTTAGGTGATACAATCATCTAACTTATACCTTGTACCACTTAATCTCCCATTGCATCTGCAGGGCAGCTCCGGGGATGCGCCAGGGTCGATGATCGCCAAGCATCGCGGCAAGATGCAAAGCGCTGTTGCCATTTTTGTCCGTCTTTCGAAATATCGTCTCCTTCATTCTATGCTTCACTAAGTACTGGTACACCGCAGGCTGCCGGTTTTCGACTGCGAGCAGCACGATGTTCTTCTTGTCGTCATCCATGTCGTGGATGGCCACCGGGAATAGTTCGAGTATCATTTTCACCATTTCCATCACGCCGTTCTTCGCTGCAATGAGTATCGGCGTCTCCTTCTTCGCCATTTCCAATGCTTTCTCGGAATCCCCTGCAAAAGTCGATGTATTAATTTCAAGTTTAGACTTTTAAGTGCTAAAGAAAGTACCATTTCCATCGGCTGCCTTATTCTGGTTAGCTTCTTGACGATCAATTGCAGAAGGCGGATACGAATGATCGTCATGTCCGAAGGGATCGAGCAAGCTGTCATGACTGAAGACAACATCTCCGCCTTCGAAGAACGAATACGGAGTAGTTCCATCCTGCATAGTCGATAAATGAGGCGGTCTTCGCCCATTGTCTTCGTATTCATATAAAGAAGCTTTCTCGAGCAGTTTTCGCATTATCTGGACAGACCATATGTGCTTCTGCTTCTTCTCCCTAAGCTTTTGTATTACAATTGTTCCTGAAACATATATACACATATTTGAACTACAAGAAACGTTCTTTTTCATATCACAAATAGCTACTCCTGGTTAAGCAGACTTACCGAAGCCAAGAAGTATCATCATTGTTTTGGAGAAAAGCTTGAGACCATCGAAGCATGTTCGATAATTCTCCGGGAAGAGCTGATGTCCCTGAGCTCTGAATATCTTCAATTTTCTTTCTGAAGACAAGCCCTGTAATTTCTTACAACATATATAAATGTACATATAATCTAAAAAGCGATAAGCAAACTCTATGCACCTATTTCACTGTCATATTGCTGTCCCATTACATCTCCTTGCTGTTTCTCGACATGGTTACTTGACTCAACTGGAAGAGAAAATTAGCCAAGCTGCAACACTTAATTCATCATCCGAATGTGAAATCGAAGAATCGGGACATCAAACAGAAAGAATAGTATCCACCTTGAGTAGGGACAGTCTTTGGATTCTCTGTATCCGATGGCCGGCTGCTCTTGCCCACTGCACGACATTTGCGGAAACACAAAAGGATGTATCATGTAATTCGATACAAATTCCTGCATTTAAGGCGAAGAGGTATTCCATACTTACATAACACCCTTCCTATAGTCCTCAGGAAAGAAATCAAGGCTACACAGGTATGGTAGTTCTCTGGATAGTGTGCTTTCGGATCATACTCAAGGTCTTTCGACAGAATATGGTGGTTGGAATGGTGCTGGAGCTCATCCACAAAGATGCCTTCCTCCAAAGAAGATCATATTTAGAATAAAATCGAATATGACTTTACACTGTCTGATGAGATGAAGAGGTTGCTCATACTCACAATGATAGATAAGTTTCTGAAAACCACTAACATGACTCCCACTTTTGAAGGCACTGGGCTTGTTGGCAAGCAGATGCAGTGGCGAAAATCCTTCGACATTAAGCGAGTCTATGAGATAATCGTAGTGATTGATGATTTCAAATGCTATTTCTGTCGACAAAATTCAGAAACAAGAACAAAGACAGAGTTTCAACAATCTGCAATAAGCAAAAAAACACTGATCTTGAAAACATGGAGAGTGTCTGTAACCAAAATATTCTCCGGTGATGGCGGCGTGTAGAATGGTGTATCCATCGTTTTTCCTTCGACAGTATCGATAAGCATCCTCCTTTTTACAGAGTGAGTGCAGGCAGAGAAAAGCTCCCTTTTTGCCGTGAAGAACAGCAAGAAAAAATGGAGTTTCGTTGTCGCCGTTGAGTTTGCCAATGACATCGCGGTTTTTCTTCGCAATGCATTCGCACATCTTGACATTCCCCAGAGTGGCTGCCTGATGAAGAGGTGTGTTGCCTAGCTCATTCTCAATTTCCAGGTCTGCAGAGCTCACATATGTAACAAGCTTCTCGACTATGTCTTCTTGGTTGTCGCCGATGGCTACATGTATTGCTGTGTCTCCTGATTTCGTGATCTTGAGTTGTCGAGCCACCTGCTCCGTTTCGTATAGCTTGACTACTTTTTCCCAGTTCCCATTCATTGCATTGCTGAACAGCTCTTTGGTGATTGCTGCCACCATTAAGTGATGATCTGATGCAGAGTGTTCCATTTCACTGCTGATTTCTGCCATTGATGGAAGATCTATTGTTGCAGAAGGTTTCATTTTCTTTTCTATTTGCTGCAGAAAATGATCAAACAAACAGAGATGATCGAAGATAAGAGCACAGCTACTTAATCGAAGGAGTGCTGGACACAAAAGGCTAAAGTGATTATTATTATTCTATCTCTTGCTTAAATGCTTACCAAACTAAAAAGATGATGAACGCCATTAAAGTTGTTCTTCATTCCTCGAAAATAAAAACGATCACGACTTTATTAATGGAGGAACAACAACAGGAAGGAATCAACAATACATTAGAAATTCACAAATGAAAACGTGAAGTATCCATCTTTCAATACAGAAGAAACACACAACTTCAAATTGATCAAACTTCTTCAAGCATCCCAGCTACTGGCTACTACTTGTAGCTCCTCTGAGGCACCTTAGTGAGAGTAGCTTTGAGAAGATCATAATACAGAGGAAACTGGAGCAACGCAAAAAAGGTAATCGGCAAGCAAGTTATGGCGTACATGAGGTACGCCACATTCTGCAACTTTTGCTTCAGCACAAAGAAGTGACCCGCGCAGAAAGACACCAGCACAGCGGCAATGGAAACGAAGAGCGACGAGAGCCCCGCCAGAAGCTGCTTCGGCAACCCTTTCCCGAAGTCTTTCTCCTGATACCTGCAATGATCATACAAACATACATACATACATTTTTACAGTGTTGTGGAAATTAATGATTTTCCAGGAGACTAATGTCTTGCCTGGAAGTGAGAATGGACAGGAACATGACTAGGGACGTGACAGAGAAGCACAGCGCCGCAAGAGAACATATGGCGAATGCCATGAACGCCGGCTGGTTTTCCAGTGTCGGCGTGCCACTTTGCTGATCGATTCCTCCGGGGACTGCCGTGGAAGTTGCGAATGCGACAGTTGCAACCAGTGCAGCCACCACTGAACACGACGCCGACGTGTTGGTCAGCCACTGCCCGCCTTTCTGAACCATATCTTCGTGCTTTATCGTGAACACCTCCTTCGCCGTCAACCCATCTTTGTTGTGGCGCACAAAGAATTGGTGCCCCATCGAGCCCTTAACAAACTGCATACATTCATTCATTCATTCGGACAACTATATAATATGTAATTAGCGATGCGTTGATTAAACTCATCTATGACTAGCTCAATTGTTTTCTACCTTGTACCACTTAATCTCCCATTGCATCTGCAGCGCGGCGCCGGGGATGCGCCACGGCTGAGTCTCACTCAGCGCAGCCGCGAGATGCAGCGCGCTGTTGCCGTTCTTGTCGGTGGCTCTAAAGGTCACTTCTTTCATGCTTTGCTTCACCAAGTATTGGTACACATGAGGCTGCCTGTTCTCCACGGCAACAAGAACTGCATTCTTCTTCATGTAGTCCGTGTCGCGGATCGCCATTGGGAAGGTTTCGAGGATTTTAGTCACCATTTCGATTATACCATTCTTTGCTGCAATGAGAAAAGCAGACTCTCTCTTCCTCACCTCTCTTTGAACTATTGTGCCATCAGTTCTCACTAGAATTGCTCGATCATGATCGCCTTCGCCCACGGCGCGATCAAGCGAGCTCTCATCCAATCCAACGTCTGCGCCTTCTAACACGACGTATGGTCTAGTTTCTTGATCGTCGACAAATTTTAGTTTCAAGGGCTGTCTTCCATTGTCTCTGTACTCATAGCAATTCGCTTCGGCGACAATTTTCTTCAAAATCTCGTACGACCATACGTGCCTCTGTTTTCTGTCTCGAATCTTTTGTATTTCAATCAATCCTTGGCGTTGCACATCATCATCAGACAAATTAACACAGGCAGGGCAATAAAAAACAATACAAATGATCAGACTACTTACCAAAACCAAGAATATATAGTATCATATTCCATATACTGTATAAACATCTAAGAACATTGATGCATTTGCAGTAGCTGTCGCCATTTTTTGGATCACCAAGAGCCTCGTCCCTCGCAGACTCTGTATCCGGTTGCGCGCGAAGATCACTCCTCCTCGCTGCACGACAAGAGAATCGTTTTCATTTTGATGACAAGTGACAAAATGATCGATACAGTGGATACAACTTACTCAACCCCCTTTTGAAATTCCATGGACAAAGATTCGAGCAGGATCGATCGTCCTCTGGCCTACTAGATTTTTGCTGCAGCCCAGTCACAAATGTACCTTCATTAATCCAAAGACAAGAAGAGTTACTTACACCAAGAATAAACCTGCAAATGTCAGCCCCGAAACGAAGGTGAAAATCCTCACAATGATACATAAGTTCATTGATGCCGGTAATGCGACTCCCACTCCTGAATGCATTAGGCTTATTCGCGAGCAAATGCAGCATCGAATTCCCATCCTCGTTAACCGAGTGAATGAATTTAGGATAGCGATTCATGATCTCGAACGCCAGATCTGCAGGAAAAAACATTTGAAGCAAACAAGGGGACTAATGGTTGAAGAAGTAGGTGATGATCACTGACCAAAGTGTTCTCCATCAATGGCGGCATGAAGAATGGTTTCTCCATCCTGTTTCCTCGGGCAGTAGGCGTAAGGATCGCGATCGGGTTCAATGAGGGAGTAGAGGCGGAGAAAGGCCTCCTTCTTGCCGTGCAATGCCGTGAGGTAGAACGGCGTCTCGTTGTCGCTGTTGGGCTGGCCGATGAGGCTGCGGTTCTTCCTCGCAATGCAGTCGCACATTTCGACGTTGCCGACGACGGCGGCGAGATGCAGAGGCGTGTTCCCCATGTCGTTCTGGATTTCGATGTCGGCGGGGGAGACGAAGGAGACGAGCTTGGTGACTATGTCGGGGCGATTGGCGGCAATGGCGACGTGTATTGCGGTGTCGCCGGATTTGTTGATCTTAACCCGGCGAGCCAGTTCCTGTGTTCTGTATAATTCGACGACCTTGTTCCAGGTGTCCTCGAATGCACTCTTGAATAGCTCCTCTGCAATCCTCTCGATTAAACGAATTTCTTCAAGTTCCGCAGAAGGATGATGATGATGATCTATTTCTATGTCTGCATTAATGGGAGGATCCATTTTGACTGCTGTCTGTATCTCTGCTGAAGAAATCGGTGCATATATATGTAAATGGATTAGTGAATCAATTAAGGAGTGGTGGATGGAAAAGTGTAAAGTAGTTATTCTATTATGTCTTGCTTTGCTTAAATGATTAGTAAAGATGAGGTCCGTACGCACAAGGGGTTTCTTATATCTTACCAAATCTGGAGGATCCGATAATGTTTCTTTTGATGGTTGTAGGAACATTTTTGGATTAAATTTTGTATTAAAATAATAAATGATGTGATGTTTTACTAGATAAAAAATATATATATATAAATATTAATTATTATGTAAAAATATAATACAAATTAAAAAAATTATAAAAGTTTTGTAATATTAATAAAAGAATATTTGTAAAAAAATTATATAAATATAAAAATAATTTTAGTATTAATAAAATCTTATAGAATAATGAAGAGAATATATATATATATATATATTTTTTTTCCGAAAAAAATAGTGGAAACTTGAAATTTTGGTAAAGGTCTCCCACGTTTAATTCACGTATGGACTTACTGCAGAGACACTGTATCAGTTGGGCTTTTTATCCATTTCATTGGTCATTTTGAACTGGATCATTATCATCGTCTTCTTCTTACATGGATATATATATATATATCTATATATCTATGGTATGGGCTTTCCTACAATTATTATTATTATTATTAGTTTGGGTTTGGAAGGAATATACCTCAATCTAACAACAACATGGAACATTTCATCTAGTGATGTGAGTAGTAAATTTGTCACCGTGAGGTCAGGATACAATGGGTACCCTGACGTTTAACTGCACATTTCTAACATAGTTGATCGGAAAAAAAATGGGTTTTTTATTTTTTTTTTCAATCATTTTCCTTCTAAATAATAAAATAATAATAATTATTGTAAAGAAAAAAAGAAAGAAAAATCACACCCACATCAAATAATTTAAGAATAATAATAAAAAAAATTGTTTAATGGTGGAAATTAAAACCACTCAATTGGATGATGTTCACTTCTATTAAGAATACTATAGTAGGAGACAAATTCTTGTTCCAAAAGAGAGAAAATTGGCTTGTTACTTTAAAGTTTGGATTCAAATAATTTGAAAATAATAAAAATTTGTATTGAAATAATATTTAATATAATAAAACATGTATTTTATATAATAATTTGAATGAAAAATAATTTTGTTGTAATATAGTACTAAATAAAAAATAAATATTTAATTTAATGATTATGAGATTTTTTAAAAAAAATAGTGTAAAATCAAATTGAGACTTTAAAGAAATAGAACTTGAATGATAAAAAGAAGAATTAGAAAGAGTGTTTATGAATGCTAAAATTCAATTTGAAATCCTTTCTCAACTAGATATGTACTGCAATCAACAAAATAAATACAACTAAGCACAAAAATATTCAAATAAATTATGTCCAATAAATACATAAAGAATCATTGGTCACATTCTTTGATTTTTATTTTCTTTTAATTTCTTTTTTGGGGTATTTTAATTCTTTTATTCTTATTGTTTTAAACGTATAGTAACAAATTTAAAGTAAGTTCTAGTGTGACATGTCTAATAAATTAAAAACAAGTGTTCCATTCACAACTATACAAAAGATTGTAAATTTACGACGATATCATCCATTATTGTATGGAAAATAACATCGAAAACACAAAGAAACACACCCCAAATTCTTGTCAACGGCATATTGAATTATTTTGCACATGCAATTAATTTCTACATCGCCACTATTATACATATCCATACTCAACAAGACAAGCCAAAACTTAATGATTCGCGCATTAATTAATAATGCCGTGTAAATGAAGAGTGGGAGGGACCATGTTTCGTTTTCGCATGCCCTATTCACTCACTTTCATTTTCAACTCTCCAAATCCGTAATAAACATCGAATGTGGAGATCTAGATGGATCGTTTCCATCCCCCCCAAACTATGTGGTTTAGGGTTTATTCGATCATTTCAATTCCTTTCATATAATATATATGTAGGGTTTCTGTTCCATTGTTCGATTTGTTTCCCACACAAACTCGACTAGTCCCTTTCGAACAATTGTTCCCATTTCGATTCATTCCTATCTAATTCCATCCCCAACCCAATCTAACTATTCATTTTTTCTTTTTTTTTTTTGTCTCAGCCCAAACCCTAAAATAGGACTTGTAGTTTTTATTTCATTTTATTTTTTTAAATTGGGTACTTAGGGTTAGTGTAAATTGTGTTTGTGGTTATTTGGAAAACTTGCCTATTAAAGTAATTCCTAATGATGTCCTTATAGTTAATTATGCTTCCTATTGAATCAATTTTTATTTTCTTTTTCTTTTTTCTAATCATATTGGGCACTACTTTATTGATTGTATGTGGATCAAATTTACACAAGTCAACGACAAATATGTCACTCCAAAAATCTTTTGTTCCTAAAAGGACACATGTTGATTTTATAAATACTCTATTATGACTCTGTGCGTTGACATATATTTAGAAAAAAAAAAAAACCAAAAGAGGGTACCCGTATGTGTTTTTTAATTATTTGTGGCTGCTTTGGATTTAATTATTTATAATAAATTTTTTTTTTTACAAGATATATAATTATATTGTTATTAGAAACCAAAATGTCTACGCACGGTATGGGGAAAGAGAATTGCTTGGAAAAAGATAGACCAATCACATGTGAGCTATAATAATAAATTAAATTTTGGTTGTGCACTATTATTAATAAAGCATATAATTTGTTCTTTTTCAGAACGTATTTGAAAAATAATAATTACGGGTTCTCATTTCATAATAAATAAATAAAATAAATAAATAGATAGTAGATTTAACTAAAAATTTGCATGAATACAATGTATGGTAGATAACATTTTTAAAGTAATCCAGATTTTTTATAAAGTTTTTAATAATAATTATATATGTGTATTATGGCGTCTTCCACTTCACATATATATATATATATATTAATGCATGTGATTTGCACAGTAAAAGGATATATCATGTGTTGGAATATAATTATTGAATTTTGAAATTTATATAACTCACGTGTATATAATAAAATACTATTTTATTTTATTTTTTTAACGTGGGATTCCGCATCTGTTATCTAAAAGTGCGCATCAGGTAAACTCCAGATCCAATCCAATATCCTACAAACTAGGCCCTACAAAATTTACATTCTCGTTATAAAAGTTTAGAGGTTATAAGTGTGACATCTCAATATGTTCTATATTAAATGTATAATATATATAATCCAGTTACTTATAACTATTTTTCCTATTTGTTAGTTGGATATTTCTTAATTCTTTAGAAGTCTATTACGCAATTATAATTTATGTCTATAATACAATTACTTACAATTTATAATATATTACATTTAGGATTATTTTTTTTCTTAATTTGTATTATATATTACTATTATATACTAAAATTACAAAATTTAAGTGTAAAAAATAATTGAAAAATCAATATTGAAAGAAAAACTTAGGGTGTGTTTAGATTGATTTGGATTGGGCTTGAAATTATTCTCAAACTTCTCCCTATTAAAATTATCAAATCTAATTGACTTTTCCCTATTAAAATTGTCAAAATAAATGTTTGTATGTTTTTTCTTTTTAAAATTTAATATATTAAAAAAATCAAAACTCTCATTAAATAGAAATTTTTAGAATTGACAAAAAATAAATAAATAAAAAACAATAACAGTAACAAAATAAGTGTGTTTGTTTTCTAAAATTATTTGAAATAATATAATATATATAAAAATAATGAGTATATATAATATATTAATTTATTTTTTTAAAAAAAATATTAGAGAAATTTTACACCAAAAATATTTAATTTCATATTTTTTAGTAAATTATTATTAGTAAATAATATCAAAATTTTAACATATATACAAATATATTTTAAATTTTCATTAAAAATATTATACTAATTATTATTTCAATTCAAAATTCGTTTTAGGCCTCAAATCAAATCCAAACAATTTGATTGAATGGTGAGGGTGGTATGTGGAAGAATACAGCTAAGATTGTTCCAATTGTGGATAGCCAACAAAAAGCTACAGTTCAACTTTTATGAATGTTAAAAGTTGTAAATTTTGGAATTTTTTAAAAAATAATAAAAAAAATTAATTTATATATATAATTATCCCTCTGTCCGTAAAAATTAGAATATTTGGTCCAGCATAGAAATTAAGAAAAATGAATATTTTATTAAAAAAATGATAAAAGTAAAAAGATAATTGAAAGCATTTTTGGAAAGTAAGTTAGAAATTTAAAGAATGAGGAGAGAAAATGTAATTTGTTGTAAATAAGTGTCTAATTCAGGGTAACAGTTACATAGTGATTTGTTAACTTTGCCAAAATTAATAATTAATTAAATTTAGCGGGCCAAACTAAAAAGGTAGCGAGTAAATTTCGCGGACAAGAGTAATTTATAGGATAAAATAAGTATATGATTTAATGTTTTTTTAAAAAATATTTTCTAATAAATATTAGCAATTAAAATTTTTTCTAAATATGACAAATAAAAATAGAAAATAATTATATAATAATTAATATTAAATAATAACACAAACAATTGATTTAATATATTTAAGAAAATTTAAATTAAATAATATAAATATTTTAATCAACAGAAAAACCTTTTATATTATAAAAAGTATTAATAAAAATAATTTAAATAAATTATGATACACTATTATAATATTTAAAATATTAATAATGGTGGGCCAGTTCCATAAAATAGGACCAACTTCCTTCCCAACAGTAAGTTCGGCGGGTTTTCGGAAAGTATTACTGTAGTCAGTAGGCCCAAAGTTGCAAATAAATGTAAGAAAAAAATATAAATAAAAAATAAATGTAAGTATAAATATAAAGGTGGGAGCGTTGGTTTGTTTGTTGGTTCAAGTGTTTGTGGCTTTTTTTTTTTTTTTTTTTTTTTTTTTTTTTAAAATATTGTTATTCAATTAAAATTATTTTTAATATATTATTTATATTTATAAGAATAATAATTAAATAAAAATTCAAGCACAAACTAATATCAATTTTTACAATTTGAATTTAGTTTGATAGTATTGATAAAAAGTTGTGCCAATAAAATAATAATTATATTTTTATTTTTAAAAGTATATTATAAAAATATATCAAATATTTATTTAATATATTCACCTAATGATGGTTTGGATGGTATGATGTTTCATAAATATTACGTAACAAAATATTTATTCAAATATAAAAATTAAACAAACCCATTACGTAAACGTGCTATGCATCAAATACCTTTGTAATTCAAAATTTATTATTCTTAAACTTTAAAATTAAATTCGAACATCAGAAGCACCCATCAAAACTAATTCCTTATTTTTTATTTTTTTTATTTTTATATTACATAATTAAAGTAATTTATATCTATTACATAATTGTAATAAATTTATCTATTATTTGAAAAAATTGTAATCAAAACCTATTTTATTTATTATTACATAATTATAATAAATTAAAGCTGTTTTTTTATTAATAATATTATAAAATAATACTCTCTCCGTCCCAAATACCGTGTCTGCTAGAAGGGGTGTAATTAGTAGATAATTAAGAATATATCAGTGAAAATAATTATTCTATAATATAAATAATTATAAATTAAGATTAAGATAACTAATTAGTTTAATTAAAATTTAAAAAATAAAATTTAAAAATTTAAAATGAGATTAAAATGTGTAATCATTTTCCAAAAAAAAAAAGTGACATGGTATATGAGACGGACAGAAACGACAACGTGGACATGGTATTTGAGACGGAGGGAGTATATAATTATGTTACATCAATAATGGACCTTGTTTATAATAATATATTCTATATTTCTGATACTATTCCTTTAATAATATTTTCTAAACTATAAAATTAAATTTATATATTCGTTTATAAATATTATGTCAAATATTTAAATTTTTTAGAAATTTTCAAAATAGATAAGAGAAATTTGAAAGTTAGTTGTAAAAATTTTGAAAATAATAAAAATTATTTTTTTATTTAATATATTACATAAAAAATATATTTAATTTAATATTTTTTAAAAAAATAAAATAATGTCAAAATTAAAAAAAATTGTGTAAAGAAATGATGAGTTCACTTAATATTTTTTTGAATAAATATATTTTTTTTATGTCTATTGAGAGTATTCATATCGATAATATACAAAATAATAATATTTTATGTTGAATTATTGTAAATGAATATAATATATACTGTAAAAAACATATATTATTATTTTTTAATATTTACAAATAATTATGTCGTTCAAAAACAAACTGAGTGAACAAACCTATAGTCTTTGTCTAAATGGAGCAAATATTTGTTACTTTCAAAATTCTTTTTCAAACATTTTAAAGAGATTTGATGGGTGTGTTCTTTTTATTTTTATTTCTTTTTTTAAAACAAACAAATATATATTTTTAAAATAGTACTTCCTTCCTTCCACGTTGGATGTTTGGGTTCACCATAGATATGAGAATTTAAGATAAATATAATTAGTAGATAATTAAAAATATATTAGTGAAAATAATTATTCTATAATATAAATAATTAAAATTAAAGTTAAAATAACTAATTAGTTTAATTAAAATTTAAAAAATTAAATTTAAAAGTTTAAAATGAGATTAAAATATATAATTATTTTTCAAAAAATGAAAATGACATGGGATGTGGTACGAACAGAAACGACAATACGAACACAGTAGATGGGACGGAGGGAGTAATATATCATATATATTTATTATTTTTATACTCTGTCTCACTTTAAAAAAATAAAAAAATATGCACATTTTATGTTGAACAAAAAGAGTATTATTTATGAAAATAAATAAGATTAAAAAAAATAGTATTGGTTATGTATACATATAATAGACCTTTGTTAGATAAAGAAATGTACTTATCAGTGGAAGTTTAATTAATGACAGCACACTGTATACCTAAAAGGACTTCAAGTCCCGGGACTTTCAGAAGTTTCCTGGCAGCCATGGGAACTCCACAATTTCCGGTGTCTGGCCTTATAAAACACCCTTAAATTCCATTGCTACGTGCCATGAAACCTGCAAGTAGTTCAGGAAACTTTACAAATCAATTTACAAAATGAGCACTCCCGAGGACGACAAGTACCCGGCGGCGTCCAACGGCGAAAGCGCGTGCTACCGGCGCGCCGCCGTTCCTCCGCCGCTTCCGTTCGTGAAGTCGCTGAAGAACACAGTAATGGAAACGTTCTTCCCCGACGACCCTTTCCGGCAGTTCAAAAACCAGCCGGCGAGGAGGAAACTGGTGTTGGGGCTGCAGTACCTCTGCCCCATACTGGAGTGGGGCCCGCGCTACACCTTGGATTTCTTCAAGGCCGACCTCGTCGCCGGAATCACCATCGCCAGCCTCGCCGTGCCGCAGGGCATCAGCTACGCCAAGCTCGCAAATCTGCCCCCCATTCTCGGCCTCTGTCCGTACACACACATATATAATTAATTATACATATATATCATTAATTGGTTTGTTGATTGATTAACTGGTTTGTTGGTGAATTAGACTCGAGCTTTGTGCCGCCGTTGGTGTACGCGGTGCTGGGGAGCTCCCGGGACTTGGCGGTGGGGACGGTGGCGGTCGGCTCGCTGCTCATGGGGTCAATGCTCACCCGATTGGTCAACGCCAATGAGAATCCTCAGCTCTACCTACGTCTGGCTTTCACGGCGACGCTCTTCGCCGGCGTTCTCGAAGCTTCCCTCGGAATCTTCAGGTCTGTGCTTTCAGATCATCATCATCATCATCATCATCATCATCATATATATATATATGTATGTATATGTATATCCTACGTTTCAATTGCATTCGTGTGCTTGAGCGCAGGTTAGGGTTTATAGTGGATTTTCTGTCGCACGCCACAATAGTAGGGTTTATGGGCGGCGCCGCCACCGTCGTCATACTCCAGCAGCTGAAGGGCGTGTTTGGCCTAGAACATTTCACCCATGAAACCGACATTATCTCTGTCTCTAAAGCTGTTTTCACTCAATTTCATAAGGTAATTGATATAGCTTAATGGTTTTTGAAACAATTAGCTCGTTTTTCCTAATCAATCTTATTAAATCCAGCCATATTTAATTAATTTGCAGCAGTTGAGATCTTCAAAATTTTTAATTTCTTTAGCACTGACTATTTTGCTAATGGCAGTGGAGATGGGAAAGTGCTGTGTTGGGATGTGCCTTCCTTTCCTACATGCTGCTTATCAGATATTTTGTAAGTCAACCCTGACGCCATGGATTCTCTACCTTGAAAAATTAATTATCAATGAATTAAATACACCTCCCATATATCAATCATTAACTAATAAAAATAAAAAAACTCAGCAAGTCCTCTGCTTTATAATTATATATTATTAATTATTTCAATACAGAGCAAAAAGAAGCCAATCCTTTTCTGGGTGTCAGCCATGGCTCCACTGACATCAGTGACTCTGGGAAGCATACTGGTTTTCCTCACCCATGCCGAAAGACATGGCGTCCAAGTGGTGAGTGCACACACACACATGATTAATTTGCCCACTGTTTTTGTGTGTTTCCACCCACAGTATATATATATTATATATATATATATAGATACAGCACTCAGTACTGTTCTTCCATGGGCTTGTCTCCTTCACGTATACTGACATACAGTCGCTATTCGGATTTGGCTTTATCCATCTCATGTGAACCCTCTCTTTTATAATTTGGATCAATTACTGGTGGTCATGTCTGCTAGCTGCTGCAGCTGGATGTTTGTTCTTACATACACTCCCACCAATTATTAATGTTGCAATGTTTTGTCATGTTTTTACAGTCTGATTTAACATGAATCGATGATGGACATAATTAGGCACTTAATTACTTTGTCAATTCTAAGCATATACAGCATCCAATGAATGAATCAATTCATGGATAATATATGCATACAAAAACTCATGTGCAGATAGGACAATTGAAGAAAGGGATAAATCCTCCCTCGATAATGGATCTCGACTTCGATTCCAAGTATCTGACTGGCGTCATCAAAACCGGCATCGTCACAGGCATTATTGCTCTTGCCGTAAGCCCTGTCGCAATATTTTAAACCTCAGAAAAATTTTATGATTCCATGAAGAACAGGAAATTAGGGTTTTTACTAAATGTGTGTTTAATTTGCAGGAAGGAATAGCAGTGGGAAGAAGCTTTGCCATGTACAAAAACTACAACATTGATGGCAACAAAGAGATGATTGCATTTGGGATGATGAACATTGCTGGTTCTTGCACTTCTTGCTACCTAACTGCAGGTCTATACACAAAATTGAAGTTTCAATTAGGGTTTGGTATAAAATTGATAACTTTCTATACACTACTACATTTTAATTAATCTAAACATACATTGATTTCTTGCAGGACCATTTTCAAGATCAGCTGTAAACTTCAACGCAGGATGCAAAACTGCAGTTTCCAACATAGTAATGGCCTTTGCAGTGATGATAACATTGTTGTTTCTAACCCCTTTGTTTCACTACACCCCGCTCGTCGTGCTGTCCGCCATTATCATCGCTGCGATGCTCAGCGTCATAGACTATCAATCAGCAATCCATCTATGGCATGTCGACAAATACGACTTTGTTGTGTGCTTGAGCGCATACATTGGCGTGGTTTTTGCCGACATTGAAGTTGGCCTAATGTTGGGGGTAAGTGTATACATGTACATATATATATATATATATGCTTGAATTAATTTTAGCAATAACATTAATTTGAACAGTGTATTTAGGATAATAGTTATATATGTGGTTTATGTTGGGTATAGGTTGGATTATCTCTTTTGAGGGTTTTGTTATTCGTCGCGAGGCCAAGAACTTTAGTTCTTGGAAGCATTCCTCACTCGAACATCTATAGAAGCATCGAACAATATCAGGACACCAATGCTGCTAAAGGGGTGCTTATACTTGAGATAGATGCTCCAATATATTTCGCCAATTCAAACTACCTAAGAGAAAGGTGCGCGGGGCGTCTAAACATCATCAATGACAAAACAAAATATGTACTAAGAAGAACATCCCACAATCTATATATTTGCTAATTTGCTTCACTACATGTACTTTTCTTGTTGAAAAGGATTCTAAGATGGGTCGACGAGGAAGAAGACAAGTTGAAATCATCGAAAGAAGCAAGCTTGCAATATTTAGTACTCGACTTGAGTGGTAAGAAGACAGATCAATATATTATTTATTCTCATAAAATATTAAATCAAGTCTCACTTATGACACTATCATTTTTTAACCTTTCTTTCGAACAGCTGTTGGAAACATTGATACGAGTGGGATAAGCATGCTCGATGAGGTTAAGAAGATACTTGATCGAAGGGAGCTCAAGGTAAACACACTTTATATTGCAAACATTTTCTTTTCAACACATGAGTAATGATCATAAAATGAGGTAGCCGGCTCAACTTTCTTTTGCCGGTTTTTCTGATGGGGACGATGCGAAGATGGCGCTTGCGAATCCGGGGGCAGAAGTGATGAAGAAGATGAACAAGTCGAAGTTCTTGGAAAGGATAGGGCAAGATTGGGTGTTTATGACAGTGGAAGAAGCTGTTGATGCATGCAACTACATGCTCCAAACTTGCAAATTGCAACCTTTAATTTGATTCTCATGATCATGATCAACAATGTAATAGAAATTAATATCGTGTAAGTTATTGAAACACAATTAATATAGCTTGTTAAATTAGTAAAAATATGTATCTTTGATGCTTGTATGTAATCCATCTTTAAATAATTTTTTGCCCCAACTACATACTCTCTCAAACTGCCTCTTCTATCCCAAAAATAAATTATATCTTCTTATCCTACACACATAATGTGTGTATATATACACGTATGTATATGTACATCTTATGCATGTGGGGAGAGGGAATATAGTGTGTTAATAGGATAGAGGATCGGATCTGCTCAAAACTGAAAGTAGCTGTAGAGCGGTCTCTAAAAGTATTTGGATGTGTTTTGGGATTATCATTTTAATATAAATTTTGAATAGTAAATTTAAAATTAAAATAGTTATTTGATATTAAATAAATAAGTATTGATACAATAATTTGAATGTAAAAAAACATGATTGACTCATTCTCCGATTATTATTATTATTTTATACTATGCAATATTATTTAGGAGTTGACATAGTTCGATTATTTGTAAATATACATATATTTGATATTCAAATCAAATCGTGCAAATACTCGAAATCGTAAAATATATTCAAATCGAAAATATTTACCGTATTTTTAAATAAATAAAAAAGAATTGAATCTAAAACTAAATACATTAAAAATAATTAATATTTCAATTAAGCGGTTCTTCCATTTTATTCGAATTTTTTGGGCACCCTAAATTATTATTAGATCATGTAGGAAGTTGTTATGGGCTAAGTTCACAAAAATCAAAATAGAGGCCCAGCAGTACAATGCCATTACAGAAATTGACCCATTGAAGCATGGACCACAAACATAGTAGGTAGGTCCTATCTGTGATACGAGAAGATTCCTTGGATAATTTTACAATGACACGTGTCAGTTTTTGATTCAACAATTTATAACTGTTTCTTGAATTAATTCTCCCTTTTCTCTTTAATATTACTATTATCTTATTTCCACTATTACTATTAAATTGGTCAGATATTTCAATACAACGTTAAAAGGCGTTTCTTGAACTATCTCAATGGGTCTGTCCCCCTTCGAGTTTAGGTTTGAAATTTTAAATTAAATTAATAATATATTCCATAATATAATAAATAAATAAATGTTTAATATAATATCCGAATACTATTAATTTTAAAATATAATTTTTTTTAGTAAAACTAAAATAAAATGCTGAATAATACACCACCTTCAAGAATTGGAGCTCAAAGATTCCATTCCGTCAATAAACTGACAGCAGCAAACGTTGTCAAACTGTCGCTCATCATTATCCAAATCCAAATCAACAATACCATAGGTACTCATCATTATTCCGCACTCCAGGACCAGAGAACCTGCAGACACATACTCCCCGCTCCAGGTCCCGGAGTTCTCCAAGAAACTTCTTCTTCTCCCATCTCATCACTTGAATCATCAACAAATTAGTTATTTAAAATTAGCACTCACCAGACTGCGATCCTCTTCCCACAGCCCCACTTGGCATGAAATTAATCAAATTATAATGCCATAGATGAATCCAGAACGTTCCTTTAGATAGTCTCGTCTCGGATGATTCCAGAAGTTACTATATATAGAAAACCCCGCCACCCCCCACCCTACACTGACTGACACCCCACGCGCCCATAATACTAACCCACCCAGAAGAGCGAAACTGAAACCTTCGAGCTGAGGAAACCTCTTATAGATTTCCAGAACTTTCCATTATACATATATATATATACACACACACTTACAGGCTCAACAGTAGATCACCCAAAAACATTCCAAGATTTTCTCCCCACAGGTTACTTTCCGCTAGCTGCTATCATCGTCTTGAACTAAAATCGTACGTTTTCTAATTAATAAGATTCCAAGGTTGTTTTTGACGACGAATGTGTAATCATGAACCCAAAAGAAGAGTGCTATCCAGGTGGATCATCGTCACTGTCATCGTCGTCGTCGTCGTCGTCACGATTACGTAATGAAGGGTCTCATTATCATCATCGTCAACTTCTTCTTCTTCCATCTGCTGCTGCAGGTTCTTCTTCTTCTTCATTATCTGCAGCAGCAGGTGATGATGATCTTCATAATTCTAATGATGTTGGTGCAGTACGGCCGATAGAGGGGCTGCACGAGGTGGGCCCGCCCCCGTTTCTAACGAAGACATTCGAGATGGTGGATGACATAGCCACAGACCAGATTGTCTCGTGGAGCCGAGGTGGTCGTACCTTCGTTGTCTGGGATCCCAATGCCTTCTCCAACGCCATCCTTCCTTCTTATTTTAAGCACAACAATTTCTCCAGCTTCATCAGGCAATTGAACACCTACGTACGTATACATATATATATATATATATCTCCAATTCTAATTTATCAAATTAACTATTGGAATTGGGCAGGGATTTAAGAAAATGGATGCAGACAAGTGGGAGTTCGGGAACGAGGCCTTCCTGAGAGGGCGAAGGGATCTTCTGCAAATTATCAGAAGAAGAAGGACTTCTCCGACGCAACAGCAGGGGGCGGCTAATAACTCCGACGACCACGACACGGCGGAGGTGGAGCGGCTCCGCCGTGAGAAGAAGGCGCTGCTGGCGGAGCTGCTGCAGCTGCGGCAGCAGCACCAGACCACGCGAGAATACGCCCGACAAATGGAGGCCAGGCTGCGGGGGACCGAGCGGAAGCAGCAGCAGATGATGAGGTTCCTCGCCACCGCGATGCAGAATCCCGACGTCGTCCGCCGCCTGCAGATCAGGCCCGACACCAAGAAAAAGCAGAGGATAGGGCTCGACGCCGCCGCCGGAGAGTACAGCCGGCGGCCGCCGGTCAAATTGGAGGAGATGGAATTTTGGGATGGCTGTTATGGACTGGACCAGGGACAGGTGTCGGAGCTGGAGGTCCTGGCCCTCGAAATGCAAGGGCGGCGGCGGCCGCCGCCGAAAGAGGAGGAGGGGGAAATGGACGGTGATGATCAAGAACTGCATTTAAGGTTTAATTGTGATAGGGAGGTTTTGGATGATGGGTTTTGGGAGGAATTATTGAGCAGTGATAAGCAGGGATTGGAGCAGGACGAGGAAGAAGGAGATGGTCAAACTAAAGTGAATATGGAAGAGTTGACTGAGAGGTTGGACTTTTTGTGTTCAGGGTCAACTCCTAAGACCAAGCAGTAGTGGAGGCAGTAGTAGTTGAGTAACTTTGTTGTAGTATGTGTTAATTTTCAAGTGGGTAAGTTTTTGGACTTTATATGGGCAGGCCCAGTTGAGAAGACTTCCTAAGATCGGCTCAGTATGGATAAAGCCCAATATATGTATGGGCCTTATTGGGCCTTTAGTAAGACATGGGCTCAAACAAATAATTAATATTGCAGAAAAAACGGGGTGGGAATTACGCCTACATTATGAAAGTAGTATAACGTAGTTAGTACAAAGGTGCGTTGTGGTGTGTACCAAGTTGAAATGATGTATTTTATGTAATAAGGCAGAGGAGAATCTGGCAATAGAAGGAAGACCCGTGAAGGAAATAGTAAAGGGCTGAGTGGGTGGGTCCCACTCTCTATCTCTATCTCAATATCAAAGGTGTGTTTTTATTACACATATTTTCTTTTAAGAAAAATTAATACTCCTATATCATACATATTTATTATTTTTAAATATTTATACAACTTTTTATATTTTATATAAAAAAAATCACATACAGGTGGTTATAATGTGGATTTAATGTTTTTTTTTTTTTTGTTTTTTTCGGTAATAATAGACGTTTGATAAAAATAATTAAATAAAATAGAAATAATACCTCATATAGTTTGTACTCACAAATTTTAATCATAAGCCTGCTTAAAATATTAACAGATAAAAGAAAAAAAAAATATCGTTTATATGTATATTCAAAAGGGTGGACTTTTTTTTATATAACTCAATAAAAATTGTGTATATAGATACATGTAATTAAACTAATGGAGTATTTATTATTAATGTAAAGTTTATGATAAATTTTATAAATAAATGGAACCCACCATGTAATTTTGCTTATTCAAATTTTATACATACATAAAAAGGAGTGCTTATTATACAATATGAAGGTGCGTGATTACCATTCAATTTTCTATGTAAATAAATATATTAGTGTGTCACTATATACATTGGATATATAAAAGACGTAAATTATTTGTTCCTGAATTTCAAAAGGTGAAATTAAATGAAACCTTATCTCATACAAAAAAGAAAAGACTGATGAATCTTGTAAGATCAAAGAGAATGAAATAAGATAAACAAAAAAACATAGGATTCTAAATTATTCAGTTTGATTTACATATTCATATTTTCCATATGGAAGTGGTTTCAGTGTTGATTTCCATATTCATATTTTGTATCAAATCATTTACCTTTTTAGTAGATAATGTACATGTATTATATATTTTACTTTTAATAATATTAATGGATAAGCATGTATAAAAAATTATGGTGAAAGAATACATCCTTAGTATCTTTGTATGTGTCAGTCAATATTTCAGACACATATATTTAGTATGTTCTAAATATAAATTAATTAATTTATGCAACAACAACACATTATAAAATAAAGTAATATATATATATATATATTTAAGGCTGGGTGCAGGAGGATATTTGGGTACAAACCCTCTTTGCCATTTACAACACACCAAAAGGGAAAAGCAAATGAAATCTTTTTCCTACAGAATATTCACTGTTAATTGATGTGCATGCATGCAAATTAATGCAATTGATAATTTTATTTTATTTTATTTGAATTGTTCCTTTTTCTAAAATTTATGAGAAGGGTTCGGATAATTGATAATAAAAATAAATAAATAAATAAAATTATTGGTGGATGATTAATTAAATAAATTAGAATTTACAAGTGTGTGTGAGTGTGTAATGATGCATGGCTGAAGTTTAACTCTCTCTCTCTCTCTCTCTCTCTCTCTCTCTATATATATATATATATAGACACCACCCAGAGAGACTAAAAAGGGATTTTGGGAATTAGGGTTTGGAATAAGAAAAAGTTGGAAAGGTGAAAAAGATAAGAGACCTAAATTCCCTCTCCCACTGGTGGGGTTTTGCCTTTCATCACTTTAGAAATTCACTATAATAATAATAATAATAATAATAATAATAATAATAATAATAATACGATAAATATTATCCTGTGATATGATGATAGGTATATCCATAAGGTCAGTTAGTCAGCTATAGGTGGTGGTGAACAACATAATATTGTATTGATGACACCAATTATACAATTAAACATACAAAAATATAAAAACAGTGACATGTAATTTGGATGCCAAATATGAACATTCATCCAAATCAATTAACCTAATATTCGAGATCACCTGAATCATTCAGAAATGGCAAAGCCTGGAAATTGACACAGCATCTATATCATATCATATCATATCATATATATATATATATATATACATATGACTCCCAAAGACTTTATCCTAATTCAACATTCACCTGAGTTTAAGTCCCTAATTTTGTGCATTTCTACCACCTAATTCTTGAATTAAAAATTACGAAAAATTCACCTACTTCTTGTCCTCTTTTTTAATCCATCTTCCATTACAAGTCCCATCCTCACAGCAATACATACTAGTAACAATATTTTTAGAGCAGGAGAAATTTAAGGCAAATTAATATATATTGTTCAAATTTTGTATATATACCTACCTCATCAACCAAATTAATTATCAATACAATTAATTATGTATATGCATCCCCTGAAAAAAAATAAAATAAAATAAAACTTTGAAGAGTTAGAGAACAAATAATTACAACTTTTTGGAACACTAATAAAATTATATAAATTCAATCATTTGCCAATGAAATATATATATATAAATTAGGGGGGCTTTTTGTCTCTGATTGAAGTGAAAACAAAGTAAATATATTTATATATCAAAGTGATAATTCAATAATGATAGCAGTGGGGTTTCACAAAAGTGGAAAATAATGCATTAGAGCTTAACCTGATCATCATTATCATCATCATCATCATCATCACCTCTTTCACTTTGCCTTTTTCCCTTTAAGCTTTTTACCACCATCATATTAATAAATGTATACATATTATAAATGTGTGTGTGTATGTATAAGTCACACTGATCTGAATGTGTACTTAGTTTTGTAGATTTCACTTTTATATATATATATATATATATATATAATTTTTATTTCTAGTTAACAATTCCTCCTTTTAATACAAATACATCATCTCATTCAAATGAAGGGCCCTTTTTAGGATTTGGGTGTTTTATGACAGCAACAAAAGAAAAGACAGAAAGTGCCTGTGCCTGTGCCAGCTTCTAATATTTTTTAAATACATTTAGCTCTTCCAAAAATTAAATAAATAAAACTTATAATGCATGAATACTTATACAGTTAAAATGGCAGTAGTACTGTAAAAGATATATATATATATCATAAATACATACATACATATACATATTTGCGTAAAAATTAATATATATACATTTAAATTAATTTTAAAATGAATTAGAATAGAAGGGAATCAGACACAAATATACGTATATTTATATTTTTTTTGTGTATATATATCATATCCTCTTCTCTCCAAAGTCTGCCACTGTAATGATGACGTTGTGTACGTACAAATATTTCTACCTACTCGTAATTTCAGATAGAAACACACACATACACACACTTCCCTTTACTCATGATATGGATTCACTTATTAGTATATATATATATAGATAGATATTAGATAGATGCCCAGGCAGTACTGATCATTCATAACTACAAAAGGGAAAGGGGGAAACCCACATCCTACTCTCCATGTTCTTCTGAATCCATGCAGATGCAGGGCCGACTGTCATGTTTAGAGTGAGAGTGAGAGTGAGAGTCATCAGAGTGAGAGAGAAATAGAGAAAAAGAAATTCTGAATTATTATTTGTTGTTAGCAGATTTTCATTTCTCTACAGCTTAATTTTGAAAAACCACCCCCCCTCATCATTATCCCTTCACGAGATTTTTCCTATTCAATTCTCGCCCTTTCCTGGCTGGCCTGCCTGGATTACAATAATCTAGAGAGAGGGAAAGAGAGAGAGAGAGAGAGAGAGAGAGAGAGAGAGAGAGAGCGGGGAATTAACATACTGCTGCAGCATTGGCAGGGAGGGGGCGTTTGAATGGATATACATAGGAAGGTTTGTCTTAATAATGGGTGGATTTGACTGACAACTGTTGTGGAAACACACCACTGCTTAGTTGTATTTCTACAGGTAGGATTTGCCTTAATTTCAGTCCACCTGTTCAGTCTCAGGTTAAGGGCTTTTAAGAGGTTGTTGTTAGGAGGGTTTTTAAAAACCCCAATTCTCTCTCTCTCACTTACCTCATAGGAATCCAAAGCAGGCACAATCTGCTTGTTCATCGTCTTCTCTCTCAAGTCATGTTTCCTGCGGTTCTCTCCAATTCATCTCCCGAAGAGCCATCTGGCCTTTCTTCAACCCTAGCTGGAGGAATCCAAGATTTTGGCAACAGCTTGAATCCAATGGTCCACCAATTCAATTCCAATCAAGATCCAGGAAAAACCAAGAAGAAGAGAAACCTCCCTGGAAATCCAGGTAATCAAAATTTTTGTCGATTAGAACCTCCAGATTCAATTGCTGCAGGTTTAATTAAAAACCCCTTTTCCCTTTTTTTCTTTTTTTTTTTCTATTTTTGCTGGTTTTTGTTGTGTGTGTGTGTTTTTATCTTTTTTCTGCAGACCCTGATGCAGAAGTGATTGCTTTATCCCCAAAGACCCTTATGGCAACGAACAGATTTGTTTGTGAGATTTGCAACAAGGGTTTCCAGCGAGACCAGAACCTGCAGCTTCACAGGAGAGGACACAATCTGCCATGGAAACTGAAGCAGAGAAGCAGCAAAGAAAACAAGAAGAGGGCGTATGTGTGCCCGGAGCCGACATGTGTCCACCACCACCCGTCCAGGGCTTTGGGTGACCTGACAGGGATTAAGAAACACTACTGTAGAAAACATGGTGAGAAGAAATGGAAATGTGAGAAATGCTCTAAGATCTATGCTGTTCAATCCGATTGGAAAGCACACTCGAAAACCTGTGGAACTAGGGAATATAGATGTGACTGTGGAACCCTCTTCTCCAGGTAAATCCTTCCACCTTATTTATAAATTATATTCCTCTTTCGATATATAATATCCATTTCCATTTCTTGAATCTATCTATCCATCTATATGTTTTCGTTTTGTTTTCTGTTTCTTGGCATGGCATTTAAATCTGTCTAGGGAGTGGCAAGTCTTGTCTCTGTCTTTGTTTTTTTGTCCACTTTCTGCAGTCGTTGCATCGAATTGAATTTTGAAACTATATTTATATATATATATATATATATATGTTTTTTGTTGATATATGATTCAATGTGTTGGATGTTGTCATGGAAATGGATGTGTACCTCCTTAATACAAGTGTCTGTTCAATCATGACTGTTCAAAACTGGTACTATCTCTGAAACTATCAGAAAATAAGAAAGAATCTAGGACATAACCAAATGTCTATTATATTATTCCCGCCTTCTTTTTTAATTTTTTTTCTATAAAAATTGCATTCTTTTAATGGATGTATTTTAAGCTGCATTGATATTTCAGTTTCCCTTGTTTAACTTTTGATAGCTGATTGAACTTTATGTATATATTATGAGCAAAGGCTAAAAGAAATCCCTTAAACAATGATGGATGGATGCCTACTGTCTCCAAAAGAATGTATTCAATATCATTGAATCATTATTAGAAATTGTGGTTAGTAATTCTCAAACTTAAAAACCATCAAATTTCTCTCTCTCTCTCTCTCTCTCTGCAAAAGCCATTGCTGTGTTAGGTTGTTTTCTTTGCCCCCTTCACCAAAAAGTGTGCAGTGAAAGATTTTGTGAGGTGCACATGCGCACAATTACATACACATACAGTTAGTAGTGTTCTTGTGATTGTGGTCAAAGGAGCTTTCGTTTGCAATAAAGCTTACATATAATTCCTGTAAAACTTTTAATCAGTTTTCAGTGGTATGTATGTATGTATGTATGTATCTATGCATGTATGTAATGTCTCTCCCATTTCTCAAGTCAACCCATCATGGACGTCCCTTTCTTTCTTTCACTTACTACGGAGAATTGATAGCACAAATATTTTTAAATATTAGTTTTCTCATGTTATGATAATAATATTATTATTATTATTATTACTAACAATGTATTTGATCCTTTTTTTTTTGGATTGAAATATTGATTTGAAAATTTTAATTTGCAGGAAGGATAGCTTCATCACCCACAGGGCATTTTGTGATGCTTTGGCTGAAGAAAGTGCCAGAATTTCTGCTGCTACTCACTCTCTGCTGTCCCCAAATTCCGGCGACAATGTCGCTAATAATCATCATCAATCCAGCTTCCTGTTCCAGCCTCAAACCCCTCTCCCGCCGCCGCCTGCGCCGCCGTCCTTCTTCCCATTCGCCTCCAACTCCAACTGCCGCCACTTCTCCGCCGCCCCCTGGGACCAAAACCCTAACCCTAATAACTCCCAGTCTCCGAACCAGGTACACATTAAGCACGAAGATGGAATCCACATTCCCCTTTCTTACCCCGTCATGACTTCTCCGTACGGGAATCTCCACATCAGTCCCTCCCTGCCGCCGCTGTCCGCCACCGCGCTCCTCCAGAAGGCAGCGGCGGTTAGCAGTGCGGGTCACGTGAACTCCACCATGGCACACCTGGACATGCACATGACACCGGCGTGGCAGAAGACCACCGCCGATAGCTTGACAAGGGATTTTCTGGGACTCGCCGGAGACCAATGCGGCGGCAGCAGTGGTGGCGGCGGAGGTGGAGCAGGAGGGGGCGGAAATGGAAGTGTGAGGGATCTGCTGCCGTACACCCCCGGAGGAATGGAGTTTCCGCCGTATGATCGTGGCCATTCGTTTCTGAAGAATCAAGGGTTCGGATTTGGCGAGAGCTGCCAGGAAACTTGGGGCAGCAGCTGAGCTGAGAGCTAACGCGAGGCTACACAAAAATCTCAACTAATTAACTATTGTCGTTCTTTCCCTAAATGCGTTTTTTCATAGAACCATTTATTAACGCTTTTAGTTCTATCTTGTTTTTGGCAACTTTCGAATTAATTATTTATATGGACATACATGCGTGCATGCATGGATGCATATGCTGCTGCTTTTATGATATGCTTATTCGCTACTATCATATTTAATTTTATCAATTAATTATTATTTTGGAGTATACATAATCACGATTAAACTACTGGCACTTACCATAGGAGGTACTTCACAAATTTATTACTGTAATTCTAAATACTTTATTCAATCAATTTAATTAGATTTTATTTCCATCCAAAAAAATTCAACTCAACGAAACAAATACACTCCAATTTTCTTCTTACATATAATGATATTAAATAAATATTTCTTTGCATGAAAACTTCTTGCATTAAAGTTTATATGAGTGGTAATATTTTGCTGTTGTTATGCATGATTGGTGATGGTATTAGTCCTAAGAGCCGACAGGAGAAAAAGAAAAGGAGAAATAAAGCCAAAAGAAAACTTTATTTGAGCCCCAAACTTAGCATGACCCACTCGTTAGCTTTACATGAGATTAATTTTTTTAATGGAAAAGATATATATATATATATATTTAAGAGTTATAAAAATATCATTGAAATGTAAATAAAGTCTTGAGCACAGCCGAGGTGGAAATTGCCGAAACTACAAACTACCCGGTCAAGTTCAGTCGGGTCGTGTGTCCCACGACAAGATTCTCTGCACATAAAACATACTACAGTTTATTTCTTGTGATTCATAATTAACCTCAATAATTAGACTTCTCAAGGCATATCTCCAATGATGATATTTACGACAAACACACACATGAATTATGAAAAAGAAAATGAAATTTCCCTCTCCACATATATAGATATTTTATATAACTCCTCACAATACAAACAAATTGCTATGCACTAGTGATTTAATAATTTAACAGTAAAAGTTCAGGCTCCACTGTGTTCTGGCTTAACCATAATTTGTTTATTTTCATCAAAATAACAACAGCCAGGGTAATCATATTTTTCGAACTAACAATTGGTTCTTGATTTTTTTTTTATTTTATTTCCTATTGACATCCCAAAATAATGCATAAAATAGAAATACTGGAAATGAGAAACAACTAGAGAAATAAAAGCAGAAAGGCCTTTTATAAAGGGGGACTAGAGAGAAGGGGGGGCAGTAAAACCTGTCTGTAAGCGTGAGTGTGTAAATAAAAGTGAGACTAAGTTGATGCTCTATGTGTTTTTGTGCAAGGGGATGGGATGGGATGAGATGAGATGAGATGGTGGTGGTCCTGGAAACTAGTGGTACTGAGGAAAAGACAAAACAAACGCATATACAAACAATATATATGTGTATAATTGTATAATGATGGTGGATGAAGAAATGTCAACGGTGTTTATCTAAAGAGAATGCTGGATTGAACCAACATGTATAAAGGCTTGGGGGTTACCTGATGATGATAAGCCTTCTTTTTTGTTGAGCCAAGCCTTTATCAAACTCTGTGCATGGTTAGGACCATTAATAATCGATCCTCCAATCTGCCAAAAAGGAAATACCATTTTATTATAATATATATATATATATAATTACCACAGCACACACATGGTGATGAACATTTTCTGTAAATAAATATGGAAATGCATGGGAACCAAATTTGATGATATGCACAATTATAACTACCTAAATAAGCCAACTAAATAATTGGTAAGTGTAAGAAATTAAATCTGTACTGGACACATTACCAAGAACATTTTTGTAGAGAAGTGAAAAAGAGAGAGATTTAAGACATAGAGAGCTCCACAAACTAGTGCACATGATCTAACGGGCGGCCCCCCCACATTAAGCAAAAGCAATTAGATTGATTTTTGAAAGATTAATTCAGGATCCGATGATTGAGAGAAAAAAGGTGGGAATTATGCAATAAGCAAGACTACTAACTTTAAGAGGTATATTCAGGATCCATCTAGTGATTTAAAAAAAAAAAAAAGATAAGGGATTAAGTAGGGCATGGACCAGGGAATAAAAAACATGGATGAAAGCAATAAGCAGAATGTTATCATGTTACAGTAGTATATTCCTGCTTTCAGAAAGTAATTCAAAGTAGGCAGATTAAGGTACAAAATTTTACCATTTGCACAGTAGAAAACATGGCTTTATTTCCAATCTTGCTCCGGAGCACAACCTGACAAAACCAAAAGCTTCTATTCTATTCCGCAAGTCTCCTCTTTCTCAAATGCTTGCATATTCAAAGAATCCCATCTCCACAGGGTTTACCTTTTATTCCTTTTCTTGTCAAGGCCACAATTTACCTAGCCTTCATTAATTCCTATGCTTTTCCCTTTTGCCTCAGCACTCTGCAGCTGCAAATCCCCATGCACCACACCCTTTGAGTGTCACCGCGGCAATGAATAAAGCAGCCCAAGCCCGGATTCAGCACAGTGCATGTTATCATCAATTTTGGCTCTGCCCACACCAAGAAAATGACTGATTCAATACACTAAAATTAATGAATATTCTCATTGCTTTCATTTTCTTCAAAGTGCCTATGGAATAAAGCAAGTTCACTCATTTCATAAGCCAAATGAGATGCAAATATGTGTGTCTATGTGTGTTTTAAAAGATTAATCATAGGTATACACTTAAAAATAACTAGAACATAACAAAAAATACACGTAAATAATAGAAGTATTTCCGAAATGATGGCATCAGTAATAAAAGGAAACAGCAGTGTTATTTGCAGTAACTATCCAAACTTTTTGTAGATTGACGTTCAAATGTTGATGCAGACTAAAAAAGAAATTGTCAATCAAAATGCAATCATATATAAGCACTATTATTGACCTAATAATTGATAGCCTTTATTCTACTCTATCTTTACATCTGCATCAAATACCAAGCTTTAGAGTCTGGGTGCAGCTATCTTTATTATCATCATAATAGCTTTTATGCAGTCAATTCTCATGTCTCTGTTGAAAGTTACCGAGGAAAAGAATAGATATTAAAAGTCTCTCGATGAGCACAACAAAGTGTTATGCTGGAGATTCCTTACAGAATGAAGACACATCAATCAATAACTTGAACCCCATGCAACTAGTTACTTCAAAATTCAAACAACATAACAGCTTTCACAATACACATGTCGGCTTTTAAGAATTACTAAATGACATGTGTTAATAGGTTAGAAACAAAATGAAGCAAGTACCAAACTATTCACTTAGTCGACTAATAATCACCATCAATTTCATATTCCATAAAACGAATTAGCAGTATAGTAAGTAAATGTCATAAGTTGGGGATAATAAAATGAGATTAAATTCTTTTGCAGGACATTAAATCATGCAGCCTATCTAGTGTCGATGGAAATCAAGCATATGATTTAGACTTGAATAAAATATGTTATAGAAATTATTCAGAGATCCTTAAAATATATAACTTGGACTGAATTGCATTAGAAATTTTAACGGATCATACAAATAGCAATATAAGTATCCAAGAAAGGTTGTCAGGATATGTCTCATCTAATCATTGAATATGCATAAGTTTACAAAGTGACAAATCCTTAAGCACTTTGGTTTTTTGGTTGCATAAAACATATTCCAAAAATAAAACTGTCACTTGAAGATGTAATAAAAGGGAAAATGATTTTTTTTTTTTAAATTACAAAATTCTACATCTCTCCACTATATTTCCAGCTTCCATCATTATATAATGATCAGAGGGTCCCATCAGCATTATCACCTGATTTCTTTTAGCAAAAGAAAATTTCAGTAAATGCACAATCAATTTCTAACAGACCTCAAAATTGCCGAAGAGATTAAAGTAAACTTTATGATCATGTTATGATGGTAGCATTCTTCATCCTTTTCCTAAAACTACATACATATCATAGAACATATTGAATAAGGGTAACATCCTTCAATAAATAGAAAACAATATTTTGCTTGCAAAAGCCAGTGATATCTGGGAAATTTTGTATAGAAAAAGTATTACTATACAGCACACTAATTTGTCCATACTTCCAACTTATACAAGCACATCGCTGCATGCATGAAACAGCAGAAATCATAAGAACCTATAATACCCGGGATAGAAAAACTGACTAAATATTCCAACAGATTTTCAGATGAATAACAAACTTCAAAAACTTTGTAATCTGTTCGGATAGGGATAGAAGTGCATGGAAGGGACTTACAATGGAACATACAGGTTAAAGAAGACAAAGATACCTCATACGAGAATGCCTCTTTCCATTTAACATGAGTATGCACAGCAGCTAACTGGTAATGAACAATTGAGAAAAATCAAGATGTAAACCCATATGAATCAATATTTTGTCATGCACATTTGACCCTCCCTCAAGCATACAGGTATCCACAGGAAAAGCACGAAATATAAAAGCCTGAAATAGCCCGAGGTAGCTGTGCTAAAATCTGCAGATGCAGTGCTTGACAGATTGAACGAAGGGGCCAAAAACAATAGGTTTTAGTTATCAGCGATTGATCATTTGGATAAGGTGTGTAACCAATTCTAGAACATATATACAAAGCAATGCAGAATACGGACAACATATGATAAATACACCAAGCTTGAACAAGCAAACAAAAATTATTGGACCAAAAGTTTGGATAATGAATACAGAACAGAAGAAAACAAAATGCTAGTCTCCGCCAGTTTTGTCCACATTACAGAAGCTGGAGAATTGAATTAATTGATTAGTCTCATCTCTACATATAAGTAAGCTATATCCTATCAGGGACAAAAGATCATGATAATTGCTCATATTTTTGTTTTTCTATGCATCATTACCAGCCTGCAAGAGACATCCACTACAAAATTGTGAATATGGTCAGGGAAAAGGCTGTATAATGGTGTAGCAAGATCCTCAATTTAATCCATCTTTAATATTTTTCCTTTATTAGTATAAGCAAGGCATATATTGTATCTTAGGCCTCAACAAAACTGCATTTCCATCTACGAAAATTTAAGTCTCCACATTGCTGATTATTCATGAGGAATATAGAAAAGGATGGAAGGCAGGACCATATTAAAAAGTAAAGCATGTATAGCCAAATAGATGATTCTACCCCTTTCTTATCATTGTTTGTTATAATTCATATAAAATAGAGCATGCAAAAAAAATTGAGTAAAAACTAACCACCTTGAAAAAGGAAAATAATGCTTTCAAAGGTGTGTCGGTGAAACACCATGTAATATTAGTACTGAACTTCTTGAAGCTTAACAAATCCTGCTATATAATTTTTTTTATCTACACATCTTCCTTTCCACTAAAATATGGACCTGCTAGCTACTTATCATGGCTTGGTCGCATAATGAAGGAGAAACTAGACACATTTGTTATGTGGTGAATGCAAATATGGGTTAATTCATCAAAAACACAAATGACCACACTATCTGATTATCCTAAGGCAAAACTCAGTGTAAACAAAGAGCATGAGTAAAGGAAATGTACTTGATGAAAAAAAAACTATCAAAATTAGGAAAATATAACTAATTCAATTCTGACCTGAAGTACATAACAACCACATGCATTCACCACTTATCCAAGGTAATTGATAACATAAGCTCCCTTTGAACCTGTCACAATCGCAACAATCAAATGCAGACTCATCATTCTTAATACTATCTTCGAACTGCAAAGATATTCAGCAGAGATACAGGTAAAAATATATTCAGCAAAGATGTTAAGCCAGAAAGCATCATTTTGCAGGTAAAAATATATTCAGCAAGGCATTTTAATCAAAAGGTACAGTGGTCTATGGTGTGAAAATTGTCATGAGATAATTGCGCAACATCAGATAGGGATTTTGTGGAACAGACCTCAATCCTGCGCACTTAACCAAGTCAGGGTAACATACCTCTCACTAAGTAATTAGAACTGAAAGTAAAGCAGTTGGCAAGATCAAGGGAGAGATAACTTATCAGCACCAGATCGACCTCCCCAAAATAATAACTCAGTTAATGCTTATGGGTGCTGCAAGATAATTTCGAATTCCCTACATTAACCGGTGGGAAACACATGTTGCACTGTTCAATTTGTATGTAAGCAACAATGTGAAAGGTAATCTTTTAATCTCGTTGGACCCAACTGTGGTTATTTTCTTCAACTCCGTCACAAAATGTGCCAGGAAGATTCACAATCCAGAATACAGAAAAGCATTTAATCACAGGACCCACAATGCAACAACTATTGTTTCCAACATTAGTCTACGTTTCACAAAGGTCAATCGTCATATATTTCTTAAACACAATAAACATACCCACCATCCAAACTTCTTGATAGAAACATGAAGGGTGCATAAGCCTACATAAACTATATCATCGTGCTATTAGCAATAAAATAACATTCTGAACAAAGAGATAGAGACCATATCAAGAAAGCTGAAATAGGCAAATAGCAAATGCTAAACATGTGAATCAGAAAAGATAAACCTCATCAATTGAACATATTACTAGTATGCCATGACCAAGCCATCTAGCAGTTTGGAGAATGTGTGTGAAAGTTACGGCCCCTAAGTTTCTGCCTTTTATCTACTAATATATGAATTTTCCCAACATTCTAGTAACCTCCACTAGCTATAATTCAACAAGATTCGCGTCAGGAGATGACACCAGCATTGAAAATGTCTTGCAGCTTACATACAGGACAGTTCACAATAAAAGTACAAACAGATCAAAGTAACAAATATTTTTTTAGCTTTTAGGTGCTAAATTACCCAAATTAAGTACGACAGGTACACGCCAAACAACAATCAATAAATTATCAGAAATGATCCATAAAACCCTCACACCAAGTAAAACAAAACTATGCATGGTTGAATGGATTTAAAAGTGACAACAATACAGAACATAATACAAATTTTCATAGCGGTTTACCATCTCTTCATAAGTCAATCTTGGGATTCATCATCAAGACTAATTCAATTTGGGACTTGCCATGTTCTTCTCCCAAAGGTTTGATGGCAGTGCAGATATAAGGAGTCACCGCTGGGAACCCAAATCCAGTTTGACACCATCCCTCGTCAGCTTCCTCATGAATTTATCTTGAATCACTACAAACTGAGAGCATGCATTACAACATCAAAACAATGCACTATGTTAAGACACAATTTAGAAAGGTAAAGATGATAACTGTGAAGACAGGGCCAAAAAAGACAAGAAGTGATCAGAGAAATGCAGACTAATTATTCAGAAACTACATTAATTGCCTTCAACCAGCATTCCATATGAAACCTTCATTCTGAGTCAATTCCAAAATACGCACCTCAACTGAATCAGGCAACAGATGTAGTTAAGAGGATGTAACTATCAACCAAACTAAAAAACCTAAAGACAGATAACCAACTCAGAACTGTGCTTTCTGACGCTACCATGAATGGATATTGTAATGCCAGAAAAAAGACTTCGATAAAAACATGGGTCCAATTAACACAATATCAAAGCTATCGAAAAGTCCCACCAATTCATTGCAAAGCAAACTAGCCGATTACCTATCAACTACACCGCGATGAAGTAAAGGAAAATAAAGCAAGTGGATTCCTCGGTAATCCACACATATCAACCGTTTTCCTAACGCACATGAATCCATCGCAAACTTAACAAACAACGCATCATCCCCACGCGTCCTACGACCTACTTCGGCATTCACGAGACACACGAAGCAAAAACCACCCTAATAGCAGCTGCTCGTCTACAAACAACGCATTCATTGAGAAAACGATCCCCAATCACTAACTCCTTTCAAGTTGCAAGCGATATACATCATCAAAACAAAGCATTCCCAATATAAGTGAAGCGAAATAATAGCAATATCTAAAGATTACGGAACCAACTTCCTCCGTCGTTTCCGCTCATTGTACTCGGAGAAAAAGTTCGCATCCAAAAAAATTTCCGTTGCCGGGAATCGAACCCGGGTCTCCTGGGTGAAAGCCAGATATCCTAACCGCTGGACGACAACGGATTTGCTGAATGAATCATGCGTTTTTCCAACTTGTACTAAAACTGATTCCATCCCAAAAAATTCAACAGAAGGCATTCCGTTGCCGGGAATCGAACCCGGGTCTCCTGGGTGAAAGCCAGATATCCTAACCGCTGGACGACAACGGAATTCTTGTAGAAAACAATTAATTGTTTGAATTTATTAATTTGTAAATGTATAAATATATATATACACTTTAGAATAGAACGGCTCATCTTTCAAGAACCCCTATGAATTTTGAAATCTAAAGCGTTTCTTCCTTTCGGTGACTTTTCTTGCTGATTTTCAAGTTAATTGAAAATATAAATACTTTTTAATATAAAATTTTGAATAAAAAAAAACTATTTTTAGATATGAAATTGCTACATTACTGTAATTTAACATATACCAGTGGAGTGGATCCTTTTTCTTTTTTTTCAGTATTTGTGAATTATGAAAATTTTTATTACATGAATGAATGTGATGTAGTATAATGTTGGAGTTGGTTATAATAATTTGGTATCCATTAGATATTGCCTTGTACTTTGATCCAACCAGTTATAGAAGGTAATAATAATAATATAATTAATTAAGAATAAAAAAAGGGAATTATTTTGCCCCCACTCATGCTTTGTGGACAAAATTATGTAACGACACACTATCAATTATAATAACAGCATATTATTATTATTATTATTATTATTATTAATAAAAAAGTGGTTTTGTTGAGGCCAACATGTTGGGAACTTTCACTCAGCATAAGGAGCTGTTTCCGTTCTATGCTAAAACGACTTACGGGTGACGGTAACAGCAATCCCTTGCCTACTTACACCTGGACTTAATTAATCATAATAAAAATAATAATGATAATAAAATAATTGATGGAATAATAACTGATTCATCAAAAGAAATGTCAGCATCGTGACCAGCAATTGGGTGACTTTAGTGCTAATTATTATTACAGCATATATATACTTTATTAGGACAATGTGGATTTGTATTAATAGTGCAAATAAGAAAACTACACGCGATTTAATTAAATTTGGATTAAATAAAATATATATAGAGAGAGTAAAGGTAAAGTAGAATGGAATATATGTAACGCACTATAGTATTAGAAGTAGAATAATAAATCAATATGCTTTTAGCATGAGTGAATGAATAATAGTAATATTTATATAGGTAATTATTTAGGTGAGAGTGAGACAAATGGTGGGGGGAAAACATCAGAAAGGGATGTCCATATTGGACACTACAATATGGAGTAGTATATATTATATATATATATATATATATTAAAGGAGTTGCTAAGCCATTTGGATTAGCCAAAGTAAATTATAATATAATAATAGTAATAAAATTAATTATATCATATCCAATAATTAAGTAAGATCCAATGGCAACTCCTCCTCCTCCTCTTTACCTGTGCTTTAGAGTTGTATATATATAATGTATACACATAGACACTCTCTCACTCACTCTCTCTCTCTATATCTATACATATATATGTCATCCTCCATCTTCTGGGGACTGCGGTGAGCAAAGAAGAAGATGGAATATATGCATGTAGAATTATATGAATTAATGGTGAAGCAGGAATGGTTGAAGCTGCCAGCATGATCTCGATTGATCCATCGACTAAATCAGATCAGATGAGATCATCTGGCACCTTCACCTGTTCCTACTTGCCATTCCATTTTAGCCCTTCTTCTTCTTCTTCTTCTTCTTCTTCTTCTTCTTCTTCTTCTTCTTCTTCTTCTTCTTCTTCTTCAAATTTTGTTTATTTATTAAGTTAATTTACATGGTCCGCGAAATTAGAGCTGCAATGGGGGATCCTCTTCTCTCTGCCACCTATGAAATAATCACATATATCTATATCTATATATAATGTCTCTTGGGTATCTATGTAAAGATATTTATTTATTTCGTGTATATTTATGATAATGATATTTGGTCTTTTATATTGTTTTACTTTTGTATTATACAAAATTTTGGTTTCGACACAATTATATAAGTGGGGAGTTGATGTAAATTAAAAGTAGAGGTGACAAAAATAAGTACCGTCGGAGGCACAAAAAAATTATATTTGAGTCTCCAATAATAAATCTGAAAATTTTCAACTTGTACTTGATCGGGAAAGCGTACGAAGAGGGCTCTACCCGGATTAATGAAAGTCTGGATTATGTTTAACCTGACCCAATTTATTATAATTAATTTTAAATTATTTTATATGTATATTTAACTAATAAAATAATTACAAAAATTAATTAAAGAATGACTTTCTTGGCTTATTTATGTTTGATTGTGAGTTCAATTATTCATTTGTATCATTTTGGGTTAAATTTTGATAGCATATATTATGCTTGGGGATTTAATTTAAACATTGAAATTGTGAGGGATATTTAATTTCAATCATATAATAATAATAATAATAATAATAATAAGGGAACCTTCACTGTCGCAGAAACTTTCAGTACACAATTCCAGATTTTCCCCAGCTAAAAATTATTATTATAGGTATTACATTGCATAATACTAGTATTAAAGTCATAGTCATCATCTAAATAAAATTAAGAAAGAAATGAATATAATTTAGATATAATTAATTAATTAATGAATTAATTAAGGTGCAGATGCAGATGCAGATGCAGGGGGGAGCACCATGATCCTGACGAACTCGTCGAAGCTGACGAGGCCATCGCCGTCGACGTCTGCTTCTCTGATCATCTGCTCTGCCTCTTCGTGGCTCAGCCTCTCTCCCATGTTCATCATCACGTTCCTCAGCTGCAAATGCAAATGCAAATGCAAATGCAAATGGAATTCAATTAATGCTGCATTTCATTTCTCTATAACAATAATTCATTCATTAATTGCCAATAATATATATATAATTGAGGACTGATGACCACTAGTTTAATTAAGTTGTTACTTGTTAGCTTGCGAGAGAAAGTCAAATGTCAATATTGACTTTATTTAAATTTGTTAATTATGGTTATATATGGCAGTGATCCAAATTATATAGTAATTAAGTAATTCACCTCAACGGCTGAGATGAAGCCATCTTGATCTCTGTCGAATACCTTGAAAGCTTCCTTCAGCTCCTCTCCAACATTTTCCTACATGGATTGGATGGATGAGATTAATTTGAGATGTGATCATGAATGGTCAATTTATTTAGTTTAGGACATGTACCTCCCTGTGCTTTCTTGCCATGATGGTGAGGAATTGATGGAAATCGAGAGTGGCGCCATGGATATGATTTTGATGAGGATGAGGATGATCGAGGAGGAGGACCTCATCCATCATTTCTTGGATCTCTTCCATGGTGGGATGCTCATTCAGTGACTGAATCACTGCTGCCAATTCCTCCACACTGATCACCCCTTCATTCATTCCGATCCACACACAATTAATTCATCTCTAAAGATATAGATATATATATATATAAACAGGAACTCCTCCTAATCATCATCATCACTCACCATCAGAATCTCTGTCGATCAAAGTGAAGGCCTCTCTAAACTCAGCAACCTGTTCTTCTGTCAATCCATCACCCATTTTATAATATATATATATACCTTCCCTAAAAAAAAAAAAAGGAAAAAAGTTTCTTGTATTTTGATATCTGATATGATCTTGTTTGTTTTCTTGGAGGGCTTTGAGTTTGTCAATTAGGCAGCAGAATGATGATGGAGAGGTGTAAAAGAGGGCAGGATGTGGGGTATATATATATATATATATATAGAAAGACAGTCTCTCCAAATAAAATGGCACTGGCATTGGCATGCAGCAAGTTAAAGAAAGTCAAATAAAATTTATGTTCAACATTCAAGACTGCATGCAGTGTTTTCTGGGGTCCATAATCAACCTTTGAATTGAATGAATAAGAGATTGATAGATAGATAGATAGATAATTTAATTTATATATTATATGGGTTTAATAATAATAATAATAATAATAATAATAATAATAATAATAATAATAGCAGTAGTAAGTAGGAGTGGTAGTAGCTACATATCAGAAGTAGATCGTGGTCATTGACTATGACTGGTATTATTATTTAAATTTGGTTTGCATTGGAAGTTAGTGGCAATCTCGACCTCAACTTCACTACAATATTTGTGGACTAAATCAAACCTGCCTGCCTATTCATTCCAGTCTCAATTATTTACTATAGTATTATATTATTTATTGGGTGCACATTTTTTAAGCGGCACACATTTCGAGTTAGTCAGCGAATCGTTCCAGTTAAAATATAAATATTTAATTTATTTATTTCTTAATTTTTGTTCTATATGACTTTTTAAATAATTTTGATGGTTTATAGTTATTTTTATTTGTAATCATTTGTTAAATTGTATTAGTAATAATAAAATAAAATAAATAAAGTTGTAAATATTTTAAAACATTTCAAAATAACTATAATCATAATCATATTAATTTATATTAATAATACATATGTACAAATAGCTATATTTAATATTAATTTAAAATATTTTTTTACGAGATGTACGAGGAATCAATATTATAAAAATTCATATTGTTTTGTTGAATAGTGATTTCTAACAACTAAAAATAATTGTATTTTGTATTTAGTTGAAATATATTTTTAATAATAAAAAAACGATACATTTTAATTAGAAAACAGAAATGATAAAATGAATATGGAGAATGTATTATATATATTAAAAATCTTGCGAGTTAAAGAAGAAAAAAAAAACATTTATTATTTTTCTAAAAAAAAATTAAATCAAAATTTTATTCTTTTATTGTTTACATTATATTTAAATTTGTTTTACATTCAAAATATTTGGATCAAATAACTAAAATTCAAATTTTTTAATATTGAAAGTGAAACACAAATGGTATATACAGCCACCCTAAATGTATTTAATTTGTGCATGTAAGTTACAGTGTTGACCCGGCCAAAGACAGATCAGCAGCGAGGAATCGAAGATACCCAATTACCCATGCAATATATTTCCAGCTGTCCTGGATTCACTTTGACAAACAGACCTGAAATATTATTATTATTTTAAAAAAAAAAAAAAAATGGAATTGACCCAAAATAATCATATAATAATTTAGTGCAGATAAATTAATGGGAAGATTGATGTGATTTTTCCCATAAAATTCCAATTCCAGGTGGTCTGAAACTAAGTCAAAATGAACCAAGTCAATCAAAAATAATCAATCCTATATATACATTTTGTGGGCAATTTTCCACGGGACTTGTACTTATTTTTATTTTTTTTAGCAGGACTTGTACTTTACGGTTGTGGATTTCACAAAATATTCCATTTTGGACCAATTCCAAACCTCAATTTAAGCTTTCATTAATTTACAGAGCCAAATATTAGATGTAGATGGGATCTTCAATTGATTTATTTTCATCTTATAATGTAATACATATATATATATATATAATTATACAAAGTAGAACACATGTATATTTCATCTTTAAAAAAATACTAGCATGTTGAGGATTTGTTTATTTTTAATTGAAAATTCAAATGAAATGAATGAAATTGGATTTGGATAAACTTTGAAATATAATCCTCCCCCTTCCACAACAAGAAAAAATTATTTTTGTAACAAAACTTTTTTGTCTCTAAATCTATTTTTTTTCATTACTAATGACATCAGAGACGAAATTAGGAATGAAATTACGTTAGCTACGTGAATTTTATGGACAGAATTCCGTTATAAATATATATTTTTTTTTAATGTCCATCCCAATGTATTTACCCATTTATTTTTTACACATATATATCTTTTAATATTAATATTATACATTTATGTAATACAAGGGAGAATATAGAAAACACAATCTTGCTTCTATTTGTATATTTTTATAATATTATGTAAATTGTAAATGGTTTTTAAGTTAATTACGGAGTACATATTAAAGTGAAAAAAATAATAATAATAATAATACACTAATTTGCGAGGGAGAGATTATGATATATAATTGATTAAAAATTAAATATAATAAAATGCATACGTGAAATGTTTTAAAAAGTTAATCCAATAAAATATAAATTTGAATGTTTTTTGGTATAGAACAATATAAATAACTAAAATTGTATATTTATATTTTTTTAACATAAATTGGTTTTATTAAATACAAAAAAAAAAGTCTTGGATGTTTATATATATATATATTAAATATATTTAAAAGAAGAAAGAAATTATTTGTAAATCAATTATCTTCTAAAAAAATATTGAAAAATATATGAGAGGACTTGAAATTATTGTGCCTCACCAAGCAAATAATCATAATAATTTTGAAATACAAATAAACAAGGGTGTGTTTATCTAATAAATTTTTTTAACATATTTTTCGATTAATATTATGAAAAAATACATAATCCATACATACTCGCACAATATATAATATATATTTTATTCACATAAAAAAAAAATTATAATTTAATACAAAAATATTATATATATATTATTGATACAATTTTCCTTATCTGATATTTAAAAACAAAAAACTTTTAACTTAAAAATACCAACAAACACGCATTCTCACCTTGAATTTGGAAAGAGTATAATAAAAGATAATTAGCAATTTGGATTGTTCTATCCTCAAGTGTATATACGTGTACATGATTTTTTGTTTTTAAATTAATATTGCATAATGAAAATCAATAAATGAATACATAAGCAAAATTTTGAATTTTTTCTTTTATTATTTTAAGGTTAAATCAACACTATTTATTTCAGCATAATTTTTAATAAAAATATATTATTATTTTTCACAAATTTTCAAATCAATAATATTTAAATAAAATTTTAAATTAATAACTCATATTAAATCAATTTTAAATCACAAATTTTGTCTGTGTGTACATACTTTAGTTATTGGGCCATTCACCAGACTGTTTTAATTAATAAATGGGCCACAATATGGCCCGTTACCATTTTCTACTACCTGAGTATACATTCTTGTAGAGATATCACACATATAACCAAAAAATTTAAAATACATGATATTAATTAATTGTTTTTCTTTTATATACATTTTTAATTAGTAATTAAATCAAATAAATTATTTTGTATCTTGATTAATAGAAATTTTTTATAAATTATATGTCAATAACTATTATTTGATTTATTTGTCCGATATTTATTTTCGATATCATTTTGAATGTATATATTTTTTTATCATTTCACAATAAAATAAACCTTAAACTTCCACTATTATTATTTATATTATCAAAATAATTCTTAGAACATACAAATTAATTATCTTTCATATAAATAATGTATATTTTATTTTGAATGAAAATCATATAAAATTTTATATTATATAAAATAATAAAATAACAAACAGCTCTACAATGTAACTGAAATTTTGATATGTTTTTGAAGAGTTTTAAGTTGACAATAATACGAAAAAGAGAAAGGAATCGTGGAATACGAAAATCGGTTTTAAGTTACACATGACATGTATTGTGAAAAGAAAACAACGGTAATTAATACTCCATTTGTTCAACATAAAATTTTTTTTTAATATTTTGAAATATAATTATACATTTTAATTATATTTTAAATTTTATAATTTATAATTTTTTTAATCTTAATTAAATTATTTTAATTTATAATTATTTTTACTAATATACTTTTAATTGCTTACTAATTATATTTCACTTAAATTCTTGTATTTCCAATAATGTGAGACAATTTATCTGAAACAAAAAAAGTTTGTTATTTGTATATAATCATTTTTTTTAAGAAAAAGTATCAAATTAATTCTCGGTAAGTAATACTTGATTAGTCATTAAAATATAAAATAGCAGTATTTTATTGATTAATAAAAATAAGTAAAATAATGTTGAGATCCACTAGTACGAGGTCTTTTGAAGAATATCTAAAAACAAATCCGTGCGGGCTCAGCCCAAAACGGACAATATCTGACTCATTATTTTTGCTTTTTGTACCACGTATTTATAATTTAAGTAAAAATTACAAATATTTTAATATTAATATATAATTATCTTTACTATAGCATGAAAGTGATTATTTTTTTAATGGAAGATACAAAATATAAAGTATTTTCATTAGTTAGACAAATATAGTATTTTTTTTTAATACTAGATAATAAGAATTTTTTTATAGCAACTAAACGATGGAAAAGTAATAATAATAATAATAATAATAATAATAATAATATGCATCGAAGGGCGTTGCGTCACTGAAAATTAAAAAGAATTTAATGAATATAATTACGGCTAATTAGTAAGGACCACTAAAATAACTAAAATAATACTAATTAAAATACTATCGAATGTCAACTAACATAAAAACTTCTAACAGTAATTTGTCCCCACAAAATAAAAATAAATAAATTAAATCAACTCAAGAAAATAAAAATAATAGGTTTGCCCTATTGACTGCGTTGGCCTTTGAACCAATCAAAATTATTTTATTTATGGAAATCTAAACCTTAATGCAAATTGTCATTTTCTTAACCATTTTCCCCATATTTAGAAATTATTATAAGTCCTTTTTTTTTTTTTTTTTTTTTTTTTTTTTAATGGCATTTACAAGGTCTCTTTGTTGTACAAAATATGCTGTCAATGTGTTATTAATTAAATCTCCAAAAACAAAAAATCCATTTAAAATAATAAGAATAATAATTATAATCCAATAATTTATTTAATAATCATGAAAATAAAAATAATTGATGAAGTAGCTGGGAATGTCCGGGTTTTTTTTTTTTTTTTTAAAACTACTCCCTCCGTCCCAGATACCTTATCTGCTCTACTGTATACACGATTTTTAGGAAAGGTGTAATTAATAGATAATTAAGAATGTATTAATAAAAATAATTATCATATAATATTAATAATTATAAATTAAGATTAAGATAACTAATTAGTTTAATTAAATTAAAAAAAATTTAAAAATTTAAAATGAGATTAAAGTGTGTAATCATTTTCCAAAAAAGAAAAGTGACATTGTACGTGAGACGGACAGAAACAGCAACGTAGACATGGTATCTGGGACGGAGGAAGTATTATTTATTTTATTTTAAAACTATTAACATCATGTTCTTATTGGTCATTTGAAGTATGGTATTTTGAAACATTGTTTTTGTGTTTTTAGACGAAAATTTTGATAATAGAATCGAACAAAATAGATTCACTAAAATATTATTCGTATTGAATTGAATTGAATTGAATCTAATAAAAATAATAATAATAATAATAAAAACAAAAAAAAAAAAAAACACACAAAAATATAAAACTCAGCCCTTGGTGCAAGAATCACGAACACAACTTCTGGAATGTGGGAAATGAATCTATCTTAGAGCGGCAGCACAAGAGTATATGAGACAACCAATATATTATCGAACGGTTCAAAACACACTTCTAAATTGGACTATTAAGAATTATTCTCAATTTAATATTGAACTTTTAAGATCGAGCTTACTTTCATGCAAATAACACCAAATTGTGTATAAATACATAGATCTTTCATAAACAAAATCATAGGCAAACCCAACAATCATATGAAGTCTAATCAAAATTACTAAATCTTGTAACAAGTTATTTACTAGTTGAAGATCACAATTACAATACATTTTTACATTATCTACGACTGAATCTAAATATATTGTTATAACAGAAGCTTTGGAAGAGGGATTGTTGTTAAATGAGTTGTTATCTGAAATTTAATTATTAACCAGTCATGTTGCAGTATATTTAGATAGTCAATTCGGTATACAATTTTGCAATAATTCTATTTTTATGATCAAACTAAGCATATAGATGTTAAGTTTCATTTTGAGTCGTGAAGTTTCATTTAAAAGATTCGTAAAGTTGAAAAAGTTTCATTCTGAGGCAGATATAGGAACTAAATATCTACTTGTTTCTAAATTTGAGTTGTGTTTAAATTTTTTGAATTTTGATATTTTTTATTAGTTTTCAAATTATGTTTTAAATATGTTCTTACGGTGTTGTTGAGTAATAGGTTTGGCGATAATGCGTTCTTTACCCGTGTGAATCTCGACCAAAAAATAATGAAATATTGAATTTTTGGACGAATTATGAGTAATTTAACGGATACAAAATAAATAAATATCTTAGACAAAAAATTAATATTTTTTTCGTTATTCAATTGTGTGCTTAAATATTTGAGTACAAATTTTAATAAAATTAAATAATACTCCCCCGGTCTCATTTTTTATGTTCATCTTTACATTTTCATTTTTATTTTTTTAATTTATTTTGTCATTTTAGTTTTTTTAAAAAAATTATACACTTTAATTAAACTAATTAATTATCTTAATATTACTCTATAACTATTTTATTATATTATAATAATTTTTTTGATATGTTTTTAAATTATTTATTAATTATCCTATTCTTAAGTTTTTATATTTACAGTGAAATAGACACTATAATAAGAACGGGAAGAATTCCTTTTATAGTAAAAGAATATAAAATAGTGAATTTTTTTTTATCAAAAAAATTTATAAAAAAATAAATTTAAATAACGAGAGAATATATTTTATAAATAATAGTAAATTTATATAATAAATTTAAAAATAAATTACAAATAATCCAACCTAACCAAACACACGACCCACACCTCATATATTTGTCACTCTTTATAACAAAACTTTTAAAAATAGAATAAAATAATTGGTAAGTGAGCAGTCACGTGACACGTAAAGAGAAAAGGCGCGAGATGTAGCATAAAAGGAATAAAGGCATCATTATGAACTGTATGTTCCATAAAGCTGCTTGCCCCCTAATTATTTAACCATACCCTAAATAAATTAATTAATTGAATAAATCAATAATTTGTGTCACACACTCACATGCACGCAATTATTTCAATTAAAATACATTGCAATTACATTTAATCATCACACACCTATATTAATCACATATTCTAAATCAGACAAATTACTTTTTCTCATTTCTGGATCTTCTGCCCCACCCCCCCTTCCCTTTGACTTCAAATCTGGATCGTCCAATATCGATCGGATCAAACGGCATGTTAATTGGACGGTTAGATTTGAAGAATAGGATAAAAGACAAGATCTTGACAACAACAATAATAACTTTTATTTTTATTTAAGCGCACAGAAATATATTTATAATTATTATTATTTATTTAGTGCCAGCAAATTATTAAAGATTGATTAGAAAACTAAATAAATAAATAAATAAATGCACGAAGTATATGGATTAATTATTCTATTGTAATATTGAAACAAAATACCTTCTTAAGTGTGTGTCGGAAGAAGCACACATTCAAACTGAATATATTACAGGTGCAGTGCTGTAAGTGTCCATGACAGTCTATTTAATTTTGTAGTGCTAAATTATAATTATTTATTTTTAATTAAAGTGATTATAGTAATATAGTTATATGTGATTCGTCCAGGATTTCGTATATCCCTTCATTTCCAACAGTAAAATTATAATTTTATTTAAATATTATTGTTGCAGAAGGAAGGAATATTATGTATCTGTAACTGTGTGTTTATTGGGTAACATGCATTGTATGGAGATTAGGGCACATTTCATTTTTCAGGGGGGTGTTTTGGTCATTTCAATAGTAGTCAACAAGGGCAAAAATCAAATTTGGGTCATTCTAGTTGACCTCTTTTTTCCAAATATAAGTTGTTTCCATTGCATCTCACTTTGTTTAATTTTGGTATTATTGACAATCTCGTTCAACTGCAAAGGAATAAATGATATGTTACTTTTGAATTTTTTGTATTATTATTATTATTATGATGTGATGTTTTTTATTTTGATATCTCTAATTTTAAAATTAATTTTTGAATAAATATTCTAAAACTAAAAATACACATTCAATATTATGTTTTATTCGTTCCATTAAAAAGTATATATTATTTTTTAAGCAAAATTTAAAAAATAATAGTACTCCGTATCTTAATTGATTTTTTTTAATATAAAAATAATAATGTGATAATAAAATAAAAATCTTTGTAAAAACAAATATTTTTAAAATGATTACTTTGTAATATTGGACAATTCAAAATAAAAGTATATATAGTTTATAAATGAATAAGGTAATATATCTTTGAAAAGAAAAAATAATTTTTTTAGTAAACTAAAAATTTATAAGTACATGGCAACAAATTTTTTTTTTTTTTTTTTTTAGATTTATAATATATTTACTATAATTAGCAAAAAAAATATGAAATGGATTTATACTGTCAATATTTTGACACAAATTGAAAATTAAGAATAAAAATACGCGTTTATTTTCTTTAACTTTTTTACTGTACAAATCTCTCTCGGTTTTCTCCAAAATACATAATTGTTTCAATCATTATTTTAAATCTTTAAACTAAAAAAAAAAAAAAAAAAAAAAAAAAAAAAAAACACTATTTATGTTTTTAATTTAATTTCTCATCATTGTGTTCAAAATATTTTCTATAAAAAGTGTGAAGCGTTAATGATGTGGCCCAGTTTTACTTCATGAATAAAAGTGGGCTGAAACAAAGGACGGTAATAATGATACTGTAACAGTAACTTATGAATTGCAACTTGTATTGATTTTATTTAACAGTAATAGTGTGGAACTATTTTAAAAATAGTAAAATATATATTAAAAGACTAGTATGATATTTTGAAATAGTTTTTTTTAAAGAATGTAATAAAATATAAATAAATGAACCCTAAAAATTTTGTAGAGTGGAACATACTTACTGCCTATACCATGCAAATGCAGCAATAGGATTACTTTTACTGTAATTTATTTATTTGGCAACAGTGCTTACTTTTATTTTTTATCTACAGTATTTATTAAATTGCTACAGTAATTATGTATAATCGTTGCCACCTAATTTCGACAGCTAAAATTTAATTTTTACTGTTGCATTTATTTATACCACATTAGGGCAGTAAGGGTGAAATTTTTTGCCTGTCATATTAGCACGTGGATTGCACGCTTGATCGATGGTGAGATGCAGCGAGTCAGCAACGCCTAATAGGTTCGCAGGGAGTCTTAAGGGATAAACCTACCCAAAACAAATCTAACCGTTGATTATGTAGGACCTACATAGGAGCGTGAATAATGGACGGTGGGATTTGCATGTATGGGTGAGTCCATGGACGTACCCAAAACCGTCATTTCAGTAGCAGTTAAAAAAAAAGCGCGTCAGTCACTGTCAAAACGACCCGCGGGGGACTTTAGCCAAACCCTAATTGAGCATTTACTCGTTCCGCCCTTTAAAAATAGCGGAAAGCGGGAGCTGTGCCTCTGGCAGACCAAAGCTGAAGTTCGTCAGAGGGGAGGGGATGGAGATGGGAATGGGAGAGGGAGATATGTTGTGGAGAGAGAAATGGTGTGGTAGCAGTGTTGAATTTCTCGAATGTGACGTTAGCCTCTGAGAATAGCGCGCGTTCGTTGGGGAGGGTGAAATTGCTGCCGGAAAAGTGACGTCAGTGGGGACAGAATGACGCCTGAAGTTGTCAATGAGCCGAATTTCGAGAAGCAGATGCGGAAACAGATTGGCTGTATGGCTGGTTTTCTGCAGATCTTTGATCGCCACCAGATTATGATCGGAAAGCGCCTCTATTCAGCCAAGCGACTCACTCCTTCGCAGGTTTGATTCGTTATATTTTTCGCTGTGTTGTCCTTCCGAGGTCAATCGGATTCATAATCATCGTTGTTTTGCCTTATAGTCTGCTGATTCAACGTCGGAATCGGATAAATCGCCTCCTGCATCACCGGCGTTCTCTGGAGATTTAGGAAAGCGAGTGCACTCGTACAACGCGGCGGCGCCGAGTCCTTCAAAAGGAAAGCAGATTACGGTGGGCGAGATGCGATCGCCGATGGCAGCCACTGCGGCGGAGTTGAAGTCTAAATCGTCTCGTCCATTCTCGATTGTCGAATTGAAGGAAGGCAACAGGTCTCCGTGGAAGTTTGGCAAGGATGCCCCAAGGCTCTCGCTCGACAGCAGAGCTGCTACTGATGCGAAGGGCAGCCTCTACCCGACGGACGGAAGCCAACACCATCGGTCTCCTAGCGTCATTGCTCGACTTATGGGGCTAGAGCCATTGCCGGACGCACCTGGTTCTGAATCCGAGAGGAAACCGGAGCTCCGGAGATCCGCATCGGAATCGAGAGTCTCAAAGGATCTTAACCACTCTCGAATCAGTAATGACGGAAGCAATTTCTACTTCAAACAGCAAATTCAATCGCCTTCCACCAATTTCAACAATGCGGTGAGAGACGAAACTCCAATCGGTTCACATTATGCAGATCAGAAGAATCACCCGCTCAAAAATGGCAACAAGACCGAACGGATTAGATGTTTGAACAAAGGATACCCGAATTCAACGCCGCCATGGGGAGGTGGAGCTCCGCCACAGCGCAAAAGCTTCTTCGATTCAGGGGACATCTTTCCGGAGCCGAAACAGACCGTGTCAATCTACGGAGAGATTGAGAAAAGATTGAGAACAGTAGGTATAAACGAGCAATCCACGGATTTAGAGACCTTGAAGCAAATCCTCGAAGCTCTTCAACTCAAAGGACTTCTTCATCCCCAACAACCGTCTCATCAAAGTCAAGTACGCCACCGCAACTTTGTCTACGATGAATCACCAATCATCCTGCTGAAATCGTCCGGTGCAACCCCTACAAACCGCCGGATGGGAAATGACTACTCGTCCTCAAATGTTAGAAGCCAACTCCGTGGCATTCGCAGAAATTACGCCCCCACCGGAGAAACTTCCCCGTCGCAGAGCCCGCAGATGGAGCGAAATGTAAGAAGTCCAACACGTTCAACTGCAAGTCGTAGCTCAAGCCCGAATATACGTAGAAGTGAAGGCAATGCAAGTCCGAGGCGGTTAAACAATGCTGCCAAACCTCTCCCATCTCCCATGGAATCACAGAGGAAATTGAACCAACCACCACCGAATCGCAGGCCTACTCCAGTTCATTCTCCAAAGATTAACAGTAACCGATCCTCTAGTAGCAAAAAATCTGCAGCGGGGAATCACCAGAAGGAGAAGATAACTACTATCGTCGTTGAGGATGAATATTCGTCCGCCTCGGGGAGCAGTTCAGCTGAAACAGAGGTACGCACTTCAATTCACATGTTTACAATTCATTAATCCATTAAACTAACAACAATCTCTTGCGATTTACTCTAACTACACTCCATATTTGGGTGATTCAAAAGCAGAGATCAAATTGGGAGGACCACAAAGAGAAGGAGAGCAGGGGGTTGCTAGAGAGATGCGATAAGCTGCTTCACAGCATAGCAGAAATGGCCGCAAGCGATACGCAGCCGAGCCCAGTGTCCGTACTGGACCCATCCCTCTACAAGGACGAGGTGTTGACTCCTCCATCTCCGGTCACAACCAAGCGCAGCATTAATTTCCAAGGTACACCGCATTATGTCACTCGATATTCTTTCTATATCGGACAAGCAAAGATGTCATTATTACTTGAATTAGACATAAGCATGTGATGGGGTGCGTACGTAAGTCACGTGGAGTGGGGAGCATGCCCCAAGATGGGGAATCGTCCTTGTCTGCTTCTTCTACCATGATAGAGTGACGACGACGAATGCTACGCTGTGCTCGCTTCGTCTGAACCACTCTAAAAGTCATTGGTAGGGCTTTATGGTCTGACACACTCCCTTCTGTGTATATATGTGTGATTGATTGCGATTTCTGAGATTAGTAGTATTCAAGGGCAAGGACAAGGACAACGACTGACTCACTCACTCACTGACTATAGCATCTTTCATATTCCTCTGAACTTTTCACCTTTCTCTGTCTCCTAAGTTAAAATGGTTAATAAAGATTTTTGGCTATAGGCCCTCTCACTTGGTTTGTTGGGATTTCTGAATTGGATGCTTCTGCCATAACCATATTGCTTTTCTCATGTCTAACCAAATCTGAAACTACTCATTTATTACCCCAATTAATTGTTTGTGTCCACTTTAGTTAAATTAAATCCTCTGTGGTCCTCTGTAGATTATTGTCTGTAAGGGGCTCGGGAAAAACGATTTTTACTGAAATTAAGATTTGGGAAATTTTACCAGTTATGAATTATTATCATTACTCTTGTAATTCATTCTTGTTTAATTCAAGTTTAAAAACATAGGCTACAATATCATTTTCTTGAATATGTTCAATTGTTATGACAGATCAATTGGATGAGGCCGATGAAGAAATCTGGAGCTCGGCGATTTCCCCGATCCGGTCCAAGTGCATCGAAACATCAGATGACTCTAACTTCATATACATTTCAGACATCCTAAGAGCATCTCATTACCTCCCAGATTCCAACATCTTTCTTTTACTGGAGAAGCAGCAATACCTGAAGGGGAACGACATGTCCGAATCCTCCAAATTGAAAAGGAAACTAATTTTCGACACTGTCAATGAAATCCTCGATAGGTGCAAGTGCTTGCCTCCATGGAACGACAATGGCAGCATTGCCACACCCTCTGGTGACATGGTCTGGTCGGAATTTCAAAGAATTCAAGCAACCGAAACTTCTGATGACTTGTTCGACACCATCTGTGGCATGTTGAAGAAGGACTTGGCCGGGGATGCGGCCACCGGATGGGGGAGTCATTTGGTCCAAATGTCTGAAGCAGTTTTGGACTTGGAACGACTCATATTCAAGGATTTGATCTGCGAAAGCATCCAGGATCTTGCGATTTCAGCGTCGGCATCTAGAGGTCCGATGATGTCTAGGAGGAAGCTGGTTTTCTGATATCCTAACGTTCAGGCAGAAGATTTGTGTGTTTTTTCACATGTGAGCGCATTTATTTTACTGCATTTATTGAACAATTCTAACGGTCACTTTTCTCTCGTTTGCAAGATGTAAAAATTCGGGAAAAAAAAATATGAAAACACATATATATATTATGCTATTTGTGAAATACTAATAGTTATTTGTTAAACTTGTTAGGACAAATGAGAATTCCTGGAAAGTATATAGACGAATGTTTAATCAAAATGATATTCACGGTGTGGTGTAAACGGCAATATTGGAATAGAACAGAAAATATAGGCAATAATTGATGCTTGTGAGTACATTCACTCCACCTAAGGTAATTGAATAGGAGATTTTGGCACATAGGATTTGAAGTCCTCTTACTTGTACCTTTTTTTTTTTTTTTTTTTTATGCTACGCTAGTACACGATAATACCATAAAAATATTATTAATTATATTAATATAATATAACTACAATACATATTAAAAAATATATGATATATTTTTATAAATAATTATAAGTTAAAATTAAGATAATTAATTAATGAATTTAGTTAAAATCAAAACATATAATTAAATTGTATAATAATTTTTTTTAGAAAATAAATAAAATAAGACCAAAAAAATAAAAATAGTAGACAATAAAGTGGGATAATGAATAGAACTTTTTTTTCAAAGTCTCCCAAGTAGTATTTGCTTGGCGCGAAAAAGGGATGGATATATTGTAGAAGTAACGGTCATCGTCAGCTACCGACCTCTGACAGGAGGTGGTAAAGACCACTGGCCCAATAGAGTTTGGGGGTTTCACTACATATTCAAAAATTATTTTTAAAAATACTACTGTTATATACTTAATTTTTTACTAATTTTTAAAATTCTTTAACACTTCCAAAAAAACATATTTAAGCGGAGCTTTACTCTTTTAATAATCTTACCAATATGATATAATATGAAGAAGTACATGACAAACATATGTAGGCATCACTAAAATTGGGCCTACCATGTGGCAGAGTGCATTTAAATTTGTTGTCATACTTATTTATTAATTTATTCTTAAACAATAACTAAAATATTATATAGCTTATTTTAAAATGAAAATAGTGCCTATTAAAATTACTCCGAGATGAAGATTAAGCAAACAATAGCCATTCCTATCTTCTATGTAAGGACAAAATTAATCATCGCCTATTCCCATTGATTATTTCACCTACTGATTTCTAAATCAGTCCTAACTCCATTACATGTTCTTAAGTTGAAAATCCACACGAATTATGTTGCGGGAATAATATAAACTTTAAAAATATACAAGAATATCAAGAATTTATTAATTCAATTCAATCTAAATAATGATGCAACCAAACTAGTATTAGCACTAATAATTTTACGATATTAATTACAAAAAGATTATATCAAATATACATAGATGCTTAGGCTAAGCCCTAGTACGTTGAACCTCAAAAATAGACCCAACGGTCAAAATAGACCATGGACCTAGCCTTGAATCCGACTTGCTGATCGGACAACGAAACCTGTACAATAGCACGAAATAGCTTTAAACATCTAAAAATATAATTTTAGACGAAAAATGATGTTTTTCATATATTTTAATTTAATAAAAAAAAATAATAAAATTATATAAATAAATAATACTACAATATATTTAAAAAATATTATATGATTTATCCCATTGGCATATCTCATGTTGCTTAAGATCTAGGGAAGTAAATACTACAAAGTTAAGGGATCACATACAACTATAAATTTTGTTCTTTTTTTTATTTTTTTTTAATATATTTTTTAAGAGTGTGTTCGTTTATAGAATTTTGTTAAAATTCATCCAATTTTTTCTCCCCAAAAACATCAAATCAAACACCTATTTTTCATTTTTTTATATTATATTAAAAATTAATTTTACATTCAAAACATCACATCAACACCTATTTATATCTCATTATACAACTATTCAAATTCAAAATTTTTACTATTCAAATCCCAACTCAAAATCCAAACTCCCAAACAAACCCACCCTAAAAATATTAATATATTTTACACATTTATTATTTTTATATTTTCTACCAGTATATTTCACATAATTTTTTTTTTCCAACAATCTTAGAACAAACAAAAACAAGTTATAGTTGCTACAGAGTGACGAAAAAGGTATGCTAAAAATAATAGCATAAACAAAAATAAAAATAAATATATAAAAATAAATATATAAAAATTCATCAACCTTATTTTGATTATTATTATTTCGTAAGTCTATAACATTTATTTATTGTAATTTTTATTATATTGACTTAAAATCTGTCAAAAATTATGGTGAATGAATCATGGGCCTGCACGGCCTCGGCTTTTTCGGGACCTGCTAGTTTACAATTATATTTAGAAAATTTAGTTAAAAATTAAACTAAATGAAAAAAAAAAAAAATTGTAATAAAATTAGTGGTATTTGTTGTAAATAAGTATTGAATTGATAATAATAATTAAATATTGATTTTTTGGCGCTGCCAAAATTAGTATTGAATAAATTTAACAAACAAACTAAAAAAAAAAGTGAGAATAAATTTGAGGACATTGGAGATTAATAAATTTAACCAACCTTTGTACTGAAGCCTGCCATAAAACCGGCCACGGTCCGGCCGATATTATTCTACATTCTTTCACTGGCTTAAACCGGCCCATTATGGGATCAATTATAATTCACCCGAAAAATATTAGGCCAAGACTGAACAGGCCGGAGGCTGGTCCATGCCGAACTGGTACGGATCGCTTGGCCCACTTGACCTGCAAGCATATGTTAATTAGCTTTTTAATAATTTAATTCGTTAAAAAAATATATACGCCATAATTGAAGGGATTAAATAATTTTTAGGCTGGTTTTGTTTGTAAACTCATTAATAAAAAAAAATATTAAACACTTATTTCTTTAAAATTATATTTAAAACTCTTTTATTTAAAAAATTAATAAAAATAAAAAGAAGGTAACAAACCCCATTTTTTAAAGCTGAAATAATAATTGGTTATTTTATTTTCAAATAAAAAATAAAACACTAAATATACTGGTATGAAACAATACTATCCTTTTGTAATGATTTTTTTTTTTCCAAACATAAGAAATATATTTTTTTTTTCGGTAATAATAAGAGCATTGTATTTATTTATTTTTTAAAAATAATTGAGACAATGCAAAAAATGTGCTCATATTTAATAAAAATATAATTGTGTTTGTTTGTGGAAATTTAATTTGGAGTTAAAATTAAAATAATTGTTTAATATGTATAATATAAACATGTATTTGTGTAATATTTTAATTGTAAAACTAAATTTTAATGTAATATAATAAAATATAAAATAAATATTTAATTTGATATTTTTAAATAATAATAATAATAATAAAATCCAAATTCAAAACCCACAAACAAATACTCCCTTCGTCCCAAACACCCTACAATATTTTTTTTTTGGTACGTCTCAAACACCCTGCAACATTTCCAAAATAGGAAATAATTAATTATACTTAATCTCTACCCCACACTTTATCCTCTCACATCATCCAAATAAAAAAATAAAATATATATTTCTCTCTCTATCACATCACCTAATTTCTAAATTATCATACTTAATACCACCCACTTAAAAATCTATGCCAAAATCAAATATTTCACCATGTTTTAGACAGAGGGAGTACATGCTTATGAAATTTGAAATTTCCATAATTAATGTTATATTAATTATAGTATTCGTGTGATGTTCAACTTTCCGATATGAGATATGATTAATTCACTGACAAGGTAACGCGTAAAATAAATATTATGAAATATTACGATATATTTTGTTGGTATTACATAACAAATAAAATGTAAATATTTCGGTCGCATATTTTTTTTATTACAAAATATGACAATAACACAATATTGCCGCGTTAATATAATATTTATTATTTTTATTTATTTTTATAATATTTGCGATATTTTATTTAAAATATTAAATACTAGGTCTCTTTTTAAAATATTCATTATGTCCACGAGTTATCTATTCATTTATTCTTTTTTCTTAGTAAATTTTAAAATATTAATATTTTATATATAGGTAGCACAATAAAAGAATAATTTATTTTTTTACTTTTATTTTGTATAATATTTTTTCAAATATTGTATAAGATGCATGAATATTTTTATTCAAGTAAAATTTATCATTATTTAGAAAAATAAAACAAGTAAATTGATTGTAAGCATATAAAAAATAGCAAAATAAATAGATAAATAGTATACGAATGAAATAATTAATAAATTAGAGGCTACATGAGTCCATCTTGAAGATGATCATGTTGTTGTTGTTTCATTTTTTATTTTTTATTTTTTCCTCTAGAACCAGTCCTATCATCTTATTGTAAAATATTATTTAAATTTAACTAAAAAGGTTTTTTAAAACTTAAAAGAATAATCAAAAGCTTAATTTTAAGCAGTCAAGAAATTGCACAATCTCATATTGTCAAATACTTTATTCATTCCATAATATCTTTTTAATTTTTGTTTATCTTATAAGAATTGATATATATATATATATATATATATTTTGAGTGAAACTTGCTAAATTAAAATATATTTAATAAATACAAATCAACTTAATTAACTATATAACATATAACATCATAAATTATATAGAACTCACTCAAAAGCTCTTTATTACTATATCTTCTAAAAAAAAAAAAAATCTTTATCCACATTTAAAAGTACACATCTTCTATTAAATTAATTTATGTTAATTATAAATAAAAAAAATAATAATTTTCTTATAAATTTTTTATTCTCTATAAAATGATATCCATATTACATTTTTTTTTTATTAAAATATAAATTTTAAAATATTTAAATATATATTCTAATTTTTTTTTATTTATGTATATTAAATTTATTTTAAAACTATCAATATAATTAATTACATATAAAATAATATTATAACTAAATAATATTAACTAATTAAATAACATTTTCTCAAATACCATATCACTAATTAAATTGATCAATTATGTCGGAAATAATAAAAGTTTTAATACGACCTCACTTTATCCTCCGCTTTCTTACAATTCTGTGGGTGAATTTCAATAAAATATATATGCTATTTGTCGAGTGCGTTCAGGGTAAACATTTGCTTAACTTAATAGTCTCTAAACTAGGCCAACAAGATGAGACACATTAGAGAAATTATATGTGACAGAAAGAACCTAGACGTGCCAAAGTTTAAACATATGATTTCACGACAATAAGTCTCATCTCATATCACTATGTCATCTTTTACGGACTACGAGTATATATAAAAAGAATTATGATTTTGATTATTTTTAATTATCACATGTTAATGCTAATATTACATATGACGTATGACTAAACTTAAAATATATCTTCGTATTAATGATAAAAAACTATGCATTATCATCGTATTTTGTCAATTCAGTTATATAATTTTTATACAACCATCGTCCCATAAAGTCGACATCATTTGTTTTTTACACGTAAATTTATAAATATTAATATTATATTTGTTTATATTAAAAAAGACAGAAACGTTTTTATTAGATTGTGTGATAAAAAAAGCAATGATATTTGTGTAATATATTAAAAATTATAAAAATATTAATTATGTTAAATAAATAGATTCATTACTAAATTAAAAAATGATATCACTGTTTTGATTCGAACTCCCACGTGAGAAAAAATACTAGTCAACACATTATTTGCATATATATATATATAGCATTTGGGGTTTGACTATGTCAAATCAATATTGTGGTGATTTGATTAAATTAGCTTATTAATTTGAAACAATTAATTTTTCATCACAAGACAGATAAATATGATTAACTTAGCACATTAATTCGAAGAATTAACTTTTCATCAATCTCTAAACACTGTATGGTACAGAAAATAAACTGGAAAATAAAAGGCTGAAATTTAAAGTGGTGATCCCCAAATCTGACTTTGCTTTGTTGAAGTTGATTGAAGATGTCTTGCCATCCAAATCCTTAAATATTCTTTGAATAAAACGTTCAGAACCGTCGTCTGGTCAGTTACCATAACCGTTGTTAACCGCCCCAAAAGTTCTCTTCTATTGACACGTGTGTCAACCGTTCTACTACGTCCGACCTTCAAAAAACCGTTCGCCAGTTGCAACTTCCTCTAACCGCCCCAGAACTGCTCTCTCACCCGACCTGCACATGCTACTTCACTTGGTCCGAACTTCGTATCACGTCCTGACCTCAATGCCCGACTTGCTTCTTCGCCCGACATCATTTGGGCCGACCTCCGCATCAGCCGCCCTCCGTCTTTGACCGACTTTAATTGGTCCGACCATGGACCAACCAAATGTGGTCCCTACCACGGACCAACCGACCGGCTCTATTTGCCTTATCTCTTTAGAAGGACAGACTGTCCTCTGGACAGACCTCCGCATCTGTCCGTACCTCTTCCTTGCCCGACCTTTCTCTTGACAAACCTTTGCGTCTGCCCGACTTCGTCTTTCACCCGATCTACGGTTTACCCGACTTGGGTACACCTTTTTTCAGACTCCGCCCGACCTTTCTTCCTTCCCGATCCTTGCATCTGTCCGATTGCACCCGACTTCTGGGTCATTCAACTTATATCCAGACTCGTCCAGAATCCCACTGCCATTATTTATTATTATTATATTTTTTTGTGCTTAACAGTGTTATATAAAAATATGTGTTGTGCTGAAATCAGCATATATTATAGTATATGAAATTATACACTTTGTTATGCAATATATGTATTAATATTTATTGTTTGAGTTATATATTATGTTGTGCCGTATAATATGTTTATTATTTTATTATACTCCATATAATTATATAATGTGCTAAAATATATACTATTATATAATATTACCTTCGCCCCGCAAAAAGAGTAACATTTGCTTTTTGTACGTAAATTTTTTAATATTAATATTATATTGATTATAGTGAAAAGGACAAAATTGCCCCTATTAGATTGTGTGCTAAAAAAATAATGACATTTATGTAATATATTAAAAATTGTAAGGGTATTAATTATGTTATGTAAGTAGTACCATTACCAAATTATGAAATGATATTTTTTTTTAGAACGAACAAAAATAAAAAAATAGTATTCTATTTATGAGACGGAGGAAATATATGTATTATTTAAAAAAATATGTATTTATTAAATCAAGTTAGCACCAGATTTTATATAATGACTAAAGATATATTTATAATATTTATTTATTTATTTAGCAAACAAGAGTCACGAGACTTGATGAAGGGAAAATTTGTTTGGTATAAAACTAATATTTATCTATTCCAACTCAATGTACTAATTTATTTTTATAGTATATTAACAATTAATATTCTTATTTTATTTTATTAGTTAATAGAAATATATATATAATAATTCTAATATGTTTATCTATTGCAAGCTATATAAAATAGATATTTTGTTAAAAATAAGAATATTTTTAGCATTTTTATAAAATTATTTTGCTATAAAAAAAATGATATTTTTAAATGAAAAAATATGCTCAAAATTTGAAATATATATTTATTGTAATAGAAATAATAATATCTTCATGGATTTGGGTAATTATAATAATCAATGTTATGTTAATTAAGGTTTCGTGTGATGTTCAATTTTTTCGATGCAAGTTACGATTAATTCGCTGACAAAGTAACGTACGAAACGTATATCATGTAATATTACATTATATTCGATATATTTTGTTGGTATTACATAATAAATAAATTTATATTCATAATTATTTTCGGTCGAATATTTCTTTTATTTCAAAATATGACAATAATATGATATTTCCGTGTTAATATAATATTTTTTTTAATGTTTTTATTTCTAAAATATTTTTTGAAGTTAGGTAAATTTCTATTATCAATACATTTTTCAATATATATATTATTGAAAAATAAAATGTATATATACATATATTTATATAATATATATTTTATTCACTTATAAAAAATTTATAATGTAATACTACCTCAGTCTATTTTATAACTTAATAATATTTACTTTTTGACGTAGAGTTTAATAAATAATAGTATTTTAATTTCAGTCGGCAGTTAAATATAATGTAAAGATAATTTTACTTTTACTTTTTGGTGTAAAAGTAATAATATGATGGTAAACTATGTATATTTGTAAAAAAAAAAAAAAAAGTGGAGTATTTAATAAATTCGTTACTTTGTAATTGGATAATTCAAAATAAAAATGCTCATATTTTGATAATGGACGGAGAAGATATAAAATAATTTTCAATATTATTGACATCATTTGTATATAACACAAAAAATTACTTCAAACTAAAAGTACTAAACAAACATATTTGTATGTTTTTTTACATTTTTTCAAAATTACATACAAAATACTTTTTTCATTCTATTTAAAGTATTATTTTTATTATTTTTGTTTAATTCAAAAACATTTATTTCTATTATAATAAAAATAATTATATATTAATATTAAAATATTTTTAAAATTTTATACAAATTAAAAGCATATCATTATCAATATAAGTAATTTTTATATATAAAGTACAAAATATAATAATATTAAAATTATCTTTTATATTTTTACTAATAAAATAAAATATTATTTTATTTTTTAATTTATTATAAAATTCTAAAAGATTTTTCTGAATTGAGACTAAGGGTGTGTTTGTTTGGAGTTCAGATTTTGTGTTGTAATTTGAATAATATAAGTTTTGAATTAAAATAGTTATATAATGTGATATAAATATGAGTTGATATGATATTTTAAATATAAAATTAATTTTTAATATAATATAAAAATAAAAAATATGTGATTAATTTGATATTGTTTAAGAAAAGAATAAAATGATAGTAAATTTGGGGAAAAATACCCTAAACAAACACAGCCAAGCGAATATATATTTTTAAATATATTATATTTATATTATTTTTAAAATATTACATCATCTGATGTTAGAATTATGGGCCTACACTGACTTCGTAGTGGGGCCCATCTTTTGACGAGAAATCCCGAGGAAAGACTTTACCCAAAAAAGCGAATAAAATATGGTTTTCTTTTTTTATCGCGTTACTTTATTGCAAATCACAAAATTTTGTAAATATGATTAATATTTAATATATTATTAAAGCAGATATGGTGTGGGGTCCAATTCCGAAAAAAATAAAATTAATTAATTATAAGAAAAAGAAGGTTATCCATTAACTAATACAGGTGGCAAAAGAATCGTAATTTAGCGAATGCCGGGAGGGTACTTTCGGAAATTCACAGAAGGAACCGACGCGTCTACACAGGCGGGCGTGGCGTCGTGAGGCTCCGGGCTCGAGCATACCCTGGCTAATCTTCCGACACGTACCCCTGTCATGGCTGAAGCACCTGGACCTCTGTTGACACGTCGGATGCCAGCATGGCAGAGTAAGTCCTAGTCAGCAAAGCCTAAGCCATTTCTCTCTCCTCAGCCCTTTAAATTGCCCTCGCTTCATCGCACCATTCTCACCGCCCAAACAGCTTCCCGTTTCTCAGTGTTGTTGTCTCTCTTCGTCGTGAGAAATTCCGTCGGAGACACCAATCGTTCTCTCTGCCGGTGATTTGTGATTGTTCGCCGGAAAGAGGGATTCCGGGGTTGGATGATCGGAAATAAGAGAAGTGACGTCATGGTCTCGATTTTTTCCGTTTCCTTTTTCCTTGTTGGGAAGTTCAACCCTAATTGTTAGCCCCAAGCAAAAGCGAAGCTGTTTTTAATTTAACGTAGAAGATTTTCGAACTTCTTCGGTGTTTGATATTGTAAACAATAAGCGATGTTTTCTATGATCCTGGAGATAAAAGGTATATAGCTGATTGTTGCTGAGATTTTTTATGGCTTTTGCGGAGGAAGTCATTTCTAACTGATCCCAATTTTTGTTTCCGGTTGAAGCTGGTTGATTTTATTTAATATTTCTTGAATCAGCCTGATTTTGCCTTTTCCCACCGGCTTTTCAGTTCGATTTTGCGTGTATCGGTGCTTTTTTTTGACAAATTTCCCATATGGATAAGATATATTTATAGATAGTAAGGATGTTTAGGGATTAACTTCTTTCGTTGACTAAATCGGTGTTCATCGCTATGGAGAAGTCGAAATCGGAAGCTGAAATCCTCAGAAGATTTATCAGTATTGAGCATTGATTGTCGAATCCAGAAGCATGAAGATTCAACCTGTTGATTTCAACCTGCCGGAGGAGCCACCGCCGGTACCGAGACCACAGCTGAGGTCGAGGTTTTGGCGACTTTTCGAATGGCAGTTTTCCAGCGTTTTGAGAATCCCGCCGGCGGCTCCTGTCCAGCCGATCGGCTCCTGTAGTTGCAGCAGAGATGGCTCGAACGAGTTTGAGCCGAGTACAGCAGGTCTGGCCAGAATGGTTCAGAGCTTCATCGAGGGAAGCAGCGAGAGACAGCCTCATAGGTGCGGATACCGTACCGACAACTCCGACGACGATCCAGACTCATCCAGTTCTTCTCCATCAGACGTTTGTGATCTCCTCAAGGTATTCATCTTCTTTGACTGGAAATTCTACGCATCTTCTGTAGTCCAATATTTAACTGGTCTTTCTGTACTTTGTTCTGTCTGTGGATGAACAATTAACTGAAGTTTTTCCGTATTTTGAAGCAGAGTTTGGTCCCCTGTTTCTGCGTTTCCGAACGGAATTTATTAGCAGACGCTGCGCATGTTATCGACAGAAGCAAAATCGGCAAACGTAAAGACGATTCAGCCCGAAAAATCTTCACAGACGGATTGATTTCTCTCGGATACAATGCTTCAATCTGCAGATCAAATTGGGAAAAATCCATATCCTATCCTTGTGGTAAGATACCCTCGAATTTCGTCTTCCTTAGCTCAATTCTCTTACCTTTTACAATCGGAGAATCCATTTGTGATACGCAGGAGAATATGAATACGTCGAGGTGATAATCGGAAGGGAACGATACATAGTCGACATCGAATTCAGGTCAGAATTCGAGGTAGCAAGAGCTACAAAGGCTTACAGAGAGATTCTCCAGACACTGCCTTCAATATTCGTGGGACAATCCAAGCGTCTCAAGAAGATCATAACCATAGTCTCTGAAGCTGCAAGGCAGAGTTTGAAAAAGGAAGGTATGCCTTTTCCTCCATGGCGTAAGCCTGAGTATGTCAAAGCCAAATGGCTGTCCCCCTACACCCGAATCTACCCATGCTCCACTAGCAGAGCTCCAATTTCTAGAAATGGCGATACTGGCTTTATGCTGGGAAAGGGGTTTCTGAAATCCCCCTTTCTGGGACGAGAGTACAGTGCAGGTGAGCCAGTGTTTGTTCTGTCTGAAAGTGAGGAATCCAACGAAGGAGATACCATTGCAAATTTTGGAGGTATTGGGAAGGGGAAGGAGAAGGAGAAGGAGAAGAAGGGAGTGGTGATTACGGGCAATTGTCTGCGAAAGGGAGTGAAGATTGTGACTGGTTTGGCTTCTGTGACCAAAGATTAAGCCATTATAATTCTATTATTATTATTATTATATATTAATTATTAGTAATTTTAAATAATTGTGAAGAAGATTGGAGTGTATTTTTAGCCATGTCTTCTTCCTCGAGGAAGATGGAGAAGATTGAGTGTTGTTTAGAGGTGGAGTGACCAGATTTTAGCAGCTCCTGGGATCTCAGCACCCTTTTTAAATTCTCACCCAGCAATGCCATTGGGAGCTGACCTCTGTTGTGTTGCCTGGCATGGGCTGTGGTTGTATAAAGTATTATGGTTCTTGGATAGTTGAAAAAATTATATATATAACAAATAAATAAAATTATATATTATATGTATGTCCAGTTATTGTTATTATTATTTTTATTTATGTTGTGATTCGGCAGGGGAACATAAATTTTTAGGGAACTGAAAATGGTGAGAGGAGAAAGATGAAGAGAGCGTGTGTTGCAATTTCCAAAGTGCTTCAATTTCCGTGAATATGTTGTCACATTATCATCATTGCTGCTGTTTAATACTATATTTTTTTGTATAGAAAAAGGACCTAATAGTAGACCATATGCCATTTAGTGTAAAAATGTGAAATATCCTCTTTCGGTCACTATGGTTAACAGTAAAACTTTAAATATACCGCGTTCATAATTACGATCCACACTGCACAATCCACAGCATTTCTTTTGGTAATTTTACTAGTTAATTAATTGAATTTTTCAATTACCCTGCAATTCCAGAAATAGAGCAAAACCTGCTTTAAATTAAATGTAACTCTGGAATTAGATGTAACCATTTTTATTTTTTATTTTCTGTATTTAAAGTTTGGCTCATTTTACTATGGTGTCTGAACACACTATACTCGGCACTGTGTCGCAGCAGATGTGATAGAGCAGTGATATTAGATATAGTAGTGATGTTTAGGGCTCGTAGTCGTAGGCAATAATTCTTACCTTCCACCTGTAGTCCATATTTAAATTGATTTAATGATATTATTATTATTATTAGTGTGATTAAATAGTGAGTGGACTAGGACTACATAGATATATAGTACAGAGGATAGCGATGATTGGCAATTGGCGTATATAGATTAGTATTTTAATTAATTAAAACGCGTATGGAGTGGAATATTGTGTGCAACTTCATCATCAGCTTGTGGTTGTTTAATTTCTTTGTTTATGATTGAGACGTGTGAATGTAAGCTTCAATTAATTTCGTCGAAGCTATTCTGACCATAGGTACCGTCTCCGTCTCCCTCCCAACATTCAAGGCTCCCATCTCACAAAAATTTTAATTTGGAGTATTAAAAATATTTTTTAAAAAATTATATTTTTTTTACATATATAATGTGATAGATTTTATAAGAGGCAATCTCCGTTTCAAAATTGATGCATTTGTTATGAAAAATAAATAAATAGGTCATTTGAGATTTTATAGTAAATTAATAAAAATAATTAGTGAGAGTGTATGAAATTTTAATAATGTTTCACTGCATAAAGTAATTGTAGCGTGCAATGATTTGTAATTTCAGTAAGAATTAAAAAAAATTTAATATTAGTGTATAATTATTTTTTAAAAATAACATAGCCAGAAAAGATAAGTATGATTTAAAAATTAATCCAAGCACAGCATAAAAAATAAATATTAAGCCCTCTAAATTAGGTAGAAAAAATTCGAGTTGAGCCCATGAAAATCGGGCCATGTCCGATTTACCAAAAAAATTGAAATATATTATAAATTACAATAAAATTTTAAAATTATTATATATATACTTAATATTTAAAAATTTAATTGTCAATAAAAAAATTATTTTTATAATAATTAGATCAATACATATAATTTATTTTTTTAAAAAATAAACAAACAATGTAAAATAAATATATCTAAAAAAAATATTAAAAATGGACCGGTACCGCTTAGATTGAAACCGGACCGCCTCAAGATGAGGACTTAACGCTGATTATAAGATCGAGCCAAGCATACCAAACAGATTTGAAAATAAATACTTGTAAACACATTTTTATTTTTTTTTAAATGATAAATTCCAACAGAAGATTACTCTGCGGTCAGTTACTCCATTTATCTACTAAGCCGAGCTATCCTCAATCGCAACCTTCCGAGTGTTACCCTTTCTATACTTTTTTTTTTTTTTTTAATATTTCAAACTTGGAACATAAAATTAAATTTAAATTTATTAAATCTAAAATATTTCAACTCTCTTTTTTAACTCAAATGTTTAACATAAATTAACTTTAGTTTGATAAAAAGTTAAAAAATGATACAACAAATAACAGTTGTTTGTCAGTAAAAAACAACAGAACTCACAATTGAATCGAAAATACGATAAGACTTTTATTGGAGTTGGAAACGACAGGAGTACTTTCCACAAAGTAAAAAACAATGAAACTCTAAACATAGTCAGAAATGATAGACTTCTCAAAGCAATCGGATTTATAATTTTAAAGAAACATGACAAATCGATTGTATGTGTAGATTGAAGTCTCAAATCCAAATACACACGGAAATCAAGATTCTAAATAGAAAAACGAACGACAAAATCTCAAATTTTTTTGGTAAGCTCCGGATGTATTTTGGGTTGAATTCAAAACAAAATAAGGAATAACCCGCTGTGTAGAGTGAACGCATGAAGTTGAGGTCATGTAATAAAAATCTTTTTAAAAGGTTAACTATCGATTAGTAAATACAGACAGTCAATATTTTAATAAGAATTTGAAAGGCTGTTTGTTTTGCTTCGTCCAAATAATAAGTGTACATTTATTTTTGGCGCAAAGTTTAAAAAATAGTAGTATTTTAATTATATTAGGTATGTAAAAGTAATAAATGATATTTTTATCCTTACTTTTTGGTATAAAAATAATGATGTGATGTAAAGTAATAATATTTGTGGAAAAAAATGGAGTATTTAATGAAATTATTACTTTGTATTGAACGTTCCAAAATAGAAATATGTATACTATGTAGCGGGACAGAGGGAGTATTTTTTACCATTATTATGTCTTAAACTTTTGTTATTAAATATTATTTGTGATATTTCCAGAATTCTCTCTTATTTATTTATGTATTTAAGGGAATATCATCTTCATCTAAATATATACTATTTAGTTTTCAAATGAAAAATATGTATAACTATATTAGCTAAAACATTATAAAAAAAAATAAATTGATAACAGTGATATAGTTGGTAATTTTAAATAAAATATAAAAAATAGTAGTATTTTATTAATGTGTGTGGACTATCTTTACTGAATTAAGAAACATGCCACATTAATTGCGCACATCAGAATGAGAAAATTTATTTTAAAAAATATATATATTTAATTTGATAATTAACTTGAAATTAATAATAATTAGTATCAGAATCAAGTCCAGCCTTATATATTAATCATTTTGTTTTAAGCTTATGGTTTTACTCAGAAGAGTAGCTAACACTTCTTTTCGGGAAAAAAAAAAAAAAAAAAACATTATCTAACAGATAATTCAGTTGCATGCGAAGACGACGACAACGAACCAGGATGATTTTGGAGGGCCCGGGACCAGATGCTCCCGATTGTAGACACGGGGTAGATATCCAGCCCGGGCTTCCAAGTCCCGGGACCCCTTTAACTAAAAACTACATAAGCCTCGGCTGAGCTTATCCAGAATGGAGGCAAGCTAATTGGTAAGGGCCTGTTTGGATGAATCAAAATGGAAAGGAAATGGATCGGAATTCTCCTCAATAACGACAGGGTAACCGTCGATCTCCATCATCCAAGGGTTCTTCTCGTCGCTCCTAACATCCCTCAACGCCCGCCAAACAGCACTGTTACATTTAAAACCCGATCCGAATGCCATCTGCCATACCCGATCCCCCTTCCTGACCCGACCCTTTGCCTCCGCGTACGCCAATTCATACCAAACTGAACTGCTCGAAGTGTTCCCAAATCGATGGAGCGTCATTCTCGAAGGCTCCATGTCCGCCGCGCTGAACCCTAGATTCCTCTGCAATTCGTCGAGCACCGGCTTCCCCCCGACGTGAGGAAGGAAATGCTCCACAGATCTGTTGAACTTCGGCATGTAGGGATGGATTTTCGCCGGACTGAGGCGGCGAGCGATGTGATTTTTCAGGAATCGGATCTGCTCGGAGAGAGGGAGGATGTGCGCGCCTAGAGATTTCAGGTGCAGTTGAATCGCAAGATTCGCCGCGACTAAGAGGTCTTTGTTGATGTTGACGCCGGTTTGGCCGTTCGAATCCTCCTCGCGGGAGATGCAGCCGTAGGCGACGTCGGAACTGGCGGTGTGCGTGTGGAGCGCGTGCATGAGACGGTACTTGGAGAGTTTTGCGTGCGAAGGTTTGTTCGAGAGGAGGACGGCGGCGGCGCCGGAGCGGAAGATGCAGTTCACGAGAAGCTTGGAGCGGTCGTCGCCGGCGTATAAACTGCAGGTCACGTTTTCCGTGCTCACGATTAACGCACAGGTATTTTTCCGCACCTATTTTCCCGCGCAGTTAGAAAATCGTTAGATTTTGAACAGAACTGAACTCTGTTTCGTTAGCTATACTGTGAATTGAAGGATTTTTCTAGAACATTCCTTACCTGTAGAAGCCGTTTGGCGAGTCCGACGGCGAGTAGCCCCGTGGCGCATCCCATTCCGGTGAGATTGAAGCTCGCGACATCTTCCCTGAGCTTATACCGATTGACAATAATCCCCGACAGCGAAGGCACAACATTAAACACAGTGCAGTTGACGATCAATATTCCGATCTCTTCTCGCTTGACGAAGGTCTTCGCCATCAGAGCATCGACGGCGCCGAACATCACCATTTCCGACTCTTCCCTCGCCGCATCCATCTCCTGGTTGAACGGGACGCGAAGCAATCCTTTCGCCAGGTACGTCGAGTCTCCGATCCCTGCTCTGTACACTGTTTTCGTAATGAAATCTAGCGTGCGATCCGAAACTCCATATGTCCTCGCACTTTGAACTATATCGTCTCTGCTGCATTTTAGGGTTTCCGGGGGTTTGTAACATGCGAAATCCACCAGAAAAACCTCATCCACATTAAAAAAGCGTGAGTAAAATACGATCAACAGTAGAATCATGAGCAGACATAAAATCACCACTCCAATATTTTGATGGAAAAGGATTACGGCTTCTGAGATTAATGCAGTAGCAAAATTGAACATGATGAAGATCAACTCGCTCGATCTATGCTTGAACAGAAGAATGAATGGCTACAAACACACACACACACATACATATATAATATAGAACAGACAGTAGCTTTATCGAATTAATGAAGGATTGGTATGAAAGTTGTAGTGAACTAACTGTTCTTATTAAATATTTACGGGTGGATACAAGTGGGGAATTGCATGCATTTTGCATAAAATATAGTTAATATATATAACTGGTAAATAACTCGAGTTTCTAAATTGATCATATTATATACATATCTTGTTGATGAATTATTTATGTGGAGGAGATCTGTGAGGAATTAATTGGGTGGCAGCCCGGCGGCTCTACCTACATACTTATTACAGTAATAATTAATTCTCCCCGTCCATAATAATAATAACTGTCTGCTAAAATACGAGAGATCGTAGTACACTAGTATTAATTAGTTATCACACGAGGTTGGGTGAAATAATTGGGCAGGCTAGCTAGGCCAAGCTCTCTCTTTTTGACTAAAATTGAAATGTCTATAGAGCAAGAGGGATGATGAGCACTAAGGGTGTCGAGCTTTTTTTTTTTTTTTTTTTTTTCTCTGTTGAATAGATTTTTTGTGGGCACAGAATTCAAAATTCCCACTTATACAGTACTGTCACGTCGTCAAGACCGCGAACATGTCGAGCCAGAGTGTGGGGCATTGGGGGCCATAAATTTTTGCCTTTTGCACACGAGAAGGACATAGCAAGTAGAAGAAAGAAAAGAAAATCTATAGAGTTGAAAATCATCAGTAGGGAATTTGTAGAAGAATCGGACCATCCTACCCATAATCTATAGAGTTATAACAAGTAGATAGAGGGGAAAAAACGACAAAAAAAAAAAAAAAAAAGGAAAAGCTTTTAGGCCTAAGAAATTAAACGCCACTTCTATTCACAATTCTATTTTTTACTTCAACCAGAATATTCTTCAAATATTTTATTTTATATATTATTTTAAACTATTTTTTATATTTTTAAAAAAAAAATTCCTAAAAAAAAACATACAACATCATAAATTGCTAAACACAATTTTTGGTGTCAAAATTAGCGCACATGATTGGAGAAAAGAACTTCGTTTATGAGGCTGTAGCTCAAAAAATGCAAGATGATCTAAGCCATCTCCAACCCCCTCCAAATATACAGTTTGGTGGGGAGAATTTGCTCCAATCCACTCTCTATTTGGGGGTGTTGCACTGTAACTAAAGCTATTTACGGTGGTGGTGTTTTTTCTTTTATATTAATTCTTTTATTTACTTTTTACTTTTTTATTTAATTTGTTTAAATAATAATATTAATTTTAGATATAAAAAATGATATAAAATAATATACATAATATCCAATATAAATAATAGTGGAGTAAAAAATATAACTGTATAAAAATAAAAATACTATAGTATCTGCATTTCTTAAATTAAAATTGTATAAATAGAGTTTATGAACCGAGATGGCCAAACACTATATATTTGAGGAAAATGAAAAGCAACCTCCCAAGCAAGTCAATCCTATATTTTCCTGTCACCCATTCATTTTTTTCTTATTGGAGAAAACATTTTTGTTTCTTTTTTTTAAAAACAAAAGTGCACTATATTTTTTTTACTATAAAAAATAAAATAATAATAATTTTTATCAATTGGTACTCAAATATTTAAACACACAACTAGACGAGAGAAGTAGTATTATTTAAAAGGAATTTAAAGGAGAAAAATAGAAGGCTAAGAAAAGACACACAACAAAGATACAAGGGACTATTTGGTTGTAGGTTGTTGTTATAGTCACAAAGTTGAGGTGTTAAATCCATTCCATTGTTTCCCTTTTTTTCATAAGTTAACACGTCTCATTTAGAATCTACCAAGTTCATATTGTATTTTAATCTAATAAAAAAATTATATATTTAATTAAGATTTTAAAAACAATAATTATAGAACTTTGTGATATTAGTGTAGCGATGACTAAGCTGTGAAAGTAAAGTGTATTAGAAAATCGATATGGTTGAAACTGTTGGGTTGAAAGTTTGGATTTTGTGATTGAATGTTATGAATAGAGCAAAATATGGAGCAAAACCCGATATTCGGTAAAAATACCATATTCAAGATCATATATATATATAAAGCGGATTCGGATCCAAATACGAACCCGATACCCATATGAGATTCAAATTTGAATCCGGCAAAATATACCAAATCCGAATCGGATCCAATCCAAAACGGTTCTAATGGCCAGACCTAATTATCACCGGGCGGGATAGTATGGAGCAAAACCTTGACCTAATTACTGACACAGTCCGACTAGGTATAATTATACTTAATGTATTTTTCTTATTCATAAAATTCAATAGAACCAATGATTATAAATATGGATATAAGAAAATTAATGAAAAAATAAAACAAAAAAACAAAATTCAGAAAATATGATTTAGTATGGATGAAAACGTCAATTATTATCCCCATATAAATTGTAATTGTTTAGTTCATAAACTTATTACGAGACTTTCAAAATTTTAGGGCTAACATAAACCCTAATTTTCGTACAACACTGCATGTAATGTTGGCCAACCCAAAACCAAATTTATGATCGTTTATAAATGTTTTTAATTATATATTTTTATAACAATAATAGTAGTATATATTTTTATTTAAAGATTATACGTGGCATCTTATTTTATCTTACATGCAACGTCTACTAATAGTGTCCAGCACCTTCTGTAATAATATACCAGACGGCTAATTATATATTATATATTATTATTATTATTATAATAGTTATAACATGTTTATATTAATTATTCTTGTTGGGTCTGGACCTGTAATTCTTGTCGGCAGAGAGAATAGAAGTTAATTCGAATAACCATAGAATAAATTCTAAATAAATACAAACTTATTTATATTTGTTAAATATATTTAAAATATATAAAATTATTAAAAATGGAAATGAATTATTTGTGGGATGTAAAAAAAAAAAATAGATTATTTGTAGCGGAATAGAAAAAAAAATTACTTAAAATAAAAAAAGTTATCTTTTGTAGGACGTAAAAAAATAAGTCATTTGTAGCGGAACGGAGAAAAAAATTACTAAAAATAAAAAGGAGTTCGTATAGATCACCGCGGAACAGATCTTTCCCTTAGTCCACTTAGACATTTTTTATTATTTTTTTCTAAATATTTATATTTATATATATATATATATATAGTGTCTAAATTTGATTTCGATATTTTTAATAAACAAACATTTGAGGAAATTGCAATAGAGCATTAAAGTTGTCGCGCATGGAGAAAATAGAAAGTTTTAGTAGTGGCTCATTAATACACACACTAATTAATCTTAACTCGTAATAAATAAATACTACAAGTCTACAAGTAGTTTTAAACTTTCTACTGATGTTCATAGGATAGGATCGATAGCTTGCCTACCAGACTATATTAATCACTCCAAAATAAGCAACTTTTGTATTTTCAAAATTAAGACAAGATGTTAGAGATTTGAAGTTCTGGAAAAAAAATAAAAAAGAAAAACAAATTGAATACTTTATGTGATCTTTGGAATAAAAAATACTATTTGCTTTATATTTTATAAAAAGAAAAAAACAATTATTTTAAAAATTTTCAAAATAATCTGAGTTATATTTGTTTGAGGATTTGAATTTTAGATTGAGATTTGAATGTTAAAAAATTTGAATTAATATTTTAAATATTTTTAGTATTATATTTTAATAAAATATATATAATATGAATATTATCTTGTAAAAATTATGATTTTATATAAAATAAATAAATAAATAAATATATATTTATTTATAATTAACTCAAAATTAATTTTATCAAAAATGATAAATTTGAAATATAAATAAAAAAATTTATTAAAAAATAAAAATAATAAAGTTTTGAATGAGAATTTATATGTAATCGGTAAAAAATTGAATTTTATTAATAATAGAAATAAACTATTCCATCTGTTCCATAAATATAGTCTTAATTGGGTTGGACACGGAATTTAAGGAATATTGATATTATATTGGTAGTTGGTAAAAAGTCCTTGTGAGTGTATTCGTATAAAAAGTATGGTAATATGTTTATTTATGAAAACAAGACTATTATTTTGAAACAGATAAAAATGGTAAACAAGACTATCATATTGGACAAATGAAGTAATTTTTTACGAAAGAGACGAAATGAAAAGGGACAGAACGGGGGAATATAATTTTTTTTATATAGCAATATTTTATTCATAAAAAATAAAAAATCATAAAAATTTCTTACCTTTTTAAAAATATATTGATATGTTCGAAAGTAAATTTTATGATAATATATGTATATATTATATCTTTCTTCCCGCAAAATATGTTCAAAATTTTAAAACAAATTTTAATGTGTTATGTGGGGTTTTTATTGATACTTTTTTGTTATTTTTGCTTATAGGAAAAAATATATACTAAAAAGAATGATATCATTTTTTATTAAATAAAAATAAAAATATTTTTAAGTGACAAATAAAAAAAAAAATTGATTTTAGAAGATATAGAGTAATAAAACAATAATATGGCTAGAAAATAAACTTGCATAATGAAAATATAAATTGAAGAGAAAATAAACTCAGTACAAAAAAATACAACAATATGATGAATTGATCAATAAAAATGATGAATAGAGTAAAAAAAAAAAATATTTTAGTGAATAAAAATCTCATATTTGAATAATAAATTAGATGTAATGTAAAATTGGATAAATGTAATTTAAAAAAAATTATAAAAATTAAATACGGATATCTTATAAAATAATTATAAAAAATAAATAGTATAAAAATACATTAATAAACATATTTTATTATTTTTTAATATTAATTTTTCTATTTTTTATATATTGAAAATAAATAAAAATAATACTAACATTTTCAAATTTGTTTAAATATAATTTAAAATTTATTTGAAATAAAATATTTAACAGTTTAATATTTTAAAATAAATAATATATTTTATTAAAAAACGTATAAAATAAATAACACTCTCTCCGTCCCCACTTAATTAACATATTTTCCATTTTATATTTTTGTATATTTTATAACAATGGATGTATTTCTATTTTGATAAAAAATACTAAATTAAAATATACTCAACAAATAGTAATCAATTTTATTAACTACATAATATATAATATAATACAAATAAGATCTATTCAAAACCTTTTTATTTCTGTATTTATTCAAAATACAAATATTTTTATATACCTTAAAAATATTATATTTTTTATAAAATTTATTTACGTTTATTATAAATAAATAGGCTCTACTTTTTATTTATTTATATTTAATATTTTTATTGTGATATAATTTTTAAAATTTTAAATATTTATTTTAAATTTATTAATCATATATATTAAATTTATTTTAAAAATATCAATATAATTAATTATATAATAAATAATAAAAAATATTATAATTTATTATTATTAAATAATTAAATATTATTATTTAAATATTGTATCACTAATAATATATGTCAATAGAAGAAAAAGTATTTATTTTGATTTAAAATATTTTTCTTTTTTATTTTACTATTTCACACCGCCTAAAAGGTAAAAATTGCAAGCAACGGCCACGTTTAGGCTTTGAAAAGCTCTCAGTCCAAAATCCCCAATTTTCGCTGGGAAGTTTAGTTATAAACCCTAATTTATACTCCGCACCATTCGTAATTCTCGATCAGTCAATCAATGGACGGCCACCCCTCGCATCTCACGGCCTCCGTTCGTTCCCGGAGTTCCCAATCTCCTTCGCCTTCTCACTCCGCTTCCGCCTCCGCCACCTCCTCAATCCACAAGAGGAAACTACCGCCTGAAGACCACGCGCCGCCTTTCCCGCCTTCGTTCTCCGACACGCGCGACGGAGCCCTTACGTCTAACGATGACCTGGAGAGCATCAGCGTCCGCGGAGCCGACTCAGATTCTGAGGATGAGTCTGAAGAAGTCGTCGACGATGAGGAGGAAGAGTACGATGACTCCTCCATGCTCAATTTCACTGCTTCTCGGCTGGAGAACAGTAACTCTGCTGGTCCTACAGCCAGGAACACTAAAATGAAGGCAGATAATTCGGTTAAAATCGAGTCTGCTGATGTAGCTAAGGAAAGTAATAACAGTAGTAACAATAATTCTGGTAGTGCCGTGGCGCCTGGGGCCAATGGTTCGATCCCGGGAATTCTGGTAAAGGAGGATACAGTGAAGAGTATTTTTACCGATAATATACAGACCAGCGGCGCCTATAGCGCGAGAGAGGAGAATTTAAAGAGAGAAGTAAGCCTTCTCATCGTTTAAGTTTGCACTTGTGTTGTCCTTCTTTCCAAGGAATGCTTTGTATCTCTATCAACTTGCTTGACTGCTCTATTTTTCAATATTATTTGCTATTATTTTCCGCAATAATACTTATAGATCATGAGGTATCTTTGCTTTTTACTTTTTGGATTTTCTCCAAATTATCAGGAAGAAGCAGGGAGGCTCAAATTTGAATGTGCTTCAAATGATGGCATTGATGAACACATGGTTTGGTAATTTCATTTGCTCCCACGAAGATCTGCTTTGACCCTTGTAATCCCATTTTACTTGGTTAATGACTTCAGTTGTATTTTATTAGGTTGATAGGATTGAAGAACATTTTTGCCAGGCAACTTCCTAATATGCCAAGGGAGTACATTGTACGGCTCATAATGGACAGGTATACTGCATCATGCATGTGAACTTTTTCTGTGAAGCTCGTAGGAAAACACAAAAAAAGTTGGTAACCTTGTAATTAGAAGTTTCGCCTGCTAGTTTCCAGTTATTGTCTCTCCACTTACGTGGTGATTTAGTAAGAAAGTGCTGTAAACACAATTTAATGAAATGTGTTAGCAAGTCATAAGTTGCTATGGTATGTTCTGAGATAAACTTTAGCGATATTTGCTTTTCAAGAATATATTATGGATATATGCTTTAATAGTGACTAGAATTAAGATTCTTATTCCTGATGCAATAATTATGTTTGGAGATCTGTATCTTTCATAATTTATACTAAATTCCAGTTACTTGTGTATCTTTCTTAAGATCATTGTTGTGCGCATGAGTTGTATGCTAGTTCTAATTACATTTGTTAGATAACTGTTGAATAATCATTCAGTGTTCTTTGTTGGATATCTGTTTACCATTTGTGTTTTCAAACTTGAGAGTTCTATGATTTGTTTTTGTTGTGGCAACTATATCTAGTCATGCTGCAATTTTTTAGTGGCCTACCTTTTTTGGTTTTTGTCTAAACATTGGTACTATGGTTTGTGTGGCAGAAACCATAAATCTGTCATGGTCATCCGACGGAATACAGTAGTTGGTGGTATTACATATCGCCCCTACATCAGGTACAGCTTTTGCTGTGTTGTTATGCTGACTCAATTTAATACCATGATACAGGTTCAAATGTCTATTTATCACCTAATTGGCTTCAAATCTTTTTTTTTTTTTTGTATGTTTTTGGTTGAGCATATTGCTGCACTATATTTTCAGAATGTTTCATTATAATGTTCAGCCGTGCATCATCAACCATCTTATGCAATATTTGTGCTCATGCTAATGTTGTATGATTACAAGAGCAAAATTGAAGCGGGCTTGATGAATGATGTATTGGCCCCTTGAGATGGTTTAATTATTTGCTAAATTATGATCCTTTTGTGAGAATCTTGATATTTTAATTGTGCATGCAGCCAAAAATTTGGAGAGATAGCTTTCTGTGCTATCACAGCTGACGAACAAGTTAAGGGCTATGGCACACGACTTATGAATCATTTAAAACAGCATGCACGGGATGCAGATGGTCTGACACACTTCCTTACATATGCTGATAATAATGCTGTTGGTTACTTTGTCAAGCAGGTGAGATTACAAACGTCCATATGTAGCACTTGTCTATGATAGGCCAATCAACTCAGCATAGTATCATATGCATATTGGTATGATATGATCAGACATTGTGAAATCTAACTGGAATATGTAGTCTCGTTGAGTGTTCTTTTTATTAGGCCCTTGACTAGTGTTGCTCTAGCAGTAGTAAGTATTTAAAAAATCTAAATGAGAAGAAACTCAAAGTTACTTACTTGGTTAATCAAATTTTGGTTATAGCTTGTGTTTAGTTTTGATGTTTGCGGGTTGTACAGGATTCTGTAGCAACATATAGATATTAATATGTTTTTGGCTACTGACTTTGAGTTCACTAAAATTTATGCTTTTCATTTCATGCTGTAAAGCTTTTCATTGTAGTTATGGTTAAGGGATGTGCAATAAGCAAAAGTCACTGCCAGCGTATGTTTGTTGTTGTGCTAATTAAATCAGTTCTGTTGGTTTATATTGTGGAGAGATTTCAACTGTAGAAGATGGGCCATGGGAAATGTAAATTAGCATCTAGTTATTTACATCAACTGTTAAAAACTTATTATTGTTTGAAAGAAAAGAAGTGAGTAGTTTGGGGGTGGATAAGGTGCTCACTCATTCATAGTGGGCGAGCCAGTGGGTCTTTTTTTTTACCTTTTCTACCTGTAATTGTCTACTTGTTATAAATCTTTGTATTGTTATTGTTCGTGGTGTGATTTCTAATATATTATACTTGTTTAGGGCTTCACCAAGGAAATTCACTTGGAGAAAGAAAGATGGCATGGGTATGTTTTGACCTTTTCTGTTTATGTCCTTTTAAGTAATCTTTATATTACTGTGGTAGCTATGCTGCTTTGTTACATATTCTTCTGGACAGATAGAGTACATTGTGGATGCATCACAAGTTCTGTTAGCTTTTGTATCTAATTGTATAGGTCTTTGTGTCAACATTATATATACCACTTTTGTTGCAGGGTGATACAGATGCCCTTTTTATTAAAAACTTTACTATATCAGTTGGGTTGTTATTAATCTTGCAGCTATATCAAGGATTATGATGGAGGGATCCTTATGGAATGTAAGATAGACCCCAAGCTTCCATACACTGATCTATCAACTATGATACGTCGTCAAAGACAGGTAAGTTATATTCTTTTTCTCTTTGTATGATTAGTATTTTATTTATTTATTTATGACAGTGGGATTAGGACAGATATTGGGCATATGATGTAGTCATCATAGTGCGATAATTTATCAATTTCCTATTGATTTGTCTGTCATTGCGGCATATCATAGATTAAGCAAGTGCCTTAACAAGTAAATATTCATTTGTTTTGTTGTATTTGACTGCTAGGCAATTGATGAAAAGATAAGAGAGCTCTCAAATTGTCACATTGTCTACCCTGGAATTGATTTTCAGAAGGTGCGCCACAGTTGTTTGAATGTGTATTTTAAGAATGTGATTGTTTGGAGCTCCTTCAACACACTGAAGTAGAAATGTTTGATCTCCTTTTCGTTGGGTTTGTATATTATTAGTTAATGCTTCTTTCTGGTGATGTTTTATTGCTTTCCAGAAAGAAGCTGGTATTCCTAAAAAATCCATCAAGGTTGAGGATATACCTGGCTTGAGTGAGTCTTTCCTTTCCCTGAATATTATTTAGTTTTATGTCAATTTCTGATGTAATGATCTGTGGTTCTATAGGTAAAGCTTTCTAAATTGTTTAAAGGGATCATGCCATCTCTAAACATCCAGATTCCTTCATATGCACACTCAAGCACAGTATAGAAGATTAGAAACTCACCTTTCTTAGTTTTATGGTTAAGGATCTTTTTTTTTTTTTTTTTTTTTTTTTTTAAATTGCGGCATTTTATGGTTAAGTTTTGCACCTACACATTATGGTTTCTCCATTCTAGATTTTTTGTCTTGTAGATTCTGTATCTCCAGTTATTATATGATTCTAATTTGAACTTGGCTATGGCATCATGACAGGAGAGGCGGGTTGGACACCTGATCAATATGGCCATTCTCGATTTAAGACAATAAACTCGTCATCGGAGGCTGGCTCACATCTGAAATCCTTGACTGCGTTTATGCGCTCCCTTGTCAAGGTAATTTATCTATCTATATATTATATATTTGAAAGAACTTTTCGGTTATTTTCTATCTATTACTTTGGGGATTTATAATTTTCGATGGAGAATAGTTTGTCAATAGCGGCCTGTAGCAGCACTCTACTATGCTAGGGTTGTGAGAGAAAATGGATTACTTTTTTAACACGTAAGTAATTGAAATATAACTTTAACTTAAAAAGTGTTTTTTGTTTTTATTATAATATAGATAAAAAAAATCTAACATTTATTTTAAATCTTAATTAATGGTTAGGTTCATTCTTAAAAAAAAACCAATTAGAAAGCCAAAAGTTGCAAGATTTGGTTTATATCAAGTATAACCAAAATTTGTTATATCGTTATGGTAGCAATGATGTGATTGGTCCTATTGTTTTGAATGATATTGAAGATTCTAATGAGTGATTTATTGGAGAAGTTGATAAAGATAAACAACTTGGCAAGGATGAGTAAGCCTTTGATAATGATAATTTCACTTGTGGAGTTGTTGATGCTACTGGAGCTAACGAGCCTACTTTCTATAGGATGCAAACATCAATGAGAGAAAGCTATAGGCACTTCTAGTTCTCGAAAGGGAAGGGAAATGATATTGTGTAAGGTGGCGAACTTACACTAGAATTAATGGATGAGAATAAAGAAGAAGAGGAAGAATATATAGACAAGAGTAGCAGTGAGGCTGATGAAAATGAGGAAGAAAATTCTTTTATCAGATTTTGAATCTAATTAGCTTTGATATATATAATGATCTAATTGTTTTTGCTTATATAACTATCTAAGAACTATGATCTTATTTTTTTATTGACATTTTATTGGTTTGAATGACAATTATGGTTTGAAGGACACAGTATTTTAGATAGTTGAATTTAATAGGTCAATTATAATCGTTATAATATTATTTTATTATTTTTTATATAAGTGTTCTTGCTATTATTTTTAAAATAAAAATTAATATATGATTTAAAAAAATTAAAATATGTATTTACAAATAACTAAAAAATATATATATTTATTAACATAAATTAATTGAATAGGCCTTATGTGATTGTTAAATTTGTCAAAAATAGAAAGAGTTATAGGGCTGCCTAAAAAGGAAAAAGAGTTATTGTGGCTGGACGTAGGGATATTTAAATCTCTATGGAATTTCTATGAATTAAATCTCCAAGAATGGCATAATCTTAATTTTAAATCAATAAGCAACCAATTAATACTTGGGATTTTTAAATTTTTTTTTATTATAGCTTTTTTAATCAATAAGCAACCAAATAATACTTGAATTTTTTGCCTATTCAATTTTGGTTTGGTTTGTAATGTACCTTTTAGATATCAGCTTCCTTTTGCCAATAGCTGCAATATCTTCCTGTTATAATATACTGATTCAAGTTGCTCTTTGAATTGTAAATTAATTATTTCAAACTAGAAAGAATAGAGTTGCTACTTAAGGTGTTTGTTTCTATATCTCGATGTACTTGCCACTGTATAATCTATTATGAGCAGGCAATGAATGATCATCCTGATGCTTGGCCATTCAAAGAACCAGTCGATGCCCGGGATGTGCCTGATTACTATGACATAATCAAAGATCCAATGGGTACATTTCCATTTACATTTTGTTCGAAATTATTTCCCCAGTTCCCTTTTCCTTCCTTTCAATAATATTCTTGTACAGATTTGAAGACTATGTCGAAGAGGGTCGAGTCGGAGCAATACTATGTGACATTTGAGATGTTTGTTGCTGATGTTCGGAGAATGTTCTCAAACGCCCGCACCTACAACTCCCCGGAAACCATCTATTACAAATGTTCAACCAGGCATGCTCGTGTACCATTACCTTAGTTGAGCTTCTTGTATTTTTGGAGAATACCGAATAAAATTCACGTGAATGTTGCATTGCAGGCTTGAAGGGCATTTCTCGAACAAAGTTCAAGCTGGTCTCCAATCTAGCATCAAAATTCAGCCACAATAAGCTCAGGTCATCTTCTCGTCCATGGGAATATAATTGATTTGATTTGTTCATGGATTTAATCTGACTTGGGAAAGGTAGGATAGTCACAAATTTGATATGTGGTGTTGTATCATATGCTTAAGTAGTATATTTTAGTGCCGCCCGTTTTATATAAGATGATGATTATTTTCATAATAATTTAAATATTTCGTATTAAAAATTTGAAAGGTACTGTATTCATAATAAATTATTATTTTAAAATTGATTAATATTTTATTATTTTTATTTAAAGTGATTACATTTGGTAAATAGAATTTATAATGATTTATTTGTTAAAATATATTTAAACCATGATGCGGATTTTAGGCTTAGATATCAAATAGGTTTTTATTTTTGTAGTGTACTTTTATGGCCGTGGTTGGTCGACTTTAAATGGACTTCTAGATGTAAAAGCAAACGCAACAGGTTATTTCCAAAACGCCACGAAAATATACGTAGCATAAACATTTTTAGGGTAAACTTCAAAATAGAACACAAGCTACACAGTGATTTCATTTTTTAGGGTTGGCAAGGGAAGATTTTTACTTTTTCTCTCATCACAGAAAGATCGAATCGGTAGAGTTTTTGGAGTAATAAGAATATACCCATCTATCTATGATCGACGGCAATGACAAAAGCTGACCCACAATTGAGCTGACAGCGACGACTGAGCTCCGGGGAACGGAGGTGGGCTTCTTTGGCGACGATGTTCTTGCCTCACAAATTGTCTGAAAAAAAAGAAAATCATCTTTCGTGCCTCTACTTTTTCAGGCCAGGTCGAGAAGGTGTCCGAATAATGATTTCGAAAATTTTCTATTGTATGATTTTGTGTTCTGGTTTGGCAGAAATTAGCCTCGAAGTCGAGGAGGAAGGCTTCGAAAATAGGACTGATGTGTGATAAAAAAAAAAGATGCTAATGCTATATGATTTTATTTTATTGCGCCATTATTCAATAAATTCTAGTGACTAAAATCAAAAGATTAAAGCCAACTAACCTTTATTATTTTTATTTTATAAAATATTATACCATTTCCGTCTATATTTTTATTGCACTTATTTTTTTTTAATAGAAAATACATTTATATTTTACATAATATTATAAAGAATGCAATTAAAATAGAAATTGGTTTAAGAATATACATTTATATTTTTACATAATAATATAAAGAATGCAATTAAATAGAAATTGGTTTAAGAATATCTTTTTTTTCTTTATATATTGTTACTTATGAAACAGTACGGTGTGTTTTGATATTTTTTTTAAATAAATTATTCAGTAAAATTTACCCAAGGAACAGACCCTAAATTTTATCCGTGACGAGCTACTAAGTTTAATCCTAAATTCCTAATACATGTTAGAGAAAACGACTGCAAATTCCAAAATTATTGAATAAAATAATACTACTAATATTTTAGGGGGAGAATGCTTTAGAGAATAACAATGATTTGACGTTGAAATTTGGAAACGCCACACACAATTCTGTAACCAACGGATCTACATCTACTCGCCATCCTAAATTGCAGGTGAAAAGGGAAGGGCATAAAAGTAATTTCACTAAAAAGTAGTGGCATTTTGATACGAGAAGTCTTTTTAAATAGAAAATGGAAGCAGAAGAACACCCGCGTTAACGCTCTTCGTTTAGCTTCCTTTCCTTTCTCTCTCTCTCTTTCTTTCTCTCTCTGTCCTGTAATGTAAAGTGAAGAGAAGACGGCTGCTGTTCGAGCTCGCTCACAACTGACTTAGTTGTTTCTGAGGTTCCGCTTCTAAAATTAATAGACGATCGATGGCGAATAATCCAGGTGAAACCCCTTCCGACGATTTCCTTGCACAGATTTTAGGATTTCCAGGGTACGCGACCGGCGCCGAGGCTAATTTGCTCGGAAACGAAGCTCCATCGGCTGCGATGATGTTACAGCTTGGCTCGGATGATGGCTCTGCTCACCTTGGGGGAGACGGCGGACTCAGAGTTGGCATGGGTGGCGGTTATGGAGTTGGCGGTGGTTTTCCGCTGGGGTTGAGCTTGGAGCATGGGAAGGGAGGAGGTTTTCCCGACGCCTCAGGGAGTCGGAAGAGGTTTCAGCGTCATGAAGTTATTGATTCCCGCGCTTCTTCTGTTAACGCTGTAAGTACTTTGAGATATACTGAGTTCGTGAAGTATGCTGCTTAAGATCATCAGAACTGATCGTTACCACTTGTATTCGTATTCTAGCGGATAAACAAAAAAGTTCTGATTAGTACTATATCTATATATATATATATATATGTAAGTTCCTGTAGCCTGATAATTTTCTACGTTTGAACTTTTCAACTAATGGAATGTTTTAGTTACTTTTGTCCTTTACCTGTGTGTGGAGGCGTAACAAAGTCCTGCTTCTATGTTGTTTGCACAGGACTTCCATTCGCAGCCGATGGCAAATACAGTTCCTGCAGCGCCACATCCGCCAGCGGTTAAGCCAAGAGTTCGAGCGCGAAGGGGCCAAGCAACAGATCCACACAGCATAGCCGAGAGAGTATGCATAATTATTCTTATAAGAATCTAATCTAATTTTAGGGTTCATTTTATGCTCCATTCATGTGGGTTAAATAACGGTTAGGTATTCATCCTAACGTAATCCATTTATTACAGCTGCGTCGAGAGAAAATTTCTGAAAGAATAAGGGCACTGCAGGAGTTAGTCCCCAGTGTCAACAAGGTGAGCATCCTCTCAACTATCTGTCTGCATCTTTGTAGTTAAGAGATTTTTCTGCTTTGGGGTTAATAATGATGAAATATTTCTAATTCTTAGATCTTTATGGATATCATTATTAATTTGTAATTAAGCCATAATACGATTTGCGCTTTCTAAGCATTATGCAACTCTTTACTCTGGTTCATATCTCATCTGATTGCCTAAGGTGCTATAATTTATGGCAGATGAGAAGTCCATTGCTATGATACATGTTTTTGCCCTGCATTGCACACTTGAGTTCAAAGAAGATTGATGCAATTTTAACATTATCCACATCACATACTATTATATTGTTTATCAAGCGGTAACATAAAATACATATATGATGATTTGAGTAATGTGCTTTTGATGTATGTGTACTGGTCCAGTGGTGATGATGGACAGTCTCTTGAACTTTACTTATGATTGTGATTATCATATAATGAACTTTTTTCTCTGGGGCACCTGTACCTATTTCGGTTTCTTTATTTTATGCATCAATCATTTTCCATGCCGTGTAATATATTTAACTAACTACTGATTTTTATAAAGTGTTTCTTGCTTTACATTCTAAAATTTTTAAATTTATGCAGACAGATAGAGCAACTATGCTTGATGAAATTGTCGATTATGTGAAGTTCTTGAGGCTCCAAGTGAAGGTACAACATGAATCTTGTTAAATATTTTTCAATTCATATGGATATATATATGTTGTAAAACCTTCTGTTAAGTTTGTATACTTTGATATTCAAATAGGCAGCATTGAGTTCAGCAGTGTACACACTATTAAAAATCTGATTAATAGGCCTTATGATGAAATAAATTCGATAATTATAAGACCACCAATTAAAAAGCAAGGCTCTGTTGCCGTCATCTAAAGAAATGAACCATAGAGCATTGATGCTTGAGGAATCTCTTAAAGTTATCTCTTTGAACTGCACATATAATTTAAGCCATGGCCCCTTTCCACTTATTTAATTCATCAACCTTCCAGGTGTTGAGTATGAGTCGTTTAGGCGGAGCTGGCGCCGTGGCGCCATTGGTGACAGACATCCCAATTTCATCAACAGAGGTAATAAAGAAATCCATGTCTGTCTGAAAGCTTTACACAAATATGTTTCTCATATATAGCTTACTTTTTAAGGAAGACGGAAACAGCTGCCTTACCACTCAGCCAGCCTGGGAGAAATGGTCGAACGATGGCACAGAACAACAGGTGGCAAAGCTCATGGAAGAAAACGTTGGGGCTGCTATGCAGTTTCTCCAATCCAAAGCTCTCTGCATCATGCCTGTATCCCTTGCTTCAACGATGTACCTCACACAACCTACAGACACCACTACATTCGTAAAACACGAATCCAACCCCACGAATTGACAGGTTTGCTTGCTTAATCCCTTCCCTCTCAAATTTTTTTTTAAGCTTCCTAATGTTGGTTGAAATCTTAGTCATACCACGCGCTTCCTGCTTTTTTAGCTTTATTTTTTGTCTTTATTCTACCTTAATCAAGGCAGGGTTTGAAGTTTTGATGTCCCATATCTATAATTTAATGGAAACGTACGCCTCATGTCCTTGCTAGATTCATGCGGTGTAGGAAATGTCAAAGATCATGTTTTTAATTTACCTTACAATGGTGGGACATATGGTAGGCTGCTGGTGGGTGATGAGATCATACTTATAGTGCGGTTTGTGGTGGATTATGGGGCCCTCTTATATGTGTTATTACTATTATTGTGTATAATATATAATAATAATAATAATAAAAATTTATTATTGTTATGATAGTAGTGATGATAATATTTATCTGTGTGTTGCTTTCAGTGCAAATGGGGTATTGGATAATATAAGTAGATAATGGTTACTTGTCCCTAAAGTATATCCAGCCGAAATTGGTGGTACATTTGGATTTTTGTGGGTTGTTTTTCCAAAAGCAATCTGACTTGTGTCTATATTCTTTTTCTACCATTATTGTGCTACCTAGACTTCTTTCTGTATTCTTCAGTTTAATTATTGTGCTTACCTAATTAGTATTGAGGTTGACTCCTAGCTGACTATGATGGATCATCATCATTTTGCATTTTAAATTAGAGTTGTGAAAAATCCATTTGTGATCTTTTTAGACTTAAGGTTTATCAGGCGGGCCTATACTTTCTACTTATAGGCCTCCCAATAGAAAGAAAGCCCAATTGCTCTAGTTCTTCTTTCTAGAACAAACTTGAAAGCTGTTTTGGTCGTTAGAAATAAATCTGTGGATCTGGATTGAAATCTTGTGCGATCTATATGACTTCGATTTTGCTGCACACCTCTGAGGTGTGATGTTCATTAGTAGTGATGGTACAATACATGTGGAGTCTCTGCTTGACAAAGCTGTCATTGATTGGGGATTGTTTAATTTAATTTAATTTTTTTAATGAATGTTAGTTATGTCTTACGTGCTTCCATTCTGTAAGATTGTGAGTTTAAAGGAAAGGGATTATATTATGGTTCAAAGAAATAAAAGAATGAATGTGTAATAATCTAAGATTCCAATTCGTTTGCAATCAATCTCAAGAGTTGAGCTCTAAGACCTAGAGGAGAAAATTGAAGTTGACCTAAGCATATAAGATGTTTGGAAATTGGAATAGAGAGGAATGGAAATCTTCAGCCCTTCTAGAAGCAAAGCAGTGAACAGTTCTTAGAAATAGGGGATTAGATAAACATCTTATAATATAAGAAACTTACGTGGTGGTAATATAAACTTGCATTTTCTTTCTTCTTACTTTATATTATTCTCCATTGTTATAATAATTTCAGTTATGGTCTTAGATGTTAGTGTGTATCTATATTTCAGTTCATTCTTTCTTGTGCAACGGACACTTCAATCCATCAAACAACACGTACGAACTTCCAATATTTAGCCCTTTTTTTCTTTTTACAAGTCTTCTCCTTAGCTTCACCGTATATATATGTATTGAGTAATATAATATAAGCTATATCTGATCCATTGCTTGTTCAAGCATATCTTCCTTAGACAGCCAGAATTATTCATTTTCCAACACTAGAAAAATTTTAAACGATTCTTGAAGTTCCAACTGATGCTCATGCCTTTTCCAACCTTACAGAAATGGCATGCACATTAGTCATCACTACATATACTCACTCTGTATACAACTTAAGAACAACACTAATTACCAAAGAAAGAACATGAAAAAGACAGTGAAGAACACCACCGAGTGCTCCACATATATATGATCATCTGTACAAAAGAAGATCCAAATCAAGGAAAAACACCATTCTATTCCCTTCAATCTACCCACCCACCACCTCTGTTCATCATGCACTTCCTCTACCTGAATCCAAATCAAAGTTGTCCAAATCTTCATGTAAGCAAGCCTAGATGCACCCCAAGCCTTTGGCCTCAGATCCCTTCATGATCCTCAACCTTCTGCAAGAAGCAGCAAACATGTCCCATGGAACATCCCCAACAAGCATCCAGTCGCCATCCTTGTCTTCATATGTTGGTACATAGTCTGACCCATTGTTGTACCCTTCCCTCTCTGAATACACACCTGATAGATTATGCAAAAACACATCAAATACCATTCAATACTTATACTATACTACTACTAATCACTGCTCTGTTATATGCCATTCAAACCAGAATATTGGCTAGTTAATTAATTTACCTATGGTGCACTTGAACATGTTCTCCAATGCCTTCACCAGATCCAGGTAGCTGTTGTGGAATTTGAGATCTATCTTCCTTAAATATGGAGCTCCGTCCATGCTCACTTTTACATACATCATCCCCTCTGATTCCCCCTTCCTCGCCGTGTTTTTCCGGTTGCATCTCACCGGCGGCCACCCAACCACTTGCGCCCTAGTAATTTATACAAAGCAAATGATTATTATATGAATAATTAATTAATGCTCACAAAGCTATAGCTATTTCTGTTTCATCCATGGATTCCTGTTCTATTACGAGTAGGTAGCTAGAAGGTCGTTTCGACTTACTTTTTGCATGAATTATCATCGTTTTCCGGCGAGCTTCTCTTGTTGTTCTTCACAGCTGTTGATGACGGAGATTGTAGGTGGAGATCGGACGAGTCGTCGTCGTCTTCTCCTCCAGGTAACCCTAATTTCAACTCGGTTGCCTTGAGGTTCAACGCACGATCGTCGTCTTTCTCATAGGTCATTGAACCTCCTCTTTCCATGGCTTCGTAATGCTCAGTTTCCGATCTTAATTCTTCCTCTTCAGATGAAATCTCGTCCGCTAGCTAGGTCGATGTCTTGGCTCTTGCGCTTCCCGTTCAACAAATTAATGCGTGCAGTTGGAGGAATTCGCAACTGGCGTGGAGTAGTTTTTATAGCGAATCAGGAATTATTGTGGCGAGACAGAATCCGTGCAGGTTATTCGGCGTGTGCATGAATTTCATGACAGCTGAATCCATGGTCCCCACGCGCTGGCGCCATGTGCGCGTGAGAGGCACGAAAATGCAGTGGGGACATGTATCTCTAAGTACAGATACACATGTCGTGTAAAAGTGCAGCAACCCTTACCCTAATCTCATTGATGCACACCCGAAGAAGAAGAAGAAGGTACGAATGCTAGCTATTCATTTATTTTTATTATATTTATTTTATGTGCAAAATTAATTTTTATTAATACTAAATAATAGAGTATAATTTACTACTTATATTTATTCCTGAGGGAACAAAGGGGGGACAGCATTTCACTGTAGACCCCACCTAATTATTTCACGGCTTCGATTGCCTTTTGAAGAGGTCATTGATTCGCTGCCGTCCGATCTGAGATTCTGTCTTGTCATCTCAGTAGATTAACATTCTGAAATTTCGTAGAATATAATATGTCGGACTACTGTATTACAGTAATAATAATAATAATAATAATAATAATTTCTTCGAAATTTAAAATAGTTTCAGTTCTGAGATATTTATCTTTTTCCCGTAAAATGATATGCCGTGTAAAGTGTAGGGAATATCCGAATATATATATATATATTGAAGCATATTCCATATAGCAACAATGGTGGCTGGAGCGTTAAAAATTTAGTATTTTTTTTAATCTAATATATTTAAAAAAATCTTAATAATATAAAAAATAAAGTTGTAAATATAAGCAAACAAATGGTAAGACCCATAATTTAATTAGAGTTGATATAACTAAATGGAATTATATTTGAAATGAATACGTGATAGTGGGGAAATGGGCATGTGGTGTATTTTATTATAAATACAAGTTGAGTTTGTATTGTGTTAGAGCATAAATAAATATAATGTGTTATATTGTTTTTCTATGGATATTTATTTAATAATGACAAATTTGTTTCTAAAATTTTTAGCTTATTATAAATAATTATACGTAGAGTTTCTAATGTTTCGTTCGTAATCTGTCTTATCATCTATATCTATTTATTAAAACATGTTTATAATCAAATATACATATATATATATAGTTGGTTTACAGCAGCAATAATAATAATAATAATAATAATAATACTAATAATAATAATAATAATAATAATAATAGTAGTAGGTGTCACTGTAATACAGCCCATGTGAAGTGGGCCCGGGTATGGTCAATTGGTGGGTTGGGCAGGGCGATATGGGTTAGATAATTGGGGCCCATTGGGAATTAGATTGGCTTTTTTTCCTTTTCTTTTTTTTTTTTTTTACATTGGATTGGCTTAGTTACTTACTGTGTCAATTGGCACGTGAGGCGGCACGTGGAATGCGCCCACTTTCAAGTCCCATCCCCCAGCTCATGTATTCGGTATTCTCTCTGTCCACTCCACATACTACTGGTTAACTACTACTACTTTGCACATTTATTATGATTTTCTTTTTGGCATTAAAATTTAGGAAGAAATAATAATAATAATAATAATAATAATAATAATAATAATAATAATTGGAAAATTAAGATTAGATAAGTTCATTGCATTTGTTATAAGAATTCATGATATTATGATTATGGTTGGGATTTCATTCTCATCCTTGCATTACAGAAACAAAACAGCTCATAATGCTTGAGCGAGAGTTGAAAGCACGACTATATAAGTCGTGTATCTAGTCCTCCATATCTGCTCGCTCACCACTCATTTTATTACTTATTATTATTCATTCATTCATTCATTATAATTCATTTTACATGCTTTTGTCATCAGACCTATGGACAGTAGGGCCCATTTAATTAGGGTTTAGCCTCAAGCGGGACCCTTTTACAGTCGGACAATTAAATATTTTATTTATAATAATTATAAAATCAATTCAGAACAGGTGGCAGACATGTCATTTATTCTTGGAGATAAGTAACACGTGTGATGTATTAAATGCATATGCGAATGGTGCCAATATATATGTGGGTCAGCCGCACGCTGGATTCAGGGCTTGTAGGCCCAAATAGGCCCATTAACTGATCCGCTTACTGTGGATTATTGGGCCTTTCTTTATTTCATATACTTAAGGTCTAATCCATCATCCAAGATAAAAATAAAATAAAAACCATTCATGTGTCTTTTATTTGAAATTATTATCTAAAATATTAACAACACCAAATTAGTTGTAATTTAGTTACAATAAAATTTCTTTGTAATTAACATTTTACAATGACCAATTTTTGTACAAATATTGATATATAAATATAAATATATAAGAATAAGAATATAGCACCATCCAGATCTACCAAACCAAACCCAAATTGAATGAAATCAACTAGAAGCTGACACGTGTCGAGACGTTGATGAAGTCCTGAACCGTACGCGCGCATGGTTGTGGAGGTGGAAGTGCAAACCACGCGCCGTCTGCATGAAAATCGAATGACACTATTCTGCTGCTGCACTTTGTCTTCTTCCTATTAAATTTCGACATATCGCCCACCTTTTCGTGCCCATCATTTTTCGATGGTGGCCCAATTACAGTACTGTACTGAATTCATTTCTATCTCTACCTCTGCAAAATTAATCTCCAGCCATGCACGCCTGCATCGCCTTCCTTCCAGTTTTGTCCTCCGCCGTAGCCCGTCATTTCTCTTTCCTAATCAATGGATTGGACCCTCACCGTCTGTGAATTTCACCGCCTTACCTTTATCACCTTAACTGCAGAAACAAATTACGCCAAGGATTTAGACCTGGTTAATCATCAATAATCGTGTTTAGGTGATGTCAATCTTCCATGGCTTTCACTGTTAGCTGTAAAAGTGTAAAAGTTATACAAGCGTATGTGTGTAGTTACTGTTGATTGGAGATTGAATGAGTTGATTTGTGAAGTTCGGTGGACTCTGGAGCTGAGTTTTTTTTTGCTTTTGGTTGGAAGAGATTTGCCGATGGAGAAGGACGGTGGATTCGATGTGGAAATTACTCAGATGTCTTCGAAGAAGAAAGGAGCGGTTTCCAGAAATTGGATAGTGCTGGACCGTAGCGGGGGAGGGGTAGTTATGGATTTGGATAAGTATGATATCATGAGAAGAGTGCCTATCAATGCTAGAGATCTTCGAATTCTCGATCCTCTGTTGTCTTATCCGTCTGCAATTTTGGGCAGGGAGAAGGCAATTGTCCTCAATCTGGAGGTTCGTAACTCCTTGCTTCCTTCTTAGGTTAAATTGCTCTGCTCAATTCTGCTCTTAGGTCGTAATGGATGAATCTGTTGAACTGCAGCACATCAAGGCGATTATAACGACGAACGAGGTAAAATTCGCACTCAATCAACTAACCAAAATTCGATTTATATCTTTAAAAAATCAATAAATTAGGCATTCGTTCGTGTTGCTGTGAATTTGAAGTAGGTGTTACTTAGGGATCCTCTCGACGACAACGTCATGCCAGTTGTTGAAGAATTTCAGAGACGATTGCCGATGGCCATTGAAGGGGAAGATGAGGAGCTGCCGGAATCGCGCAGTAGCATTGTCGGAACTGATGAAGAAACTGGTCAGGTCCTACAGAGCTTGTCTCCTTCATTGTGTCATCACATCATCACAGTGATAAATTTTCAACTGTTTGATGAATTGCTTGGTGATGCTGTTGCAGATTTTCCATTCGAATTTCGAGCTCTGGAAGTAGCATTAGAAGCAATATGCAGTTCTCTTGACGCTCAAACTAGGGAATTGGAGGTTGCTGCATATCCTGCTTTGGATGAACTCACTGCTAAGGTAGCTTAGAAACCTGCAGAGATACATGAATATGTTATCATCAGTAGTTGTCAATTGAAATCCTATTTTTAGGACTAAATTTCAATATGTATTCAATGCATATGAATTAAAGTCTAATAAGACCCTTGGTCTTGAAGATAGGAATAAGTTCTAAAAGTTTATGGATTATAAGTTATAACAATTCTTTATGGTTCCCTTTGTTTAGGAAACAAAAGATAAGAGACATAAATTGCAAGACCGAAATGGGAAATTGTAGCTTTAAGGAATTTTCAAAAGAAACAATACATTTTGGGTTTGTTATCTTGTATTTTGTTTTTAAATTTTGTGAGAAAAATAAATGATGGATGTAATGTTTTTTAGAGAAAGTAAGAGAATGAAAACGAGAAGACAAAAGAGCATAACCCAAGATTCTTAGTTTTACTAGAATGTGCTTTCTTATGTAATTCTTTAGTTTCAAGAAGTGCATCTTGATGTATAACATGAAGTTGTGGTGCCTTAATGTGCATGCAGACGAGCAGTCGAAATTTGGATCGTGTTCGTAAGATGAAGAGTGCTATGACAAGATTAACAAGTCGGGTTCAAAAGGTATGTCCAAATCTTGGCTTGTGTCGTTAAAATTACTTGAGGAGCATGCGACATAAATGATTCTATTCGTCTTCGCTTTATCAATGAATTGCCTAGTTTGTTATAACCATATTATGAACATGTATCCTAGTGTGGCTTGATCTCCTGAACATCATGAAATGTCTGTAAATTTGATCTATAGAGTCTAACTTAATTATCCTACATAGGAATTCTTGATTTGGGACATTAGCAATCTTTTAATCTTTTCCTATGAATGTTATAAAATGTGAAGACCTGTTACAGGTAAGGGATGAACTCGAACAACTTCTGGATGATGATGATGACATGGCTGATCTTTATCTATCAAGAAAAGCAACCATGTCCGATTTGGGCTCATCTGACTATGAACACACCAAGTGGCAACTAGCAGCAGATGATGAATCTCTGTATATAAGCTCAAAGACATCGCAAACTAGTAGCAGAACAACTGCACTGACCAGTTCTCAGGAGGAAGATAGCGTCGAAAAACTTGAAATGTTGCTTGAGGTTCATTCTTATATTCCTATGATCTTCCATATAGTTGAATCTCTTCATCTTTAGTCCTATCGATCTGTTCAATCCGGACACAAACAGTATTATTTCTCGGCTAATTCTCCTATCTTTGGCAGGCTTACTTTGTGCAAATCGAAAGCACGATGAATAAGCTGACAACGGTAAGAAAATAAAAATTCAATCTTCAAGACATTCTTTGTTATAAGAAATTTTGAACTTCCTTTCATCTTTGGTGTCATTTTCTTTCAGTTGCGAGAATATATCGACGACACAGAGGACTACATCAATATTCAGGTGATAGAAATTTCATTACCTACATTAGCTCCTTGTTAATGCAATAATGCATCTAATGTATGCTCTCTCAGTTCCATACGAAAATTTAAATAATTATTTAATATGGTATATATAAGTGTTGATATTATTTTTAGAAAAAAATTAATTAAATAATGAATTATTATGTTTATTTAATCCACTAAAAACAGAACCTGAATGTTCATTGTGATTGACAAAGATTTTGCTCGTCATTGCAGCTGGACAATCATCGAAACCAGCTGATTCAGGTTCCTCTGATTTCAAATCTTGGTAATAGTTAATGATCATGCATGTATTGTTGAAGTTTGATCATTATAACGTGCAGCTGGAGCTCTTCCTGAGCTCGGGGACCGTCTGCCTGTCAGTGTACTCCTTCGTTGCAGCTGTGTTCGGAATGAACATTCCATATCCATGGAGGAAAGACCATGGCTACCTGTTTAAATGGGTATGCATGTATTTTTGCAATTTCTAAGTTCTGCAAACAACATCGTATATCAAAACTTATTGTTAATTAATATAGGTTGTCTAAATTTAATTTACGCATGCAGGTTGTGATGCTCACTGCACTTGCCTGTGGATCCCTTTTCCTGTCGATTATCTCGTATGCTAAGCATAAGGGTCTTGTTGGTTCTTGATTTGATTTGATTTATATATATAGCCTTTGCAGGTTTGTAAAAATATTTGTATGTTTTATTATTATTATTATTACAAAATTGTTTATATCAGAGATTTTTTGACAATATTGTTGTCATTCCGTAGATTTGGTAGTAGCCTTGGGCAATGCTAACGTGCGCGACGGCGTAGGCGTCACCAGCAACCGTTGGATCGGCTGCGTAAATGCCGTGATCTGATCTGCACACGGCACGCGGGCCCCGCAGCAGATTGGATATCTGGTGAAATAAATGAATGCTGTATAACGGTGATGTATATTTTTATTTTATTTTATTTTTTTTATTTGAATTTTTCTTTGAAACCCTAGACGATGCTTATTATTTTAAGTATGCCAAATGTGTTATAAGTATAAATATATTTGCGCATGAAGAAAATAATAATTCGAATAGTAAATTTGTGAGTGTGCATGAAAATTTATGAATAGAAAATCCTTTTTAGGTCATTTGTATAGAACATATAGAAAATATTTCTCAAAGAAATTCGTAATATACAAAAGAATGTATTGATGTGAAATTATTGTCGTACTACATGCAAAATTATAGGTTTAGTAATAAAACATTATCTTCTAAAATAATTTTACACCGTAATTAATCAAACATATCAAATTAATTTTAAAAGTCAATGTGATGTTTAGTGAGTATTTCATTTTTTAACTCAACTATAAATTTTATTTGAATTGAACTTAAACTCCCAAATTTTATAAATGAATTTAAGTTCATTATATTTATTTGTTTCAATTTAATTTTTTAGCAGCTCAATATGGAATTTTATCTTCTATATATTTGAAATATAACTTTACTATTTTATCGAATTTTGTTAAATTAATATTATTGGGCTCGATAGTTTTTCGAGCGTGAGCCATATACGAATTTTAACGAATAAATCTTTTAAGTGGATTGGCCCATATGTCAATCCTAAATAGTGAAGAGGATTGAACATGTTTACGCTATAGTCCATACGAGTTTTAATATGTAAATTTTTTAAGTGAATCGGCCCATATATTAATCCTAAACAGTGAAGATGATTGAACATGTTTATAATAGAATTCATCTATTTCGTATGATCAATTATATTCTTTTTTTTATTTGGTGTATAACATATACTTTTTGAAAGCATACTTTAAGATTATTACATTACAATATTGATGATTAAAATACTTTTAGAAATTCAGTAAAGAATGATAAGGTGGTGTAAATTGAATTTAAATAATAATATATTATTAAAAATAATATCGTGAATAGTGGTGATAACATCAAACAAAATATAATCTTATAGATCATATTATTATTTATTTGAATACAATAAATATATTTATACAACATATATATACCTACAAATATAAAAATCGACAATATATTTTTATTTAACACTTTATTTAAATTAATATATATTGTAAATGTAAATGTATTTTACATGTTGATTTGCTCTTGTCCGCATAATAATCATTTATGTTTTATTATCTTGTAATAAGATTCATAAAATGAACATAAGATTTAAAAGATTATATCCGTATAATATAAAAATAGATTTGAGTAAGACCATAAAGTAAATATACCCATCACCTTGTAATTTTTGCAGAATTGAAAATTTAAATCATTTTATCGTGTAAGTATGATTTAGGAAAGGAAAAACGAAATAACTTTTAAGATTTCAAGTATATATCATTCAATTGAAATATAATTTTTTAAAGGTTTAAAATTTAAACAATACTAATAATTAATATCTAATACTATTTTCGTCCGACTATCAATTTATTTTTTATATATTGATTCAAATATTAATTATTATCTCAAAATATAATACAAATTAAAAAAATAGCAAAAATCTTTCTACCATGTCTTATAATACTATAAGGAAATTTGTATAAAAAAATTATATAAATATAAAAATATTTTTTTTTATAAAAAAATATATATATAGACAATGAATGACAGCTTAACAACCACGCTTTTAGGGTTTGTTTAGTGCGATTTTTCGTTTCCAAATAGCGCTTTTCACTGGCTCTCAAATCTCAATCTCTAATATTAGTTGGATAGTATTACTGATTGCTACTTTGACAAAACCTTTCCTCAATACCCAAAAAAAACAAAAGCCAAAAAAAAAAAAAAAAAAAAAAAAAAGGAAAAAAATATATACATATATTATATATACACACAGACACAGAGAAAGCAGTACAATTTGGTTCATGCTGATTGTAACAACAAAGTCCCCCCTCCCCCCTACCCATCTCCTTCTCCCTCTCGATTTCGACACCCAAACCCCCCACCCTACACTCACGCATACAGATCAACCACGGAGCGCCACCCCCTTGAATTTCCCCAAATTGCCCATTCCAGAATCGCCCCGCAGATTTGCAGGTCTTGATAGGCTGTTAATCCGTTGAAAATTTTTATGTGTATTCCTTGCCGCAATTTTTATAAGCATGTGGGGGCGTTGTGCTCGAATGTTCTGGTGGTGTTAATTGCGGGTTTCGTCTGTGGGCTTTAATGCAGGTACTGTTTTCCGAGGAGGAATGGACGTAAGGTTCATCTCTGAGGTGTTGGCGCCAGCATGCACCGCATAAGATACGTGGATTCTTCCACTGCGGTATATTGATTTCCCTCGATTTGCTCGATTTTGGAGAATAGGATGCCGCATCAAGCGGTGAATGTGAAGCGCGAGGCGCTGGCGCCATGCATGACATGCCCCATCTGCCACAAGCTCCTCCGCGACGCCACAACTATTATCGAATGCCTCCATACTTGTGAGTGCCGCATCTTCATATCTGTTGGTTGAAATCGCCTTCGATTTCGTGATTTCGCTTCTAATTTTTCAAATTTTGGGTGATTTATGAGCACGATCTGTGTGGCGGAAATACCTGGGTTTCGTTTCGTGGATTAATTGCTGATTTGGTTGTTCTGACTATTCAATCTATCATGAGATAGCGGTCCTTTCATCCTCTCTCTTGTGCGTATGTTATTCTTTGGGTTTGTTGGCTTTCTTATTTGATGTGGGCGTTTGTTTTCATATTACATGTGTTGGAAAGAAAATAAGTTTACTGTTAAATAGGTGTTTTTTTGTGGATTTATAGTTGGAATGTGACGAGTTACTTTATTGGGTTTTGTCAGGAATGAAGTGTTTGATTGATGTATATATATGTTGACTCGTGTTATGTCTAGTGGGAATGTTGATTAGTGGGCATTGATTCCTCCTTTGTTTGTTCTTACCAAAGGCTTAGTTTATTTATTGCTAAAGTCTTCTTAATGCCATGCTAATTGATTATGGCAGAAAATTAGGGGGAGGTTTTATGTTGGTGGGGGATACTTTTTAGTTCAATGGGTGTTTTTTCAGTTGATTTAGTTGGATGTTATGTGTTAATAGTCTAGCTTTGCTTGCTCCAAGGATTCTTTACGGTTGAAATATCTTCAGTGGAAATCAATCACTCTACCATTCTTGGCAGCAGTGCAACTGAACTTATGACTTGGTTCTCTCATTCAGGGGGTACTTTGTCTTATTTCTTGAATGTTTCTTACATGAGGAATCTGATATTATTTTCCATGAATGCCATTCAGTTTGCAGGAAATGCATATATAAGAAGCTGGATGATGAGGAGATGGAGTGTTGTCCGAAGTGCAATATTGATTTGGGATGTGTTCCATTGGAGAAGTTGAGGTCAGATTTACAGTTCTTTTGTTTTATTAATATCCAGTTATCTCTTATGCTTCAAACTAAGATGACTTGCACAGGCTTTCATAAGATCTGACAAGTTTATATCAATTTCTTATTGTAAATAAACAACATAGAAAAGGTGTATTGGAATTTTACTCTCAATGCCTTGTGAATATTTTCTAGTTTGAAAGTTCTTGTTGTACTTTACCCTCTTGTTTCAACTCTGCAATACTCATTAATATTACAGTTTCTGGTTGTTATTGTTATAGTTTCAGGTTTGCTTGTTTGTTTCATGCTCTATAGATGAAGTTTACAATTATTATTTGAGGTTGCAAAATGTGCCTCCGGTCACATTATTTGTTTGTTTGCTTCATGCCTTCGCGCAACTCACAGGGAACAAGAGGTGTATTTATTTGAACTTACTAATGATAACAGGAGGGAGAGAAGAGAGAAAATGTGTAAAATTGTTAGGAATATTGTGTGGTGTAGTTAAATAAATCTTTCAATTCTGTTTCGAGTAGGAGGTTATATTGATTTTATGATGAACTTCTGTTAAAGAAAAACCATTAGCAGTCACTGTAGCAAGGTCTGTTTGTGCATTTCAGTATCCACTCTTCTTTGGCATGTTTGTTGGGTTGCTATTGCACATGTATCTGGACAGAAAGGAATATTGCTTTTCTTAGCATTTCTCTTATATCCTTTTTACAGGCCGGATCATACAGTGCAAGATGTAAGGGCCAAACTATTTCCTGATAAGAGGGTCCAGGTGAAGGCTACTGAAGACATGAGTCCTGTTTCATTGCCTGCAAAGAGAAAGGAAAGGTCTCTCTCATCATTGGTTGTCAGCACTCCCCGAGTATCAACTCATGTTGGAATGACTGGAAGAAGATCAAAATTCATCACAAGAAAAGCATCAAAGGGCTCCAGTTTTAACATAGAAAAAACTGCTGTGAACTCTGTTGAAGATGATCCTGAGAGCTGTAGCTCACCCGAGATGTTGAACAAGTATATGAGACAGGTATTTTGTGCACTTTTGAAGCTTTTGGACATCAGTTTATAACCTCCAATTGCACCTTCATAGCTTGTGCATATAATACAAATGACAACCTTCTAATGCTTTCTAACATTCTTGCTCCAGAAAGCTGCTACTGGTGAACCATCAAACAACCCTACTCCTGATAAAGGAAAAGAGAATGGCTCAGAGCATCGTGATGGAAAGTATGATCTTTGGAAGCCATTAAATTGTTTGGTTGAAGCAGCAAATAGAAGCAAGCCTTCTAAATACAGCTTACAAGGATCTCGTATCAAATCTGAAGAGCTGAATTCTTTTGATGGTAATGATTTTCTCAGTAGATTCAAGGAACCAAAGAAGAAAGCGAAAGTTAAAGATGAGAAGAATAGGAGCCCCCCTCCAGAATCTGAAAGGCCTAAAAAAGTGCGCAAGCCCCGTCAGAAGGCCCAGGATTTTGGGGAACTCAGGATTCCTCCTCAGGCTGTGCTTGATGCTGCTAGTGCTGAACTTGGCAAGAGAAATTGTCCGATTTGGTTCTCATTAGTTGCTTCAGATGAATGGTAAGCAGTTTATGTGACCAAATTTTTTGTTCTGCATTTTGTGCCTCTGTCACTTTTCACTAATTTCTGCTTACTGTTTCCAGGAAAGAAGATGCAACTCCCTTGCCTCAGATTCCAACCAATTACTTGAGAATAAAGTTAGTTCTCGCTGTCTCTTCTCATTGGCAAATTAAGTGATATTTCTTTAAATTGAATGGTTACCTTTAGGATGCTGCAGCATATGCGTGAAATAAGGAACATCTTTGTTTTGCAACCTTCTAACATCATGAAGATAGGGGTGATTTTCTCTGCCATTCTCTTTCAGTGTTACTGATTCTTCTATGATTTTGTCCCTCATTGCCATAGCTAGTGCTTATAATTTTGTTGGCCGGTTATTTTTACTTTTACTCATTAAGTCACGGCTTTGGCTTTCTTAACATATAATTTGAAATGGTTCATTGTTATTAATGTTTAGTAAGTGGGAAGTTTTTGTGCATGTTGCTTCGTTGAGGGTAATTTGTTCGTTCTTTAAATTTCATTTTGAATATATTCAACTATAAGAGTCCAGGCGTTATTAAAAATACAGAAAAGATCGTCGTAACTTGTAATAGATAATGAATCATCTCTTTGGGTTGTAGCAATTCGAGTTATACATGAATGATCTAGGTCAAAGCTTAATCTTTTCAACTGTCGTTGAAAAAAATGGCATTCGCCTGTCTAGTTTCATCTTTGTTTCTTTCCCACTGCTTTGGTCTCATCTGCATTGATGTCTGGATCGATGCATAGCCAATTACAATTTTCATGTCTAGCAATTACCTGCTAACGGTATCGAGGTCTATGAATTCATAATATCAAGAGTTTTTCCATCCCAGCTGAAGATGTTTGGTAAAACGTTGTGTGTCACAATATTTTCTAATTTCTCTTGCATTCGCCCTCAGAATTATTTCATGAATTTTGTTTCTACACAGGGATGGAAATATACCGGTCTCCTTCATTCAGAAGTACCTCAAGCGAAAGCTCAATCTTGCAACTGAAGATGAGGTAGCTCCCTTACATCGTTCTCAATTCTTCTGGATTAAATATATATATATATATGTGTGTGTATATATGTACACATAGTATGCAGTATTTATCACGTACTCAACTTTCTCAGATCGACATAAAATGCATGGGACAAACAGTCGTCCCCACTCTGCCGCTCAACACTCTAGTTGATCTGTGGCTTCAAACAAACGGCTCGGGAAGAGTATCTGCGACAATCGGTTCATCTGCAAAGGAATTCATAATGGTGCTGGGATATGCTCGCCGAGCTGCTGTCCCCTAATTCTTGGTCATCCTTTTCCTTCTCCTATAATATATATCAAGCTTCATCCATGAGCTGCTGCCCTTACAATGACTTGGGCTGCTTTTGTAGCCCATCCTTCCAACTGTTGCTGCTGCCCGTGGGGGCACTCCTTAGTGTTGCATGTCTATGACTCTTGTCTGTATTTATATTTGATCGTTTAAAGTTATGAAACCAGCACAGCAAGTCAGATTGATTATTTACTTCTGCACAATCAATTTGGACATTGTTTGGTTATCTTGATTGTGTTCGTGACGTAGAAACAGTTTGCTTTCAATTTGATTGCCAGTCTCATTGATTAACAACAAAGGTTTCATGGCGACAAGGATTATCTTACTCTAATATGTATCTGTGATTTGATAAGTCAGTCAACAATTTAAAAGTGCAGAACGGTGTCGTTTTTGAGAGCTTCCTGCCTGAGCTGAGCGCTGCTGCATATATTATATACGTAGAGACTGGGCGCGTCGCAAATTCACGAGAATGTATACGTCGCATCTCGGGACGATTTTCACGCTGATCCTGAGAAGGTAATTTTTGGAATGATGATTCGGCTTAGTGTTCAACTCTTTGGCTGCGGTTTTGATTGGCCGATCTGTTATTCGATGTTGCAGGCTCGTTATTCAATGAAATATCGGCATATCGATGGCAACTTGGTTCTGAAAGTCTTCGACGATAAGGAGGTATTGTATGCATGCTCCTACTCGTATGGTTTGTTTAAATAAAAACACAAAAACGTACGTTCTCCACTGCCGCCATGCTTTTTGATTAAACTTATTCATATATTTACGCTAATATTCGGTGAATGCTTTGGTGCTACTGCTTATATATTCATTAACACTATTTTTGAGGAGGAAACCTGTTGTTGGATATCTGATGTTGAAAACTACCCAGAATCTGTAGATGTTCATTTCGTAGTGATGAAAATCATTTAACATAATTCTGGTAAAAGTTACCATAGCAAATTTACTTTTGAAGTCTTTCTTACGAACTACTTTTGAAGAATCCAAAGAAAATCATCATGACACTGGTACAGTTGTGTTATTGTGTAAAAACATCTAACGGAATTCTGGTAAAATTTTGTAGAGCTAATTTACTTTTCAAGTCTTTGTTGCTTACTCCTTATGATGATTCCTAAGAGAGTCATCATGACAGGAATACATGGGTGAATTGTGGAGGAGTTTTTTTACCTTTCATTCCATGTTTTTATGACCAGGGCTTATTGTGAGCTATATATACAGCATCTCTAGAAAGGACTGTGCTCCTCTGTAGCACACAAGAAGTTCCAGCCCAAATTATCAGCACTAAGAAGTTAGTTCTAGCAGGAGGAAAGAGTTTATGAAGTAATCTTTCTAGTTTCTACCAGAATAAGGACTGTAGAAGTTTACATAGATGTTGGATGCATCCCTAGTTTAAACCATTTATTCTGACTTGAAACTGCTTGTGTAGGCCAACCACCTGATCTATAGATTTGGTTGGTTACATTCTGTTATTCGGTTAACGAGTGGATTACTTCCTACCATAATCCTTGCTTGTGTTTTTTGACTTCTTTAAATCATTCTTTGTCATCTAGTACATAAACTGTTTGTCTAATGAACTTTTGTTGTCTTTGTATTTGTTGTCATTTTCTGTAGTTGGTTGGGGGTTATTTAATTAAGGCATCCATCCTTGCATCTCCAATGACACACACAGGAACTTGAGTATTTTTAAACTATTCAAGTTGTTGATCATGTGCATCCCTTTCATTATTAGTAACTTAATTACTGACTGAATTATCTTGTTACATGATGATTGCTTATTTATTTATCTGTGTATCAAATTCAGGACAGATCAGGATACTAAAAAGATGGAGAAATTCAATAATATATTTGTCACTCTGATGGTATTATTCCCATTCAATTGTACTCTTGATGGATATTGGATTATATGTGATTGATTGATGTACTCCGCTGCTGCTAGCTAAACAAGTAGGATTCAAACTAGGGACTTGGAAGTGTTTAGCTTAGCATCCTATTTATGTGTCATAGATTGAATATTACTTTCTCTTCTTTTTTTCCTCTTCAATTTATGGAGCCTCACATGATGATCTGTAGAAGGATGTATGCGTTCACATTTTATGATATTATTGTGACCTTTACTAAAAGTGTAAACTAAATTTGCTCATTCAAAGTGCTTGGGAACTTATGGTGAACTTGTTTATCATTATGTCTGTGGTCATGGAGTTGCTAAGCTAAAACATTTCACTCAAGATGGTACAGAATCTCATGCTCCAAGTTTTCATCTCTTCAAATTCTATTTTCTGCTGCTTGAATGTTTTCAACTGCACCAATTGTAGATTTTTGTGATCGTGATAAGTAATGGGATTTGATTGAAATGTTCTGCACCAGCCAATTGTATTATGCTTTCCATTGGATCCTAAAAATGGAGGTAGTCTTCAAATTTAAAAAGATTGGTTGTTAATAACTGTTCCTTTTTTTCTGTACTGATTTGAGATGGGTTATAATCATGAAGTCGCAATGTACCATTTTACTTCAGTTTTCAGCAAGCATTTTTTCCTATTGTTTTGGTTTTTAACTTCATTTTCTACAGCGGATATATCTGAAGCTGGCGGAAAAGAACAAACCAAAACAAAGACAAAAGCTAGCCAAAAAAGGAAACGGAAAGAAGTAATAGCAGGTACAGTTACTTTTCTTTTAACTTCCTCTTCTCTGCTGCTAAATATTTTACTGTGATGACTAGTAATCTTTGTTCATGGCTTTTCTGCTCCATCGCCCAGTGATACATAAAACTGTTCTCATGGCCTAACTCGTCTGATTCAGAACAATACACTAGTTGCAGCCTTCAGGTATGTGTTCCTGCTGCTTATATTGGCAATTATATTTTCCCCATTTATTTATTTTCATCTGCTTTTTAAATCTTACTAAATTTAAAAGGGTTTATGGGTCAGTTGAATGAAATTTTGCGGCTTTGCAATGTTTATTATTGAGTTTTCATATTTTCCCAGTGTCTATAAAGCTATCAACTTTCTTTATCATACAAAAAGTGAAAGTGATGTGTGGAGGGGGTAATGGTGCTTCTGGCTCCCCAAATTTTATCAACAATGAATTATTCCAAGTATGTTTTTGTGTGTTTTGGTCAGAATGATCAATAAAAATTATATATACGAGTGTGTTAAATTTTTATAGAACTTTAAGTTGATTCATATGTTATACTCCCTCCGTCCCACGGTGCCGTTTCTGTCCGTTCCACGTACCATGTCACTTTCTTTTTTTAGGAAAATGATTACACACTTTAATCTCATTTTAAACTTTTTAATTCTTTTTTAAATTTTAATTAAACTAATTAGTTATCTTAATCTTAATTTATAATTATTTATATTATCGGATAATTATTTTCACTAATACATTCTTACTTATCTACTAATTACATCCCTCCTAAAATACTGTGTCTCGGACGGAGGGAGTACTGTTATAAATTATAAATATGTTGCAGTATGTAAAATATAAGAGTATGTTGTACATGTATTATATATATTGATCTGGTCAATGTTATTTGACCGATTAGCATGAATCCGTGTCTGAATTATTTTTACTAAAATAATTTTTTTTTTTATTTAGACAAAATAATAATAATAATAATAATAATATTAATAATAATAATAACAAAAGTGATATATTACTCCCTCCTTGCTAGATATAGTATAATACTTATTGTATATACAAAAATTTAGAAAACAATTAAAACGTATAATCTTTTGAAAAAATGACATAAGATGTGTACAGATAAAAATATAAATTATAAAAATTTTGAAAAAATGACATAAGATGTGTACAGATAAAAATATAAATTATAAAAATTGTGACATAATAAGTAGGACGGAAAGAGTAAATTTGTGAAAGAGAGAATATTAAATACTCCATATGTCCAATAATAAAATATAGCTTTGTTTAGACATTTTTTTTGGATGTTTGGGCCCATTATTTTAATCTTTTTCAAAATATAATATCAAATATTTTATTCTACAAATTATCATCAGTTTTTAGTAAAATAATAGTATTTTAATTATAGTGAGTAGTTAAAAGTAGTGTAAAGATATTTTTGCTTTGTTTTTTTGGTGTAAAAGAAATGATGTGATGTAAACTAAGGATATTTGTGGAAAAGAGTAAAGTATTTAATGAAATGTTTACTTTATAATTCAAAATAGAAATATGTATATTTTCTAGATAGACGGATGGAGTTTACATTGATCCAATTAAATTAAAATACTCTCTTCTTCTTGTAACAAAGATATTATTTTTTACTTTTGTCTATCTAAAAAAAAATATTATTTTTTTAATTTAATAATGATATCTACTTAACATAATTTGTAAACGAATGTAATATTAATATTAAAAATTTTATGTGTAAAAAACAAATGCTCAGGAGTTAGTATATAAATTTTTCTAAAATATCACTAAAACAACGTGCTTTTTAAACTCGTCCTGCATGGAGTGGGTGAACTGGAATTGAATGCCCCGAGTGGAGTGGGTAAGAATAATATGCAAGAGAAGGCAGTTAAGTAACTGTCAGATAAAGTCAACGTATTGTATTTTCACTGCACTGAGACTGAGACTGAGAGGTCCCCATGCTTTTCACGTGTACTATTTTATTTTGCTGGTCATCTCTCTAACTGTTAATTAATAACTCTATTAAGTATGCCTTCTTCCTTCTTTAATTTCTAAAGTTTACATGAAAATAAAGCTTTGATTGAATTTCAAAGATACTCCCATAGTTCCGTAACACACATGCCATGTATATATATTGTTTCTGCTATGGTGGAATTTTGTGCGATGATACCTATATGTGTATATATACATATATATATTTTGTATTATAAAAATAAAATAATTAATTTATACGTTAGTATTTGATGGGTGTATATAAATTTGTTCTATCAGCCGCAGCTACATATTGATGCTCAATAGTAACAAAATTGGATAAAAAGATGCCCAATTGAAAGCAAAAAGACAGGACAGCCTCGGATGAAGGAAAAGCCAAAGTCTTATATAAGAAAAGAAATCATTACAAACAAATGTTCCCACCAAAGATTATCAAAATTTGAAAAGGAAAGGCAGGTCCAAAGTGGTGGTCGTACCCACATTTTAAAATGCGCAGAGTTTTCACTTGCTGCCCCACGAAGAAGAGCTTCATCTCATCTTGTATGGGGTACGCAGAGGCAGGTATAGTTTATTTTAATGCATGAACGCCTTGTCCATTGACTGCTGTTTTACTCTTGATTTATTTCATTAATTAAATTAAATTAAATTCATTTATTATTCTAACCAGTAGCATTAATAAACTAGCAATGTTCTGTCTATTCCAAGCAGGAACAAGTCTTCTCTTTCACACTTTTATTATCATTCATTCAATCCATTTTCCTTTGTCTTTAATTTGGGGAGATACAAAATTATCATTATTATTATTGTTATAGAATCTTTGGCCTGTCTCAACTGGAAGCATTTTGTTGAAGATCCATTTTTGTTTACTTTCCTCTTAATTTACATTCTTGTAAGGCTTTATCTTGTTTTTTTCTCCTCTCTTCTTGGCATTTGTTTTTTTATTGCTCTTGCTTGGTTTGTTTGATCATTTTGGGATTGCTGTGAACATGAGTAGTTATTTATTATCTTTGTTTTCGCTGATGTTGGAAGTTCTGAGTCTTTGGAAGGTTTCTATGTTTGCTTATTGATTATGTTGATTTTCACTTTTAAACTCCCTTTTCTCCTCACTTTGTGCTGGAATTTGGGGATTAGGGTTTCTGTATCCTTCCTTGTTTAATTAATTCATGCTTAGCTTTTTCATGATGATGATGATGGAGGAGGTTGAGAGAGCAAATAGTGCAGCAGTTGAAAATTGTCATGCAGTAATTAATATCTTATCAAAGCCACAAGATGAGAGCCAATTTGAGAAACTAGCAGAGCAAACAGGGGAGGCTGTGCATAAGTTCAAGAAAGTTGTGTCTCTTCTAAGTCCTACCAATCATGGCCATGCTAGAGTGAGAAAGCACCTGAAATTTCAAATCCCTTGGCCCCAAAATACGTTCTTGGAAAATCCCATCTTCACCACAGATGAAACTACACCTAAACAGCTTCTCCAAATCCATGACCAAGAAACTGATCCAAATGCCAAGAATGCCCCCCCAGTAGCAAACACTGCTTTGGAATTGTGTCACCATGGCAAAACTCTGCAACTACCCCAACAAACTCCATTGCCAAACCATCACTTTCTCCAACAACAACAATTGAGGCATCATCGGGCCGATCTTATGTTTTGCCTTAGTAATAAAGGAGGCCTTAACCTGAATTTTGACAGCTCAACCTGCACTCCAACCATGTCATCTGCCAGATCATTCATATCTTCCCTGAGTATGGATGGGAGTGTTGCTAATTTGTCAAGGGACAGTTACTGTTTAATTGGGGCTGCTCGATCAGCTGATCAGAGTTCATATCAGTACAAGAGGAAGTGCTCTGGAAAGGATGGAAATGGTAAATGTGGAGGCAGATGCCATTGCTCTAAGAAGAGGTGGTTGTTTTTTTAACTTAATTCATTCATTATTAACTGGATGAGGTTGGTCTGTCTTTGCCTTAATATTTGTGGTTTACCAGGAAACATAGGATCAAAAGGTGTATCAAAGTTCCTGCAATAAGCAACAAGATATCCGATATTCCACCGGACGAATTCTCTTGGAGGAAATACGGACAGAAACCGATCAAAGGTTCGCCATATCCGAGGTAAGGCCTTGATGCATTCTCCACAGGATTGCTTTACATCATGTTGAATATTCGGCTCTGTCTACTTATAAGATTTTACTTGTGATTTTATTATTCTAACTTTTTTTTCTCTCTAAAAACATCAAATCAAATATTCATATTTTATTTATTTTATTACACTGAAATATAATTTTACATTCAAAATATTACATCAATACATATTTATATCACATCAAACTACTATTTCAATTCAAAATTTTATTATTCAAATTCAAACCCAAAACCAAAACCTCACAAAGGGTATGTTTACTTGTATTGATTTAAATTAGTTTTTATCCAACACCCTCAGCTTTAATTTTTCTTATATTGATTCAAATTTCACTAATCCAAATCAGATAAAGAGAGTTTGGGTTCTGATTAAGATTTATTTTCTTTGTAGTTTGTGTGAATCATAATGGTGTGTGTATGCAGGGGATACTACAAATGCAGCAGCATGAGGGGTTGCCCTGCAAGGAAACATGTGGAGCGATGCTTCGACGAACCTTCGATGCTCTTTGTCACTTATGAGGGCGAACATAACCATAGCCATAACCAGCAAATGATAAGGATGCCTTCTTCTTCTCAGTCCCACCCCTCCTTGTCTAAATCCAAATCCAACCATTAACAACAATTTATTCTATGCTTTTCTGGTATAATATATATAAATATAGATATAGATATAGATGGATACACAATGCATTTGTTCCAACTGTGCCTTCATTGACTTGGATCACACTACCCTTTGCCCAAGTGCATCTTTCCACATTTAGATGCTTCTATTAATTGAATAGCCATAGATTGTAGGGGTGTCAATAATTATAGTACTTTTTTTTTTACTCTTAAAAAAATTAATACTAATAAATAATTTATTGTCGTAAATGAATTAGCACACATGCTAGATTGGCCTTTTCTTCGTTTATTGATTGAGGGGCCCTATCACCAAACCTATCTAGTAGGATAATTGAGAATGTATTTTTGTGGTGTTTATTTGGATATTTGGAATAGTAAAAAATGAATTTTGAGTAGTTATTTGATATATGATATAAATAGTATTAAATTGACAATTTTTATATACTACTGCTACTAAGTATCATCTTATTATGGGCATAACGAGGATGATTATCTTCGACAATTATACCTAAAGTCGCGTTTCTGCAACTTCTAAATTACAAATCCGCCATTATGTTTTCGCTATCAATCACTGTACACAACTGTAAACAATTTCCGTACCCTATGATGGATAAAGATATATAGAAGACCCGGTCAAAACGCTGCGTTTTAATCGACGGCGGTGAGTACTTCCGCCGCCGCAGCTGCCGCCTCCGATGGAGATCAAAAGAGCGGTGCCGGAAGATTCAGATCCAACACGAAAGATTTCCTTTCGCTCCTCATCTGTTTCTCCTGTTCATTCATCACCACCGCGCCTACTTCCTCCATTTTATACCCTTTGTACTCCGATCGTTTCCCCACGGCGTCGCCGACGAGGCGGAAGAGCTCCGGCGGCTTCCAACCTGCAATATTCGCGTTCAGCGACGGAGCCACGGTGCAGGCGTCGTCGTAATTGAAGTTCGTCTTTGCTTTCGCGCCGCGGAGACTCCTCGCCGCCTCGTCGTAAGCCAGCGCCGCCTCCTCCGCCGTGTCGAACGTTCCGAGCCACTTCCTCGTCTTCTTCCACGGATCGCGAATCTCCGCTGCGTACCTTCCCCAAGGTCTCTTCCTCACTCCGCGAAACTGCGTCCCCTTCTTCACGGACGGCGGCGACGGCGGCGGGCGGCGGACTCCGCCGCCGACGGCGCAATTTTGCAAACTCTCGGTTGGCATTTCACTCACGCGGAAAGCGCGTGACACGTCTCGGCCTTATAGCCTTGAAGACAGAGAGATGACCTATTTATAGTGCAGCGGCAAACGCCGACAGCTTCGAATGCTTTTGATTACTGGTACTATTTTCTTTAATTAGTTATATTTGATTATTATTTTTTCTCAAATTCAATTTATTAGTAGTATTTATTATATTCTTTATTAACTAGAAATACGCGTGGCGCGTAACCGAATGAAAACGCTCCATCACGATGGCGGTGCTCCACGCGTAGTGTCTGTTTCGCAGGTCCCGGATTCGAACACCAGATAAATCCATACATTTGAAGTGTGGGGTCCAAGCCATGAGTGGCGTGGATCAATCTGGTTTTTGGATCCTTGGAGCTATGGAATGTGCTTGCGACAATTGCATGAAAATTCTTGATAGGGAGAGTCACGTCTATGATTTCGTCTACTTTATAGTTAAAAAACTTTTTCCGTCAAACATATTACTATGTGATATTTACTAGGGGAGTTTTTTATTTTTATTTTTATTTTTTTTGAGTTTGAAAAAAATTTGTTTGAATTTGATATTAAAATAATGTATAATTTGAATATTTTGTGAGATCCGTCTATCAGTAATTAATCCGTTTACTTTTTGAATGTTAATTTTTTAATATTAATTATTATATTAAAACATAGTATAAATTAAAAAAAAATAACAAAAATATTTTTATAATATAAGGATATTTTCAATGTTAAAAACAATGACGTAAAATGCAAATGAATAGATTGGCGGTAGACGAATATATATATCTATATTTTTTTGAAAAATATAGAATCCAAATAGTAAAATTTGAAAAAAAAAAATTGTGTAAAAAAATATAACCTATATTAATATTATAAGCGGTATAATTTAAAAGTAATTAATATATATTAGTAATAGAGATAATCACACACAATACAAATAATTATAAATTAAAGAAATTAATTATTCTCTTAATTTTGAATTATGTCACAATTGCTAGTTTTTTTTTATCTTTGATTTGATTCCGTTTAAAATTCTATTTTTTTTAAGGTAAAAATCAAAATCCACTGTTATCACCAATTTTCCGGCCACCGAAATTCGATGGCGAACGACGGACGCGCCGATTTGTGTAAGGTGGCTCCCATTATTGAATTTTCTTGCCTTCATTGTTGGAATTTTCTCCTCAAGTCTGTATAATCCGTTGGTCAATTCGGGTTCATTTAAATGTCTGATTTTATAGCATTAGAAGTTTTTTTATCTTGACATCCTTAATTTACTTTAAAATTTATATAAATATAAATTAAAATGATTATTTAATTTGATGTAATTAATATTTTTATTAATATGTATATATAAGAATGGAAAAAAATTAAAAGTGGTCCCATTGAAACAAAAAATAATCAATTTTTATCTAAATATAAAAAATTTATCGATTTTGGTTCCATTACAAATAATTTTAATCACTTTTAGTCCCACTAATAGAAAGCTCAGAGGTGTACATAACGGAATATAACGTGGCAATAATCTGAAATAGTCACACGCGACCGTGTTTAATAAAAAACATGGCCATGTATGATACTGGAATCTGATGTTGGAAGTTTCTACCGACTAATAGAAGATTACAGCTACGTACTCCAAGCGGCCGCTGTTCTCCTTGTAGGTGGCGTGGAGGCGGGCCCTGAGGGTGTCAAGGCTGCCCAAGGCCTGCTTCATCGTCGAACGTCCCACGCCTGTCGAATCCTGCAAGAAATGGCACCAAGACAAGCGGCAAAGCTGTAGGAGCCGATAGTGGCGTGGGATGTTCGACGATGAAGCAGGCCTGGGGCAGCCTCGACACCCTCAGCGGGCGCCTCCGCGCCATCTACAAGGAGAACAGCAGCCGCTCGGAGTATGTAGCTGTCACCCTCTGTTTGGGATTGGAATGACGTTGACAAAAATTTTCAACATCGGATTCCAGTATGATACATGGCTGTGGTCTTTATTAAACACGGCCGTATGTATGGTGTAACTATTTCAGATTACTGTCACGTTATATTCCGTTATGTACATATCAGCATTTTTTTGTTAGTGAGACTAAAAATTATTTGTAACGGGACCAAAATCGATAAATTTTTTATATTAGCACAAAAACTGATTATTTTTTATTTCAATGGCACTACTTTTGACTTTTTTTTTCTATAATAAATAAGGAATAGATGAGGAGGTTAATATTTTGATTAAAAAGTGAAGATGAAGTTGTAAAAATCTTTTAGTATAATTAAATCGTTTTGGTAAAAAAAAATTAAAATAATAAAATAGAAGAAGGCACAGAGATTGTAGCATAATAATGGTAACGGATGGATACAAACACAATTAACACAAATAATAACACGGGGAAATAAGTGAGCGTAAATAGGACAAAATAGGTGTAGGATGTGGGAATTTGACGTATAAAATAAATGATAGTTTGCATAAAGTAAAATAAATAGATTTTTAATATAATATTTTAAACCAAACTAATTATTTGATACAATATTTGAATAATAATAATAATAATAATAATAATAATAATAATAATAATAATAATAATAATAATAATAATAATAGCATGTATCGAACTAAATCTCTAACGTTTTTTAAAATAACAAATAGTAATTGTATGGAATTAAAGTCAAACGCATATTGTTGTATATTTTGAAATTATATATTATTCATATTTTATCTTTTTATACGATGATTACCTTAACCATGTCAGTAGTGAGTAGTAAAGTAAACAAGGACTAAAACTATTAGCGTATGTAACTAACAGAAATTGAAATATTATAAGAATTCCTTGCACGTTTGGATTTGAGTCGGAATTTCCATTTTGGTTCTTTCAAACATTTGTGTTAAGTGTTTTGAATTTTTATAATTATCAATAATCATTTATATACACATTTTTGTTGCCCAAATTTTGATAAATTTGATGCCAATAGGAGAAAACCCAAGTCAAATCCTTCAATTCAGCACCTGAAGATGGCCTAACTAATGGTATGAGGATTTTTACACACAAAAATAGTGTAAAAACTAAAAGTGTGTTTACCTATTTTTTATTTTTTTATATTATACTAAAAATTAATTTTACGTTCAAAAAATCACATCAACACTTATTTATATAATATCATACAACTATTCAAATTCAAAATTTTTACTATTAAAATCTCAACTCAAAATCCAAACCCCCAACCAAACATACCTTTTAAGTGGATAAATATTATAAATATCCTCAACGCTTCTTTCAAGGAATCCCCTTCCTAATAGCTCTATGGCAACTTCTATTGTGCTTAGCCCAAAGGTTGATAATCCATTTTGTGATAATATATCTACTAGCCTATGCAATGTGAGCTACAAAATTATCTCCAAGCAATCAAGTATCTATTAGCAATGTATTTTTTTTCAACATTGACAATAGTGCATAATTTGAATGTTAGATGCAAGCATCATAACATTATGCTCAATTTTGACATGAACAAGATCCATGACTGAGTTGGTTAGACTTTCTTTAGATAGATATTGCTAATATTTAGTTTTGATGAGTATGTTATCCAACTCTTTTTATTATCGTGTGGGGTATTTCTTATAGGAATTATCATATTCAATTATTACTTTGCATGTATAAAAAATAATAATCATAATTTAGAAAATACAAAAAAAGAAGAAGAATAAATCTATAGGTGTTGTTGGCTCAGAATTCGCTCAAATTTTCACAGCAGCGAGAACAATTTACTTCCAAAAAATCAAATTTGCAAATTTACTTAACACAGACTCGTTGTTTGCTGGACGATCAAACTGAAAATGCACGTACCGGTGATAACAAGAACATAGAGCACTAAACAATTGTTAATCCATACGAGATTCATTATCAAAACAATCTAGCAATGAGGTTTCATTGATACAATTAGAGTCGTAACTCTCAAGAAATCACAACATATTTTTTGAAAATACCTCACCCTTAATCTATCCTCTCATCACTACTAATTCAATGAAATAGTGTCTCATTTTCCACCCAAACACTATGCTCCTATCACCACAATCGATTCACAATTCTTCCTCGTGATTACATTAAGGGTGTGTTTGTTTGAGGGATTGGATTTTTTTTTACTGTTCATCTAATTTTTTTTCCCCCAAAAACATCAAATCAAACACCTATTTTTCATTTTTTATATTATACTAAAAATCAATTTTACATTCAAAACATCACATCAACACCTATTTATATCACATCATACAACTATTCAAATTCAAAATTTTTACTATTCAAATCTCAACTCAAAATCCAAACTTCCAAACAAACACACCCTAAGATTTTTTTTTGCCCCAAATCCTCTATATCTAATCTCACATTATATAATTCCTCAATTCTGCTTGATTGTTTTCATATGTATATATTACCTCATCTTTGATTTGAAATCTCCATCCATATTGTCCAACATTCTTGTAAATCTTTTGTGCACGTTCAACTTGCTCCACCTTCCACCAAGATTGTTACAACAGTATTTTGATTCTTTTTTCATGATGAATTTTACAATCTATTTCGGGGCCATCATCAGCAAAAAGATATTTTTGGATTACTAACCAAGTGGATTTTCATAATATTTGGGCTCAAATTGCAAAAGTTCAATCTTCCAGGAAGCTCATTCGTTGCTCAGACAGTCTATAAATATCAACCAAAACTAAGCTAAAAAACAACTAGCAACAAGTGTGTTATTTTATAATTTTTTTTTCAAATTTCTATTATTCATAAAAAAAATTCAAAAATATCAAATCAAATATTTTTTTACTTTTATATTATACTAAAATTATTTTTTTATTCAAAACATCAAATAAATATCAATTTATATTATATTATACAACTATTCAAAATAAAAATTCTTATTATTCAAATCTCAAACCTATCATCCAATTTCCAAACAAAACACTAATTCCTAAACAAACTATATGTATATTTTTAATATATTTGAGTATTCTTTTAGTTAATCTTGAAATTTGATTTTATATTTTTGTTTAAATAGTAATTTTGATCAGAGCATATGCGACAAAATTCAGCACATAATTGACCCTATATTTTGATATAATATTTTATTAGAGTAATTAAAAATAATAATATCTAAAAAAATGACATAATTTTGATAGGTAAAGGAAGTATATATATATATTTATAAGTATATATATTAGATATGATCTTGTAAGGGATGAACTAATAATATGATAATGAATTTATGATCGTAAGATTATGAGTTCAAATTTAGAAGAATATTCGACTTTTTAAGCAATAAGTACTTATATGTATATTTTCTTTTATAAATATACATATTTATAAGACATTGTTCATATAAATATATATGTATAAACCACTTGATCTTCAAAGACAATATCATAAACATTCTTAATCCAATCCAATCAAATTAGTACTCCCTAGAAAGGCCATAAAATTTGCTACACAATGAAACAAATTTCATTATAATATGATAAGTTTTTCTCAAGTTATTATCAAATGAATTAAGCTTAAAAACACACCATGCCCTAATTCAACTAGATGCCTATATTCATCTCAATCCATGTGTTCTCCATCAAGCGCACACAACCGTAGATCAAAATCCATCCTACGGACCAAATTTGAAATTTCTCTTGGACCTCGATCCGTGTCAACCCCTTTTCAGCCAATCAGATTCCATCTTTAGGGCCGGATCCCCAAACTTCCAATATTTAACACCGCACATTTGTGTTCGCTTAAACTCATCCCCAAATCGTAACGATCACACCACCGTTCCTCTCTGTAACCCTAATCCCTCAATCCGTTGAGTTTTCTGGAGATAACCGTGATTTCTGTGGAGGAATTTCAATGGCGAGCGCGGAAGAGCCTGTTCTGCCGAGTGAGCCTGCGGTGAAGCCGTCGTTAGACGCGGCGGTGGCAGGAGGCGAAAAGCCTGAGAAGGACGGCGTTCCGAAGGAAACTAAGGCGAAGAAAGCATCTGCTCCGAGAAAGCGCAATACCACTCATCCCCCTTACTTTGAGGTATTGGATAGTTTGTGTTCACGTTTTTGATTAGGTTTTGGTTAGACGGAATGAGATCTGAAATTTTCGGTTTGTTTACCAGATGATTAAGGATGCAATCGTTTCGCTGGGGGATAGGACCGGATCGAGTCAGTATGCGATTACGAAGTTTATCGAGGATAAGCAGAAGAATCTTCCTCCGAATTTCAAAAAGTTATTGCTCGTTCAGTTGAAGAAGTTTGTTGCTAATCAGAAGCTTGTTAAAGTTAAAAGTTCCTTCAAATTGCCGACGTCGTCTCGTTCGTCCAAGTCTGCCGCCGCTCCTGCGCCGGAAAAGAAGAAGCAGGCTGCCGCTGCTAAACCTAAGACCAAAACCGCCGTTGCCAAGGAAAAGAAGGCTACTGTTTCTAAATCCAAGCCAAAGGTTAAAAGCGTCGCTGCGAAGCTAAAGCCTTCTTCTCCGGCGAAGGCAAAAGCCGGTACAAAGAGGAAGGCTCCGGAGAAGACAAAGGACGAGAAGAAACCAGTCGCTAAGGCCGCCAAGACGGCAACAAAATCAACTGCGAGGAAGAGTTTAACGGCGGTCGCTCCGGCGAAGAAATCTGCAGCGGCAAGGAAGGCGACGCCGGTGAAAAAGGCTCCGGTGAGAAGCGTGAAACCGAAAACCGTCAAGTCTCCGACGAGGAAGGCAGTTCCGAAAAAAGGAAAGAAGTGAACGTGGTAGGGGTAATTTAGGAAATCAAGTTGTTTTGATGGGGATAGTATTGTAAATTTCGGCAGTATAACATCCTATGGTTTTATCCCTTTGCTAGTAATCAGCATATAGCATCTATGATGTTTACCGTTGAGTTCTTAGATTTTATTAGCCTATATTCGTATGTGCATATCTTATATACTTTTAATCTAAATTCTTATTATACAATAATTTAATTTCAACGGCAGTAATGGCTTTACATCATCTCCAACTCAATTTCATTTTTGTAGGGTCGATTGTGCATTATTACTTTTTTAGGATTTACTATTATAATTAATCGGCAAATATACTTCATCCGTACTCCCTTTGTTCTGATTTGGTTTGTTTGTATATATAATTATTTAAAATATTGCATTGATGTTATTTATATCCGTATTAAATATTATTCTAATTTAAAATTACAAAATTTCCATTACCTAAAACCGAATAAGACATTTAAAGACATGCGGCTGAAGAGTTTGAAATTAGGTATCTATTGAAGTTATGTGAGGCCCAATATTAGTTAATTCGTCCAGAAAAATCACTAGAGTTGGCCACACACACTCACTGTGTGGAGTATTGAATATAAGGAGACACGATCATTTTCATGGGCGACAGTCATGCTACATTATAAAATGTGTTTGGAGGCATTAAGTTCGACTGCACAGGTTTTCACATAATAAAAAACAAATAATAATAATAATAAAATGTGTACATCAAACCTAATACTTCATTAGTATTTTAGTTTAAAGTATTTTTTTTTTATATTAAATATAAATATAGTATAATTATATAAAAAAATAATATTTTGTATTGAATATTTAAAATTTTTGTAAAAGAATATATATATATATAATACGGTAAAACAAAATTGACGAAAAATAGAGAATTGTAAGAAATAGAAGTGTAAAAATCTGAAAAATATACAAAGAAAATAATGAGAGAAATTAAAAAAAAAAAAAAAAGAATCCTGATGAATGATGTGTCTTCATTTCTTTTTATCTTCCTTAAATAGTTAATTTTGAATCTTAATAAAGTCTTATCTCTAAATTTCATCCAACAATCTCTTTATCCCAACAAATTCACTATTAACCTTCCCAACAAGTTACTTCCTAGAATAGACTTTTAAGTATTGGGTTGGACAACTTTGTCTGTTGATCTGGATCTTCGGCTGGATCGCAAATCTCTTTGGACTTTTGCTACATTTGGATTAGGTCAGCCCAATTAATTTTAGGTATGTACACTTATAATCAAAATCATGTCATAAATTTTTTTTTTTGAGCAAATAAATCTATAAATATAGCCAAAAATGAAATATATTACGTTTTTGTCTCAATTTAAATATATTATTTTGAATTTTTGTAATAAATTTAAAAATAATAATATTTTATTAATTAATAAAAGTGTGAAAGACGTTTTGACAGTGATTATTTTTATTATAATTAAAAAAATTGATATTTTTGAATAAAACAAATAAAAGTAATAATAAGAATATTTAGTTGAAAAGAAGAGAATACTTGTTTAAGAGTTGCTGATGCCTTTTTTATTTTATCTGCTATATAAGAGCTATACCTTATAATTAATTTACTAGTATAGTTTACAGATTATTAATTCATGTTTGAATTAAAGGACACAGCCAAACCAGACAACAAAATGAATGAAAAGTAATTTTAGTGAGATTAACTACCATATTACGAGTCTACCTCTACACTATTAGGTTATTATTTACGAAACTTTTTTCTCAATTCTTAAAATAAAATATAACTTTGATGATATATACTCTCTTATTCCATATAATTTGTTCATATATATATATATTTTGTTCTATTTAAATGTATTAAAAAATAATTATAAATTTTAATTATATTTTAAAATTTTTAATTTATAATTATTTATAATATACAATAATTATTTTTTAATATAATTTTCAATTATCTGCTAATTATATTATTCTTTAAAGTTTTGTATTTACAACAAGTAAACGAGAGACGGATTGCATATTTGGTAACTTCATTTGAATAGCTGTTACATCAATCCATTATGATTCACAAACAAAAGGTGTGTTTACTGGTAAGTTTTCCATCTGATTTTACTATTTCAATTTTTTTTCTAAAAAAATATTAAATTAAACACTTAATTTTTATTTTTTTTATTACACTAAAATTTAATTTTATATTTAAAACATCACATCAAAATATATTTATATCACATTAAAATAACTATTTCAATTCAAAATTTTATTATTCAAAATCAAAATCCATAACTAAAACATGACAAGTAAACACACCCAAAACATGATAATGTGTGTTATATGTAGTGGTCTATATATATATATGGTGATTGGGGCAGCCCATTGATGTTCATGTAATGTAACACAAATTTATTACTGCTACTACAGTAAATGACCACCTGTGAAGGCCCATACGTAGTACGTACATACATACATACACATGAATAACATGATATAATTTGAGACGATAGATGTCATGTAATGTGATGTAGAAAAATAAGGATTAATGACTCGGCAACCTTTCCCTTTCATTTTATTAAAAAAAAATAAAAATAGTAGTAATAAAATAAAAATCTTTGCCCTATGGGCCCTTCGTCACGTCACATCACAAAATCACATTACCAACTCCACTCATACCAACAAACAAACAAACAAACCATAACTCGTGTGACATTAATGAATTGATTAATTAGTAATAATAATAATAATAATAATAATAATAATAATGTTATGTATAAAATTTATAATTAAGTTAAAAGACCCAAGTTAGAAGAAAATGTGGGCCTGTTAGACTTATTAAGGGGTATCTTAAGATAATCGGGTGAATTGGACGTCTTTTTAAGGAAATCTGCGAGTCGGACAGTCCATAGGTCGGACGGTCCACAAGTCAGTTAGTTCGCGGGTCGGACGGTTCGCAAGTCTGAAAGTTTGCGAGTCGGACAGTCCACAGGTCGAACGGTCCGCAGGATGGTTAGTCCACAGATCGGACGGTCCGCAGGTCGGTTAGTCCGAGGGTCGGACGGGTCTCAAGTCGAAAGGTCTGCGGTCGGATACGCAGGTCAGTTGGTTCGCAGGTCGGACGGTTCGCAAGTCGGAAGGTCTGCGGTCGGATACGCAGGTCGGTTGGTCCGCAGGTCGGACGGTTCGCAAGTCAGAAGGTCTGCGGTCGGATAGGCAGGTCGGTTGGTTTGCGGTCGGATAGGCAGGTCGGTTGGTTCGCGATCGGATAACTAAGTCGGAAGGTCCGTGGTCGGACAAACAAGTCGGAAGGTCTGCGGTCGGACAGGCAAGTCGGTTGATCCGCAGTTGGACGAGCAAATCGGCTGCTGTGGAAGTCGGATGCTGCGGAGTCTGAGTGAGAGCCGTAGTTTAGTCGGTTGGGTAACGCGGCTGGTAGGGCGGTTAAGAACGCGTGTCAGCAAAAGAGGAATTGGTAGACAGTTGAGAGGAAGCGTTGTAACCGTTTGGGCGACGATTCCAAGTACTGTTTCTGAGGAGTATTTAAGGATTGGGGTTAGTAACTGGCAAGACATCTTCAATCATCTTCAAACGACAACAAAGTCAGTGATTCGGGGATCATCATTTAAATTTCAGTTTGTTAGCATTTATTTTCCAATATTTTCTTATGTACCGTACAATGTTTAGAGATTCCTAATTTCAGGCACTAATTATATCAAATTCGAAGATAATTTCCTATTTTCGGATTTTACTTTTTTATTGTTGAAAAAACACATCAACAAATAATAATAATAATAATAATAATAAGGTAAAATTGCTTATAACTCCCCTGTGATTTCGAAATTCAGCGTAAAATTTCCATGTACTTTAAAAATTGCATGATACCCCCTTATACTTTAAAAAACTTTGCATGAAACCCCATCACCATGAAACTTTCCTCATGTGATAAGAAGATGATTTCCTATCTATATATTTTGCATGGCAGGGGGGTTATATGCAATATTTTTGAAAGTATAAGTGAGCGTCATGCAATTTTTTAAAGTAAAATGGGGATTTATGTTGAGTTTCGAAACCACAAAGTGGTTTCATACAATATTTTTTAAAGTATAAGGGGACGTCACACAATTTTTAAAGTAGAGGGAGAATTTACGCTGAGTTTCGAAACCACAAGGGAGTTATGGGCAATTTTGCCTAGTAATAATAATAATAATAATACTCCCTCCGTCCCACATAATTTTTCTCAATTTTCTATTTTTGTCCGTCCCATATAACTTGTTCTTTCTATCGATGTCTGTCCCGGCAGACAATAGCGAATTCGTGACCCGACGTACGAATGCCGGTCAGGCCGTCCATCGAGACAGAGTGGGCACCCCAAAAAACTCCTATAGAGATTTTTGCGAAGATGTAGGCAGCGAAAAGGGATTTCCTGCGACGCACGTCGCGGCCAAAAATCGCGAACGACGACCTTGGCCGCTGTTCACGGACCGGTCGTCCAGCCGTATATTGCGAACAAGGATTCGCGCACGGGCACCGACGAACCCGCGTCAACGCGAGAAGTCGAGTAAGCCTTATGGTTTAGAGAAAAGAGAACTCGTAACAAGGATTCTATAGTTCAACCTGCGGAAGGATCATTGTCAATGTCTGTCCTGGAAGACAACAGCGAATTCGTGACCCGACGTACAAATGCCGGTCAGGCCGTCCATCGAGACAGAGTGGGCGCCCCAAAAAACTTCTGCACGGGTTTTCGCGAATATGTAGGCAGCAAAAATAGATTTCCTACGAAGCCTGTCGCAGCCAAAAATTGCGAACGAAGACCTTGTCCGCTGTTCACGGACCCGTACTCCAGCCGTATATTGCGAACAAGGATTTGCGCATGGGCGCCAACGAACCCGCGTCAACGTGAGAAGCCCAGTAAGCCTTATCGTTTAGAGAAAAGAGAACTCGTAACAAGGATTCTATAGTTAAACCTGAGAAAGGATCATTGTCGATGTTTGCCCCGGTGGACAACAACGAATTCCTGACCCGACATACGAATGCCGGTCAAGCCGTCCATCGAGACAGAGTGGGCGCCCCAAAAGATTTTTACAAATATGTAGGCAACGAAAAGGAATTTCCTGCGATGCACGTCGCGGCAAAAAATTGCGAATAACGACCTTGTCCGCCGTTCACGGACCCGTCGTCAA